TCCCCGCATATCATCAACCTGATGCCGAAGGTGCTACGCCTGTGATCGACCCCACGGGTGCGGGTAACTCTTTCCTTGGTGCACTAGCCCAGGGGATGGTGACTGCAGGCCGAGAGCCATTCCAGGCCATTGACTCTGTTCTATCAAACTCCGAAACTTGGAAGAAAGCTCTTGAGTCCTGGGGTAATTACCAACATCACCCTATGGCGCTCATTTGCGCAACCGTCGCAGCTGGTTTTGTGGTCGAACAAATCGGTGTACCGCATATCGATGCTGATGGAAACGGAGAGGAATTGTGGAATGGGACTGAATTCACGGAACGAGTCCGCCTGTACACGCAACGATTATTGAGGACACTTGAAGAGTCTCCTCAGAGACATACATTGGTCAATTGACCAATGGCCGGATGGGGAACGCCCTTTTATTGTCGTACAGCACACAAGTAATCAAATAGTAGAAAAACACGAAAAGAAAAGGTCCGTCCTGCTGTAAAATCCTCCTACAACCGCCGTCCAGTATCCTGGACCTTCTTCATGAGTCGTTCTTCGCGGCTTGTTTCTGCTCGTGTTCGCGAATTTGTTTGCTCCAGCTATAAATTAAGAAATGCAAGAGTCAGCATAAGGTATATCGAGCGACATAAAAGTTCGGGTGACGGACTATCGGCTGGGGAAGAAGCGGCCGGGCTCGGGCATCTTGTCGCGGTATTCCCGCTCAGCACTGATGCTGAAGGCGACAGCAGCGACACCAACCACAAAAGCGCCCATGATCGCTGTGTTGACCCTCCAGTTGGCTGGCTGTGCGTACCAACCACCAGCGGGGGACCAGACTTCCTTGGGGTACCTGCCCCATCAAATGTATTAGCTCCTGGCAAGGTCATGAAAAGCACGAGTACGTACGGGATCTTTCCACCTCCACCCATTGTGACGAAGATACAATTGAAAGTTTTGTTGAGTAGATAAAGCGAGCGTAGGGCTGGTAGTTCTTGAAGGTGGAAGCCGAAAGGGCCGTCTCGGTCGCAGGTCTGATGCCAAGGCGCTAATACCACACTGGGCTTAGCGCAACCTCACACGACTTGGCCATCCCGTGACTGCCGCGACAATTTCTCTTCTCTCTCGTTGATGGTATGCTAATTGATTGAGTCGCGATTCCCTCTCCCGTCCATTGTATAATCTTTCTACGGCCCTCAGAATAGCCTAATCGCCCAAATGAAGAGACTGCAACTCCAAAGATGGAGCAGTTCAGTCCTTTCGCCGCGGGCTCGGACTGTTAACCGCCTGCATCAACACATCTACGGGCAACGGTGTCAGTCGACTGCTCCCCCGGTCCAAACCCGTGATGATCAGACCACCGCGATTTTTGAGCAGCCAGAAGTTCTGGATGAGCAATTGGCTCAAATTGTCAAGGACTCCCACACCCGCCGCTCGCAGCTCCAATATCCCTCTCCCCCAGTCGAAGCAGCTCGACAATCTGCAAAACTCGCCGCTCTCCACGCTCGACTCTACCTACCCTCCAGATTACCTATCGAGACACTTGCACGGACACTAGTCGATGCATCAGCAGACCCCAACCCGAATTTCAACAATGCCTCGCTGGCCACCCTCGGTCACGACCTCCTTTCCTACTACGCAACCGAGCACCTTATTTGCACTTACCCTCGTCTGCCATTGACCGTGATCTTCGCTGCTATGTACGCCTACGCTGGACCTAAGACTCTTGCCGCGATGGCACGAGAATGGGGTGTTGATTTGGCTGCGGTGCCTGGTGGAGAGGTCGATCCCGGTCTGTTGCAGTTCCAGAGGCTCGAGCCTGGCGCCGAGATTCCCTCGGGCCCTACCCACCCGACAGCACGGCCATACGAAACACAGAAGAACTGGAGGAAAACGGTGACTTCTAAGATTTTCTATGATGATGAATTCGGTGACCCGCTCAAGGGACTCAAGCCCTCTGCCGCAGGTGTCACCACCGAGCAAGCAAGCGCTGAGTTCGTCCGAGCTGTTATGGGCGCTATCTACCTACACGCTGGCCGCGCTGCTGCCAAGCGATTCTTCGAGCAACACTTCCTTTCACGACACCTCAACATCTCAGAATTGTTCAACTTCCAGGCCCCAGCCCGTGATTTGACTCGGTTGTGCGCTCGGGAGAACTTCGAACGTCCAGTCGCCAAGGTCATCAGTGAGACTGGTCGTAAGAGCAGACACCCCGTCTTTGTGGTCGGTATCTTCTCTGGCCAGGACAAGCTTGGGGAGGGCGCTGGCGCCAGTTTGATGGAGGGCCGTGAGCGTGCTGCTGTTGCCGCGCTTAAGGGTTGGTACCTCTACAGCCCTCTTTCTGTACGCGTTCCCAGTGCGATGGAGGAGCCATCGGCTTTACCGTGGAAGCCGGTCCACGTTGACCTGGGCGAGGTCATTGTTTAAGATATTTGGTGCAATGGGATGCCTTGGTTCAAGGCACGGTAACATATTATTTCATGTCTGTTTTTTTTTGTCATCTCGCTTTTCTTTTTCTGGTGTGCTATTCTTTCGCATGGGAAGCTGGCCGGCGGTAAAAAGAGTCATCTATCCTGTCTCCTGCATGACTGGATCCTGTACATTATGGGAATTCCAATCCCTTCGATTCACCTGGTGTCTTTTTCTTCGAAATTTCCCTTGCTGTTTTCTTTTCTATCTTACTCTCCTCCAGTTAGATCGGGCAGAACAAGGCATTTCATGGCCTTTATTTTGGTCCTGCCATCCAAATATAGAACTGCTCTCAGACATCTACTGAATGCATACAAAATCAATGTTAATGGAAGCTTTCTAGCCTTTGGTCCTACTAGTTGTATATCTCTAGTTGACCTACCGATGCCTGTTCATCTGGACTTTACATCCAGCTCATCACGCCCGGTTAAGAATCTCATCCTCCCAGTTCCCACTACTCCTCCCGACACCTATTGTAGGATTATCTAGATACTGGCCATATTCTTCCCACAACTCCCCAACCACAGCCCCGAAAAGACCCTTCCAGAACTCAATACCCTCTTCACCCACATACCCAACCCTCAAAAGCCGATCATTCAACATACCCACCGCACCCCTCCCAACCCTGACATCCTCAATCCACGCCAGAAAATACGCCGTATGCTGATACCCTTCATCCCACTTAGGCGGCCGCTCCGCAGCAGACAGAGGTTGTTTCCAATGCGGCGGTTCCAGACCAGCCTTGAGCCTCACAAAGTCAGCTATTCCCTCGATTAGTCCGCCCGGCGGACCGGGGATGTCCTCGCCACTGCTTTCGAGGCTCGGCGGCGCGGTGTGCTGATAACAATGCACGAGCTCGTGTGTCAAGACTCCGACCAGCTCGTGGAGCGGGTCGGCTTTCGCTGATGGACCGGATGTACAGTGCTGGATGTATGGGAGCGAGACGTGGATTTCCTTGTGTGCATCGTCGAGCTCAGTGCCTGTTGTGTAGGCTACGCCGCTGTAATCGCGGAGGAAGACGGTTACGGATCTTGTTGGTGGGATGCTGGGTGTGAAGGTGGGCCGGTGGATGTTCTCCGACTTTGGGGGGGAGGTGTATAGGTATTTGATGATGTTTGCTAGGGCTTTGTCGAGTGTTGATGCGACGTCTGGGATCAAGGTGAGGAAGGCGGTTGAGGCTGGATGGCGTAGTTCTTGTATATGTAGGCGGAGCTTTGGTTGGTGGATTTGGGAAGTGAGATTGGGTATGTTTGTTTGCTTTTCTTCTTTGCTTGAGGTCTGTGGTGCTTGCTGGGTGTTGTCTTTGGGGATTGCGGAGGGATGAGGTGCTCGGGCGGAGGTCGTCATGGTGTTGGTTTGACTGAGTGATTCACAGGGAAGGTGTTAAACCTCTCTCTTTCCAAGAGTGTCTGAGGTGTAGGTCTAGGTTGAGAGCGGGGTGGGAAGAATGTGCTGACTAGACGCCCTAAATTATCCCAAACCCTATAAGGCGGTTACCTTCAGGGACTTATTGGCTACAATCCAACACCTTTAGACACCTTGTCGGTATCCTTAATAGGCAATATGCTCCACTTTGGCGATCTCGTGGGGTGCTAGGACGCTTTGATTCACATTGATTGGAGTGGAAGAAATGTATGGAGTAAAATGTAATCGATTGCATGTCAAGTGAGCGTTAGATTGGGGTTTAACATGGTTGGACAATGTAGTGAATAGCGTTCAGTGCTTATATGTTAATTTGGGTTAAATTACTATTTTTACATCTTCAATCTTTGTTGTTGGAACATTCATAAAAGTCTGATTTATAACCTGTCTACTCATTTGCCCATCTCAACACACATTAAGATGTAAACATGACAATGTTGGTTGCCCACTGCGACGCGTGAATCCCGAGGTAATAAACAAACCATGTTGGGCTCTTGATAACCTTTGGGCACCTTAGAAGTGTAGATCCATGGATATGAATAGACAGGTATAAACTTACATATCATATTAGGAATAGTAATGCCAAAACCTCAAGGAACCCAAGGACACCCCCTTTAATATCCTTTATCCCTCTCTATATCCCTCGCGCTTATCGTCACGCGCTTATCGCCCCTTGTTTTCACTTTGTCCGCTTTTCAACATCCCACCATATCAAGATCTTGCGCTCTTTCTATTTGTCGCTACTTCATCGCATTAGGTACGCTATACCCTCCACATCCGAAGCCTTCATGGTACTCATCGCCATTCCTTTATTGATATTACATACCCTTTTGCGACACCCCATCATAACCATTTTATGCTTTCGCTGCTTGCACACATCCATGTCATATTTTGTTGATCACAATCGCTCTGTTTTTCTGACCTATTACTCTGTCGCGCTGGTGGAATCTGCTGCTGACTTTCATCTAGGCTAGTGACAAATCGAAATTCGAGTCTGTGCTCCTATCCGTTATTAGCCTTGTCGCGTTTTGATTCCCCCGGATCGTCCATTACATACAACATCATCCTTCTGTCCATCCCCTTCGTCTGACCCGAGTTGAACTCAATCTCTCGGTGTTGACAATGGAGGCGAAGGCAGCAGAACTGTTGGCGGCCTTCAAGAACCCCAACCTGTCCGTCGATTCGAAGATCGCCTACCTCTCTAGTGTGAAGTCCGATATCAAACAGAAAAACGTTCCCGAGGGAGCGATTCGCCCCATTTTCGAAACACTACGCCTCGCCGTCGGCTCCCAACACTACTCTGTTCTCGGCGCGGGGTTCTCCACACTTGGCCACCTCCTGAAGCGTCTTGCAATCCAAGATCAGGAACAATGGATTGTTCATCAGGCGCAGAGCTTGTATCCTATTCTTTTAGAGCGTCTCAATGACCCGAAGGAACGTATAAGAGCCCAGGCTGCATCAATATTCACCGAACTGTGGCCATTTGCAGGCAATGAAGTCGAATACCATGTCCTGGAAGTTGCACTGGTTGGGAAAAATCATCGGGCGAAAGAGATGAGCATGCTCTGGTTAGCGAATGTAGGCTTATCCGTGGATGCATCCTGCAAGGATTGTCTCAGATACTAATCTCGATCTACAGATGACGAAGCACCATGGTTTGTTGTTCCGCCAATATGTTCCTTCCCTAGTTTCATGCCTAGAGGACGCCGACAGCGCCGTCCGAGATACGGCTAAGTTGGTCGTGATCGACCTGTTCCGGTGAGTGAGGCTTTCACCCTACCCATTATATTCATTGCCCCTGACCAAACTCAGAACCGGCCCCGCAAGAGCGAAGTCGGACCTGCAAAAGCAAATGGCGGCGCGCGGTGTGAGGAAATCTATCGCGAATGCTATTCTTTCAGGAATTGGCTTGGGGTCCATTGAACCCGAGACTGCATCCTCTGCGCGCCCAATCTCTCGGGCTGAACGCTCGATTTCAGTGATGTCCTCACGTTCACATGCCATGGAGCAGACTGATGATGGTCAGTATTTTGGTTCTATCTATATCACTTGGAGATTTGCGCTCGGCGTACTAACCCTTTTGCAGAGATGGAGCCTGTGAAGCCCCGCCCAGCTTCTAGAGCTAACCGTGAAAGACCGATAGCCTCTTCCGCACCTACAGAACAACCAATTAACAACCGACCCCGCACACCGGCCCCGACACCAGCACTCCAGGAACCGTTGCCAGACGATGATGGTCTGGAGCCGTTCGATGTTGCCTCGGCAAGGGATGTCGATGATCTTGTGCGCGATATGCTACCTTGGTTCGAGGGAAGAGAATCTGAGGACAATTGGTCAAAGCGTGAAAAGAACGTGATTCTTTTCCGCAGACTGACGCGAGGCAACGCGCCACATGACTTCTCACAGACCTATGTCAATGCAGTCAAGACACTGCTTGATGGTATCTTGAAGGTTGTCAACTCTCTACGAACCACAATGTCTAGCAACGGCAGTCTTTTGATCCAAGATATTGCCCGAACATGTGGCCCTAGAATCGACCCCATGGTTGAGATTATCATGCAGAATTTGTTGAAGCTTTGCTCGGCGTTGAAAAAGATTGCCGCACAAAACGGAAATGCCACCGTTGAAGTTGTCATTCGCAATGTTTCATTTAGCATTCGCCTTCTGCAGCACGTCTCTTTCGCAACCCAGGATAAGAATGTTGCAGTACGACTGTTCGCCACAGGGTGGCTCAAGGCTTTAATCACCCGCCAGGCGCATCATAAAAGCGCAGTTGAACATGGTGGTGGCCTTGATCTCATCGAGAAGTCGATTACGAAAGGATTGGCAGATGCCAACCCTGGTGTGCGCGAAGCAACACGGAGTACCTTCTGGACGTTCTACGGTGTGTGGCCGGAGCGAGCCAATATGATAGCTGACAACCTCGACCCCAAATCGCGCAACTTGCTGGAAAAGGATTCATCGAACCCCAACCCCCCTTCAAAAGGGGCACCTGTATTACCTGCAAAGAGCCCTGCCAAGAGTCGCTCAGCTTTACAAGAAGCTATTGCTGCTCGGAAGAAGGCCCAGATGCCTTCTCGACCCGAGTCAGCTCAGCCAACCTTCGCCGAGGCGAAGCCACCTGTTCCTGCCTCCAAGTCCACTCGGAGTGTACCCACTGGGGCCCCCCTCTCCTCTCTGTCTTCTGCGCCCATGAGACCGGCCATGAAGCCTCGACGGCCAGAACTGAGTCGTCCTGCAACTGCAGACCCATATGCTCGTCGCCCTGAGTCACGAGCCCAGTCTAGCAGTAACCAATCTACCCGACAAGCGACTACTTCCCCCCGGGCTATGAGATCCAAGCCATCAACACCTACATCAAAGGCCCCTCTAACAGCGCCTCGCACTCGCCCACCTGAGTCGGTGCAATCTGCTACAACGAAGGGCAGGCCGAAGAAACTCGATTTGTCCAAGTCCAAGTCTCACAACGATCTCATGGCTGCGAGTCGTGCTCGCAGTGATTCGAACGAGAGCTTGACCAACCAGCCATCTGCAAGATCCCCCCGCCACGGAAATTACCTCACTCCATCCGAGGACCGGCATTCCCCAGCATCTGTCTCGTTGGAAAGTCCTCCGCTTAATGCATCACAACCCCTTCTGTACTCAGCACCGCACGGCCCTCACGCTGACTCGGTTCCTGTTGAAGAACCGGAACCAATTATTCTGGAGGAACCTGTCGTTGCTGTACCTCCACCGTACATCCCCGAGCCTGATATTCCAATGTCTCCCGCGCCCGTGTCTCCTGTTCGCCAGCATTCGGATCTGGCCTTTGGTTCTGGACCCGCTTCTGCTGTCAAAAACCAGCCTGAGTCGATGGTGATCTACGAAGATCCTACCACGCCCACTACGGACAGACATGAGACTCCTGAGTACGTCACGGTGGAAACATTCTCCCCTTCAAAGTCGTCTACTAGCCGTCCTGATCAACCTGAACAAGGCGAAGCAGAAATCCACCGCATGTCAGAGGATATATCAGCCTCGGTGGTCGCTTCAGCTAGGACGTCTACACCTGATTTGGCCCCTAGACAGGACTCTGGTATGAACTTTGAAGTTCGCACTCCATCTCCAACACGCCGGGCACCGCTTCAGCCAAGCCCGTCGCCAACGAGGGGCCGTGTCCAACCAGCGGCTTCTAATATCATGGATATTGAGCCCGTGCTTTCTCAAGAGCCTCACGTGGGCACTACCAGGACCGATGGCAACAATGAGAATGCAACTCCACGCTTGACCAAGACTGTAGACTTGCCCGCGGTCCCGCGGTCTGCAGTTAAGCCGAGTGCCCTCGAAGAAGTGACAGCAAATGAACCTACCCCACGTTCGCCAGAAGTGAGACAAAGATTAGTTGAATCATTGTCTGAATCAACACTCTCCCAGTCAACCTTGTCCCAATCAACAATGTCTGACGATTCCACACGACGTACTCGAAAGTGGGTTGATCGTCACCGCAGCCCTAGCCCACGTTCAAAGGACCCGATTAATGCCAAGGAAATGATCCATAGAGGCCTCGCTCGTATTCTCTCGAGAACCATGGAGCCCTCTGGATATCGGAAGCTCCAGGGACTTATCCAATACCACGGTGATGAGATTGTTCCCCAAAGCCAGGACTACAATGCATTGCTGGAAGCTCTATTTGCAGAACTGGAAGCCACCCCTTCCAACCGCAAGGATCATGACGTGAAGACCCAGGTTTTGGCCACTATCCGTTCCATGCTCCTACGCACGCGTGAGAACTTCCACCCGTATGACACTCGCGCCATGGCAGCTATTATCCGGGCCCGTCGCCACTACGAGTCCACTTCCCACTTTGTCTCTTGTCTGGAGGAAGTGGCAGACAAACTTGTATTTTTGACCTTGCCCCAGACCGCGATTGTCGGTGTTCTGCAGGGACTGGATCTCGGCGCGGACGCAGAAAATGATGAGACTTACAGGTCCACCATCATGGGCTTGAGTACTATCCAACAGTCGCTATCACGTCCCGGTATTGATATCGACGACGAGCTTCTGGCTCGCATCGGTGCTGTCGTGATGCAACAGCTTGGACACCCCCGCCCAGGTGTCAGGAAGAATGCCACTGAGCTCTGCACATTCCTGAACATCACCTTCGGATCCGAGAGAGTGCAAAAAGTCACACAGCCTCCTCGTGAAGGATCCCTTAACCTTCTTACCTACTTCATGGCCCGACGGACTCAGTAATTGCTTTTTATTTCTTTGTTCTTTTGCTCAGGTCTACCTGCGTATATGTTTAATACATCTGGGTAGCGTGGTGGCGTGTCGGACCTTGGGCTTTCCGGTGTACATAGGTTCTTGTTCCATATTTATTTTGAAAAAAATTCATGTTTGTATGTTTATTTTCTTTCTGATGTACAAGTTCTATCGTTATTTTTGGCAGTCGTTGAACTATACCGTGAAATGACATCAAGATCAGCATCGTGTGCTGATCTCTCATCACATATATTGCTCGTGATTCCACTGCGTCAAGCTTGCGAAACGGCACTACCAAAAGTAAGAGTCATACCGTCTAGTAATAAACGAGCTATCTCGGCGTTCTCACTAGAAAAGCAGTCATGCGGCCTACGAACGGGCTCTGAATACGGCCAGAGTGTCAAATCGGTTGCTTTCATCAATGTCCACTTTCCAATGGTATCTGGAATTAGAAACCTTGTCTAGGACCTAGCCTACTGGGAACTCGGCAGATTGGGACTTTACACATAGACTCGAGTTTTCATTGTGCACTTTTGTTCAGCACATAGTCCTGAAGAAATATGGTTTCTCCCTCCCCAATGACCATAGATCAATAAGGTCGATAAGATCGATCGCCGGTCTCACCCCGATGAGATTTGTGTAATGAATCTGAGAGGCATCGTTTTCTGACCTCGGGTCAATAGGGTGTGTGAGAAATGAACCATGAGAGGCGAGACTGGTGAGAATGAGATCTTTAGTGGCGTAGACCCCCTGCTCCTTCTGCTTGTTGGCTCTCTCTTGACTCGGTTATCATATTGAGCCAGCAGTACCTCTTGCTGATAGCACCGACGGTCAGACCCATGTCCTTTACCGTAGCCTGGACTTCGCTACAACGAGTAAGAGTAGTCAGAAAAGGTCACATATCTTCTGAGATGTTTTAACTGCTGATGGGCGATACTAACCTTGAATTCAGTGGAAAGAGCGATATACTTCCACAGATTTGAGGTTCTTCTCGTTCACTGGGCTGAGAGCCGCTTTGAGAGAAGCGAGAGCAATAAAAAGATGCCGTGTGGATGGGCGAAGGACTGAGATAGTTGCCAGTCAGAGCTCGACCGTTGATCTATGACCGTGTGAATCCCAAGGAAGTCATGATCTAGGCCATATAATCTCCAGCAAAAGCACCTAAATATTTTCTGATATAACTTGTCGATTCAAGGCTTGGAATGTGGGCACTGATCATATATCCATTTTATTGGTATATAGCTGCATTGATGATTTATTTATTCGGTGAACCCCACGGAAGGGAAATACTAGCTATTTATATTTCAAAAAGAGCAAACGTTCCATGCAGTTCTGCGTACATATCTCATGTCATAAAACTTTAGAACATCCACTGGTACATGGGTTCACCGGCTTAGAATCCATCGTGATTCCACTGAATCACAATCACGATTAGCAACCCCTACAGAGGAGGTACGAGCTTGATACTTGGTAGTGGGAGATGTGAGAACTGTTTGACAATGTGTATGATACAGTCCAATCACAATAACAAGATCAGAATTGCTGACATGTACGAACAGGCACAAAGCATGCTAACATTATCAATTCGAAGAAGCAGAGAAGCATATTCACCTTCCTCACCCTCCATCCCCAAGATCCCTCCGAAATAGATGCGCACGGCTGAGAAAGGCTGAAATAGGGGAATCTACTGCACAGTCCACTTGTCAGAATAAGCTTGGTCGACGTTGAGACGACCTGCCTAGGTGGCATTCCAGTTACCTGCCTCGAAGCTGATAGCGGTATTTCCAACCTTGTAACCATTTGATTGTGAGCCCTGTAAACATTACCCCGATACTTTGTTAGACTGCAGGAAATCCGGGGTCCCCGGAAAATCAGCTGGTCCCGTGAAATCCCTGGAATGGGTCTCATAGAAAATCACGAAGAACTTGGCAAGGCAAGGAGCTCATATCTGAGACTCTGATATCATTATTTCCTATTATCAAGTGACTTCGTCAGTTGGGAACGACTCAAATCGGAGGCGAAAACATTTCGATGGAACATTCGCTTTGGCGAGATGAGGCATTGCCCAATAGAGAACCCTCTTTCTCTTTGATGTTTCTTCAATTGAATGTACTCCAAGTCAAACTCAAGAATTCAAGGCCTTGACTCGGTCCTTCCCCGTGAGAGCTGGCAGCGGTACCCTATTTGTTTCTATGGCCCAAAATATGCAACCTCAAGCTAGCATGAGATACAAGGAGTCTCTTTGTGCTCACCGCCACATTTGGTTTACTTGCTGGGTGTGAACAAAGAGGCAAAAGTCCCCTGTACAAAGGGATTATGCTATGGAGCACCAGGTTTGCCAAATACAAAGACAACAAAGAGAATCTTTGAGACCAAGGATAGCATTGTTACCCGAAGAGTCAAGTTGTATAGTCCCTCGTGGCTATATGAATGGTTATCTCCGCCTCGAAAATGATATCTCATCAACATCACTTTTGAGTATTCAGCTCACCTCATTAGCAGACCAGCTTATAATCATGAAATTCCCAAAACTCAGCGGAGCTAAAGAGCAGTCCGAGTATTTCACACCCGAAGCAGTCGAACGCTTCCCAATTGAGGCAGCAGAAGCCTTTGAGCCCGAGGACGAGGTTATCCGTCGAATCCACCGTACCGGCTCTCCCCCCGGTACTCTCCTTTGTTCATTCCCTGACCCTGCACCAGCGACAACTCTTAACCAGTTCCGTTTCCAGCTCTACCGCGAGAATGGGGTGTGGCCTGGTCTTACCGGTTACCTCGAGAAGTATGTGAACCTTACACACTTGGTCTGGAGCATGTGCGCTATACTTGCAGATAGCAACATCGATCCAGATTGGACAGGTACATTTGAGATGTGGCGCACGGAGTGGAGACAGTTCAATAAGAGCTTTCAAATTCACGGAAATACGACGCGCACTTTGGATGTCCCCCCTTCGCCAGTGAATGTTATTTGGATTCAGAAGCCTAACAGCCTTAAATTTGTGCGGATTGGTCTAAGTGAATACAAGGAGAAATACGGTGATCGCGAGATTCTGCAGGCTCTCTGGAGGTGGATGCTGTATGATGTGCCAGCTGAAGCTATTGTTGAAGGGACTTATATCATTAAGCTTGGGCATGAGTCTTGGTTCCCCAAGGATTAGAAATCTCAGATGTGCTCAGTATAGTTGAGATAGATCGAGAATGAATGTGCGATTATATCATGATCTGAAACATGAAGTGTATAAGATTGTTGTAATAGTAGAATATAGTAGAGACATGAAGTAGAGATTATTTACTAGGCCTTTTTGAGCGCGGATTCTGGTTCCCGAGGGTTCGACACATTAATGCCCTAAGACGAGGAGTTCATCGGAGCTCGGGCAAGAGAACAGCTCATTGCTTCCAGTAGTCCTGATATTCTGTTCAATTGACAGGGCTTCGGGGTTTGATTTCCGGGGTGTAAGTATGGAAGTTCACAATGAGGAGCTCCACAACATCGGGGCAAACCTCGTCTCTTTCTATCTGCTACAGCCCAATAAACACTTTTTATTGCATTCATCCACTGCAAAAGTGATATCGGTCATGCATAACTTGTCCAGGATTCGTTGGGGTATCATTGGTAATTCCGAATTCATTCCCGAGTTAGGTGTTATACACGGGCTGAACAAACGGCACTTGACATCCTCGAAGGCCGGATGGAGAGCAAAGTTACGCCGTGAAACACTGCCTATCATGGATATCATGGACGAGATCCCACGGCAGGGTAACACAATATATCCTGGAGAGTGATGAGACTTTGGATCTGCCTCTCGTATCAGCTCGATTCATTGTTCTTCGTCCCAAAACACAAGAGGACCTATGCGAAATGGGCTCGAGTGGTAATCTACTACCACTAACCTAAATATATTTGAGATTTCATAGCTACTACCATGATGTCCGTAAAATGATAGGTAGGGCGTTTTTGTGTATCAAATAGCGGTGGCGTTTAGTTCTCCCTACTGTTCTTTACCTCGCCTCCTACTTCATTTGCTCCCTCTTACTACCTTACTACACTTCAACAATGACAACTTATGTGGTTTACAGCCATGCTGACGCAATTAATGACTTCTTCAACTCGAACACCACAGTCACGAGACAACAGTGCGATGACTTCGCTATTGCTCGCGCTAGCGGTGTGTCCACTCCTATAAAAATGCAAGGAGCGTGCAGCCATACTGTAATAGCAGGACCGAATAAGTCCAGACTCTTCCAATTTTGAGAGGAGGGCTCTACCATTGATATGGGTAACATCAGTCTTGCCAAGGCACTCCATTCTGAGTTTATTGCTAGCTGCACGTATCTCGGGACCTTGGGCGGTTCGCGGCCACTCCATATCTACGAGATGGAGAACCTACCTGGGACCGCTCACATTATGGCGCGCATTCCACCAGACGACATGTCCCGACAGGGTAATACTATCAAAGACCTTGCTAGGTATGTCTAGGAAATTTGTGGCCTGGGCTGGCAAGAGGGAGCTGAGATTGTGGGCCAGGTTCCTTGCACAGTCGTGGAACAACGATCAACGGCCCTGCTCAGACGACACCGATATCTTGCTTAGGGAGTTTCAATCTAATTTCGACCTTCTTGCTCGAGACCTGCCATCTCGCTTTGCGCCAAATTTAGATAGGGTTTGCAAGGAGCTCCCATCTCTCTTCTCAAGCGCGCTTCCTTTTGTTCTTAGTCACAGAGACCTTAACGTGATGAATATCCTCGCCGATCCGAACACTGGCAACATCACAGGGATTGTCGACTGGGCGGAATCAAGAATTCTCCCGTTTGGCTTTGCGCTATATGGGCTCGAGAATATCCTAGGCTGGATGGATTCAACGGGGTGGCACTACTATGATAGCCACCGTGTACTTGAGAGCCTCTTCTGGCAAACATTTCGGGGAGAAGCTAATGATTTGTCCGATGCTGATTTGGATTTGATCAGCGTTGCAAGAATGGCCGGACTTTTCTACCATCATGGATTTGTTTTTGACGTAAAGGGCGCAGTGCAGAGTGTGCGGGAAGACCAACCGGATGGCTCTCTCGCATATCTCAATGCTTTCTGTACTGCTGGTGAGTGGGACCCGGTCTTGTGAGCTATATTATTCTATGCTACAGGACAGCCAGGAATATGCCCCAAGACGTGATTTCGCACATGTCTTAAGGAAAGAGCCTATAGGCCACATAGCCTAGTATACTGATGGGAATGAACAACTGCTCCTTCTGGTAGACGTTGTGGGGGATGTAGTGGCAAAAATAAAAAGGGAAGACACAATAAACATTTCTACGGGATGCTGCTTCCTTTGTTATTTCCCTCTCAATTTCGACTTCTTAACTTCCTCAACTCACTCGACCACGGACTTATCACCTCTCTTCCACTCCTCACCAAGACCCTTGAAGCCACGGTGTAGCTTCAACCAAGAGGTACCCACTGCTTGCAATAACCAGAACGTAACATGGGATACACGAGTCATGGAACCCACGATAAATTGCTGGCTCGAAAGACACCCCATCGGTCATAACGAGCAGATTTTGGTTGAAGATATCACAAGACTGTTGGGGTGAGGGAATTATTCTCGATGAGACTGACCACGACGAAAGCCTCAACGAGATAATATCACATCCCTTCGCAGAAGAAACTGTCGAGTTCAATGCCTAACAAAGAGATATTTACAACACACGGGGCCTCCTTGTCCTCGGGCGATTTATCTCCTTGAGCGAAAGACAAACAGCACACATGAGGTTGATTCCACTCGCACGTATAAGTGCAGCTCAACCCATCATAGGATGGCTGTAAGATGATACCCACCTACTATACCCTCCTCATATTCTATCTTCCTGTAATGATTGATGGCATAGGAAGAGTTTGGTGCCTTGGCTGCCCATTGCTCGGAGTAGAGAAGCTTGTGGCAGGGTGGCGGGGGTAGGCATATGGAGAGTCATTCCTTGTGCGGGAGGTGGATATTGGATACGAATTGTGCTCGGTGATGAAGAAGTTTATGTACTGGACCTGTTGGGTGTGTTGCCAAGGTCAGCTCGTTGAACAGATGAGAGATACCAAGGCTGTTCAATGCTTCTTCTCATTCCTCCTTCTCACTGTGTGGACCTGGACTTTGGAGTGAACCCCGACTATCAACAATGCCAGCCTTTTTCTATTATTCAAATCAGAAGCTTGTAGTGCTTCAATCTCCTCTTCTTCGTACATCCTAGTAGTATACAAATTTAGGACTCGGCTCAACAACCTCTTTTGACGTGAATGTAGCACGGCGACATTTTGTCTCGATCTCCGCTACCCCAGGCCCAAGGAATGTACGAAGGTTCGAAATTTCCATATCAGCCTGTCCCCACATCACAGGCTTGTCTGCGGCATCAATGTCATCTGGCGGCGGGTGGCAAGCAGCACTGATAGCCGCACTACAGTTCATGGCAATCGGCATGGCAGCCGATTTGAACTTCCGGAACATCAAAATAATAAAGCCCACAACCATTAGGATCCAGGGTATAACCATAACCTTCAGACCAACTGACGACACCCCCATACCGTGGAAGGCTCGACTGCGATGTAGATTACCCTGAGCATCTCGGGGGATGATTTGCACGAATGACAAGGCCTCAGAGGCAAGCCAGTGGGAAAGAGTAGATAACACGATAAATGGCACACTGTACCGGTATGGTACAGAGAGGTAGTATGTCGAGCGTTGTTGTCCAGTGGGGAATGAGACTCGAAGGGGCTTGCGTTCGACGCCGAAATCGTTGTATTCGGCGGCAAGTAGCATCCTAGTGAGAGTATTGTTGTAGATTGCGTAGATTATTGAGATCACAGCCTGTGGAACATTCACTGCCAAAACGATAGCGATGAATCCCAGGTATTCCAATGGGTAGAACTGGGTGTGGTATAACGAAGTGAGTGTCTGTTTCCATGATGACATGCCATCCGCATTCAGATCTACTCCCTCGGTACTGCCAAACATGGAGGTATTATAGCCCAAGGCGAGACCGGCCAGAGCAAGGAGGGAGATTTTGAAAAACAACAGGAAAGCAAACAGTCGACTTGGTAGGGCAGCTGACCATCTTCGTCGGACCGTGCAGATCTTTTTTGGTTGTGGAGGTGGGCTCTGTCCCAAACGGAATGGGACAGCGCGGGAGAATATAGATACCCAGGGGTAATCATTGAAGGAATGCAATGCTTTTGGTTGTCCTTTATTGGCCCGATCCATGAGGCAATTGTTAGCCGTGTAAGGATCGGGGCATATTAGAAATGACTTCAGGGCATCGCCAACTGTCAAAAGGACCTCGGACCGGCGCTCAAGAGCAGTAACAAGCATGCATATTAGCTTCAATGCAATGCAGCCCATTACCACTAAGCCAATGGGCAGACTACATCCAAGCTCACAAGTCGGCGTGATCGGTCGACTGAAGCAAGTATGAACCCGCAACTCGTCCATGTAGCTAATCGGTGCCGCAATTGTATAGTTACCCTTGTATTCGCCGATCGCACAACTCAATTGACTGTCCCTGTAGGTACTGCTAGTGGAGATACCACCGGAGTCCCTGGAAACCTGACATGGCCAGACCGTTAGGCTTGAGAAAAGATCCGGGGTCAAAAGAACAACTGTGGACCGGGCGGTTTGATAAGCGCTACTGTAGGCTTCCATACAGGTGTCATTGCTCAATTTCTCGAGTTTACCGGATATGAGATCATCATATAGGTTGGTTGCATTCATGCCAACTATGTGGTGGAAGTTGGATGGGACATCGAAATCAGACACGTCGGTGCGGTTAGTCCCAAAGTCTATTGGCGCAGCGACGATTCCAAAATCATTGGCGTTAATTGATACGTATATGAAGGAGTTATATCTGAAGACATCGTATGTTAGCCCGAGCTCTCCCAACGGTCGCAGCAGGAAGCCTACATCATCTGAACTGGCAGGGACGTTCCAAGAATCAACACCCATAGTGTTTTGCGCCACAGGGGTGCGTACCAGACGTTCGTAAAACTGGAGGATCCAATCGATACCCACACCCGCTGAGCGTGGGCAATATCGATTCTTGCGCGCGACGGTGCTGCCAGAACTTGATTACAGTAGCTGCTAGTGGCCCCCAAAGTCAAAACAATGATGTTGACAAGAATATGGAGGCCGGTGGCGATTTGGTTTGCCTGGTGGCATGTGCCTTCATAGATAACGGCCGACGAGGAACCCCATCCATAGCCACCAGAAGCGGCTTTTGCGGCCAATTTTACCGTGAGAATGACATGGGCGAGTAGCCCCAGTGCCACCCCCAATGCACAAAGTAGTAATCCAGTAATCCATTTTTTCTTGGTCTGGGGCAGTGGTGCGGGTGATGGAGAACACTTTAAATCGTCGTCTGCCGCTGTTTCATAGTCCGGGGTATCATGTTCGTTGACGAGTTGGTATGTCTTTTGGTCCACGCTGGAAGGCTGCCTGCAATGAAAAGCGGTTGGTTGGTGGCGATCAAAACATAGGCTTGCTAAAATTTGTTCGAGACTCACTTGGAAACTCGCAATGTATTAAGTGGGATAGGCTCTTTCCCGTGAATCAAATGCTCCTCCTCTGAGAGATGGAGGAGAGCTGTTGCGGAATCACTCTCTCGTACGCTCGTCATCTCATAGGACCCCAACGACCAAGGAGAAATACTGAATTAGAAGGGCGCATAACTTGGATTTGACTGTTAACACAGTTTGAGATGACCCCCAGCTGTGGGGGCCAAACAAGCCGCATTCGGGCCAGTGGCTGATCCTCGGCGTTACTGCTTGTGTGGCTCAGCGAGTCATTGATGCACTGACCTCTCGATACTCTCCCGAGGTCCATTCACAGCCAATTAGGGTTCCGAGGACTCGTTTGATTGGTCTTCATGTCCCCATCCGCACCCCACAGCCCCTTGAAGCTACGCCCTAGAAAGTCTTGATATTATTAGACCATTTACTGACATCTTGGAATCCTGAGGGCATAGCCACAGAGGTCTGATTATCTTCGAGTCCCACTACATGGGAAAGATTATGATGAATGTTATTGGGGGTATACCAGAAGTACAGTGCAAATAGGAAAAGCTTCGCTCACTGTGTAGGGAACAGACTTTCCATACCGTGAGATCGGCTGAACCGTTCCCAGCCAGTTGACGTATTTGTAGCGCGAATCCAGTAACCTCCCGACCCATCCTTCGTGACGACTGCCACAGGTACTATGTTGAGTTTCAATGTGTTCACAATCATGGGATTGACAAATACAACTGACGCTTTTTGCCCGTTCAGTCTGGCTCCGGAGAAATCAAGACCTGTATAATCGAATGTTGTCCAGTGGGACACAACAGCTAAGCCTAGTTTTCCAGTCCCACGCAGCGCTAACGATAGGGTCTTTGACGAATGATCTTCTGAGAATCGAAGGCTTTGTTGGACGGATCCGGTGGACGTATATTGCAGTGTCGTGAGGCGTATATCCCGTGCAATCTCACCAACTGAGGCTTTTTTCAGCTGCTGCACAGAGAATTTACACCGAAGAGGCCCAACGCTACAACGGATGTAGTATGTTCCAGCCTTTGGGGGCTCGAGGAAGCGGCGAAAGTTAATAACCCCGAAGTAGTCCACTGGATTAGGAGACGTAGGTGTAGGTTGAGCGGAATAGACGCATTTCAGATACCATGCAGCGATAACATCATTTCGTGTGAGTTGAATCTCAGGGGAACAATCCTTCAGCCCTTCCTGTGATTTGATCCGTAACTCGTCGACCCATGTGCCTGAAATGTAGACAAACTTGGTTTTGAAATCCTCCCGGAATCCAAACTTCACAGCAAGAACTGCCAGCAGCACACGCCACACAATAATTGCTAGCTTAAATATCCCGCTGTCGTAGTTTTGCGAATGCATCTGGTAGTGAAAATTGGCCTCCGTTTCGGTGCGCCCATTTTTGACTTTTATCAGATCAGACATTCGGACATCCCCGGCATCGGGTGGAAGAGCAAACAAAGGGATTGTCTTATTAGAAAGTAGGTCACAGAATGCTTTAACCACTTCCCAGCAATCATTGCCGTCGCAAATATGGTGCGCGATCCCAAAACAGAGCAATGTAGCATCTTGAAGGAGAGTGACGCGAAGGCGGAAACTGTTTGTGAAGCTGGGAGAGACATCGAATACGAATCTCTCATCAATTTCAGATAGTTCCGAGATTTTCATAATTCTTGGCTCATTGCTATTGTGTTCGTGATGAATTGGAAGATATGTAGTCAGTGATTGGTCAATAGCCCTGCTGGTGTAATCGACAGTAGAGCCACAGGTGAAAGACCATGGTTTTGTCTAAAAAAGGATATAAGCAGGCCGTAGTAGTGGTAAAACGAACTCACGTCTTTGCGCAAATCACCGCCAAGTATTGGCCATAATCCAATTAACTCGGTGAGTTTCCCCTTCAAAATAGCCGAATCAAGTACGGCATCGATAACCAAGCCCGCATAAATGGTACTGTCATTTCCCAAAGGACTGACACTTTTGCAGGTGTATTTCGAGCGCAAATTCGGACCTTCCATTTTCAAGTTTTGAGGAGCGGTGACAGAGACTCTGAGAAAAGGTATGGAAGGATAAGATCCCTTTATTGGATGAGCCCAGTACATATACTCCTGGAATCATGACAGCCCTACAACACAGGCACCAGCCCTCCCGTAAGTGCTCGGTTTTGTCAGTGTACCGCATATTAATCGGAGTAACATAGAGAATCTTTCAGAGATTTGAGTTCCAAATTATGCGATACTTGCCTAGTTTGGCGCACAGAGCGTAGTACAGAGTAACACTTCCCTTGATTTCCCTTGATTTTCCTTTGTTACTCTGCCAATTATCTTCTGTATTGATAATACTACACTTGCCGATGAAAAAAGCCTTGATTAAATAGAAATGCCTTTCTCAATGATCAACAATCAAATTCTCATGGGAATTATGATACAATGTGCTTCAGCCCACCCGCTAAGTAGAGTTGGTAGCGGCACTCGTGGATATCCGCATGCAGCATTCCTGCATATGCAAACTAGTGGTAAATATTGTGCTTATTTCAAACGCATACAATGAATTTAACAGGTGCATCACCTAACTAATTTCATCCTTTTGTATTGATGCTACTATGTGCTAATTCAGGCTACATTTCCAGACCATTTCCCAGATGAGCTGGCATGTTGGGAAACGATATGTCGACATTGTACGAAAGTATTTTGCCGAGGTGCGAGGGACCTGCAATCGTGGCACCACTAACAGGAAATGTCTATGTCGGTGGGCTTGCCACATGTATCGTTTTTGTTTCTCTTCCCTCCCCGATTACTCTCCGATGGATGCAACATTAAAATGTCTCTGAACCAGAACTCCCAAATATTCACATATGCCAAGTTTGATATTCAAAGCCGTGTGCCGCCAAACTAAGGAGATACGCAGGGCATTCCATTAGCATGCAATCCGGATGAACGTCGTCGTTCGTACTCTGCTTATTCTTAAGTACAGAGTACTCCGTGTAAATATCGTTATTAAACCTACCCCCTTGCGGGTATTCTGCCTCCTCTTCGTATAATGTATCCTTTACCAGGACTCACATACAAAGGATAAGTATCTGAACTCTCGGAACATACAGGACCACTACATATGTTGTGTTTGTGTACCTTTGGTATGAAGTTGCTATACAAAAGGTACCATGTTGTTACAATTTGCTATCCAGTAAAAGCTTACTATTTGGTGTAGCACACGAACACCGGTTGTGTATATTGTAGGTGCTGATTGGGTCCACTGTTATAGGAACTAAGCTCCCCGCAAGCGCCATGAGTAGTCGTCTGTTGTTGATCATTCCAAGGGCGTGTAGTCCAGGAGCTTCGCTTCACTGGTCGGCGCCAATTACAACAGCAGCACAGGTCGACAGGATAGAGTTGGCGAAAGATCGCTTCTGCGATACTACCTAGGTATGGGGCACAGGCAAGATCAGAGCGCTTGATGGTATTTTAGTGCTCTTTAGCCTGACCAACAGCGGATAGTACTTCACTCTCACTGGTGCAAGTACAAGTCGTATCTCTTCTGTTGGTTTACAACTACTGATGCAGCAGCTTTGTGCATTTCTCTTGTTTCAAGATTTCCAAAGTCATTTCCTTATTTTTTAATTTTTTTGAGTGCTCATCGGGCATAACTCAAATTTTAATTGTAAAATGATAGGAATCCATGGATATAAATACCAGACCTTCTCGCCAGGCTTTTTCAGAATGGTCAATCCCATTGATACTTGGTTTCAAACAGCCTCCAGTTTCTCCAATTCGGTATGTCAAATCATTCCTTCTGACGGTCAAGACTACGCTGGCAACCTAGCACCAGCACCAAGTACAATCAGAGCACCGATTTGCTACACAAGAAATAGCAAAAATGCCCAAGGCCTTGACATAATTTGCACAACTGGCGCAGAATGTCAAAAATGCGCCGTCTTAATTTACAGCAGCCGCCTCATCCCTTCCGAGTGATACAAAAACATCCCCTAACACCGTTGCCTGGTCCATTGAAAACCCCGAGATTGGCTGTGCGCGATTGCGCTTAGAGAAGGACGATTGAGATGTGGTATCGCGGATGAGTGAAGGCCGAATATACTGAAACCGGTGAGAGTGAAATGTGAAGAAGAAAGGCACTTGCGATATATGGAATGTTCTTGTGCGGCGCATTGTGCGAAAAGCCGGGAGGGTACATGGTAGGCTTGGTTTTGTTAAGTGATTTATATTGATAATAATATAACTACAGGGGTTGACCCTCACTCATACACAAGCGGTCGATGGCTTCGGGACGACAAACATCAGCGCCAGCTGCACCGGATTGACCTTAACTTTGACGAGCTCTGTCGACGCGGCTACCCTTCACATCAGCTGGCCCCGCAAAATTTGTCACGGCTTCTGAAGTGGCGACGATCCAATACTGTGCGTGAAACAACCATCTGCGAGGGGCCAGCTCTTGCGCTAATTACTTGTGCCACGCAGTACAGAGAAACACCAGCATTCCGATCCCTGAAATTCTTGACTGGAGCGACGACGCGGTGAATATCGTCGGAAGCGAATACATCATCATGGAACATGCGGCTGGTATTCCGCTATAGCAGAAATGGCCCTACATATCGGGCGATCAGAAAGTCGCATGCATAGACGTCATTTACAAAAAGCTCAGAGAGATGATTGATCTCAAATTTTCGGCCTATGGAAGCATATACTTTTCTACCACACCTTAGGCTCTTCCTCTAGGCTACCGCTAGACGGCGACTTTTGCCTCGGGCTCCACTGTGGAACAAGGTATCGGGCTTGTGACGACCCCAGGTACTACCAACATACAGCTCCCAATCAAGGTCCATGTGAGTTCGCTTTAACCTTCATTCCGGGAATTAAGGACCAAGTCTTGGAAATACAAGGTCGACGATAGGTGCATATTCCGAGGGCCTTGTCGACGCAGGTCTTTCACGGATCCCACCGAGGGACTCTCAGCTCCCCAATCGATCAATCTATCAAGGCTCGGTTCAGGAAAATTTAACTCTTCTGGGAAGTGGTCGTGCGGTGCTAAATGCAATTTCTGCGGATAACCGGGTCCGTGATGCAGCTGTGCCGACCTTGTTTTATCCTGACCTACACAAAAGGAACATATTTGTTTCGCATGATGATCCTTCGGTCAAACTAGTTTTATTGATTGGCAGTCATCCAGCATAGAACCGGCGTTCTGGTATGCAGATGAGGTTCCGGACTTCGCAACCTGTCTAGCTTCCTCCACAGGTGCTGAAGGAACAGGTGAGAGCGAGCTATGCACAAAAACCTACGAAGTCTGTACCCGGTTTCTCACTCCAGAGCTCGCACTCCCTAGGTCGATGGATGAACGCATATTTCGACCCTTTCAGTGCTGCTACAGAACGTGGAAGGATGGCGCCGTTGCTTTTCGGCATGAGCTCATTGAAACCTCTCAAGACTGGGAAGCACTCGGATTGCCCTGTTCGTGTCCATTTGTCTTACCGACGCCAGAAGAGATGTCTCTGCACTGAAAGGAGTACAAATGTTTTGAGGCAGCCCAGATATTGTGCTCATAAAATCCACATTGGCCACGGAATACAATGCCTAGTCGGACAAAATGTGGTATTTCCAACGTGGTGACGGCGATACAGCCTTAGGTCATTGCGCAGCTAACCTCACCTCATCCAGAATGACGTCCACAATGGTGTTCACAATGAAAGCCTGGTTCTACTCCAGCATAACAAACGGATAAGAAAAATCTCACCTTCAACACCTCAGCGCGCACCCCAAAAGTATTAGGCGATGACAGCCTAATCAAAGTCCTCTCCGCCCCGCTGAACCCAGCAGCAGACTACATTACTTAGCGCTTCCTTATCTCCGGCAAACACCGAACAACTTTAACATTAATGTTCTCACGAATAGATTAATCGTCGGATCATGTCCATCGTTCAAAAGACCACGAGTTTTGAACGTTGACATCTGTGCCCTTTGAGAGAACGGTCGTAAGTCTATTAGAGAAAATCGTGGTCTGTCGTGGGATGCGAAGCATCGGAAAATTTGAGACAGGCCATCTTATTAATCTTATTAACTAAAAGACAAGAATAATTCATGTAGGCATGATTGGTTCGCTGTTTCTCTGAAATAACTATCGCTCGTAAGACACGGGGGGACGGGTGGCACGGTGTTAAGAGACGCACATATCCAATAAGCCAATAACATCTAATAAATACCATACTTCCTTTGCTCAGCTGGTGATCAATTAAATAGTTGAACATACGTCCCATTCACTCAATGTTTATCGAGTTCATCGTGTGCAATGGTCAATACACGCTGAGGATCAGTCAGTCCACCCGATTTACACAGTGACATTTCCTGCAGGGCATCTGTTCCCTTACTCTACTATGACGAGAGCTTAAACACTGTTAAAAATCGAGCATACGGTGGTCTTACATGAGTATTTGCACCTCAGTACTTCCACCATTGACCGCTCTTTCGTACCGTCTGCCTATTCCTACTGGTATAAACCGCGAGCGCGTAGTATACTGTTTCCCGGGCGGCGATGAGTGCAAGATAGAGGGAGAGGAAGAATAAAAAAGTGAGAGAGGGGGAGGAAGAGCAGCGAAGAGTCGAAGACGGGTCTTTTATGTCGGAGGGCATTGGAGGGTACGTGACGGCGTGTTGGGACACTAAACCTAAACAAAACTAACTGCATATATTAATTCACAGGTCCGCCGTTTACATTAGAAAAGATGTCTGGTCCACCGCCAGCCCAACCTCTCCCCTTTTTGCCAAGCGCAACGCAAGCCTCAACCAATTTGTGCATGTACTATATCGAAGATAGAACCGCCGAAAAGGGGAGCCCATGCGAACCGCGATGTCGATGCACATGTGGATTATCTTAAATGACATGACTTCGTGGTATTTACTATAGCTGTACATTCTCGAATAACAATATATGCCATGTCTGGTGTGGTCAATCTATCGCAAAATACTCCGAATCTGTCAATTGAAGATGATGTTCATAGCTGAACGTTCCAGACACGACGTGGCGTACATGAGCATCCTAGAAGAGTAAATGGACTACAGATATGGGATTTGGCACGGTTTCGAGACCGATCGTCGGGTTTTCCTGTTAGGGCTGATCCGTTCGGCCAACCTACCTCAATGGTCAGCTCGGGTGGCATTATTCCGATCTCCCCCAGGATCTCGGGGAAGAGGCCGGGATAACTGACGCTAGGCGACTCCACTTGGACGTTTGACCTCCACCTACTCCACGTTTCCTAGTTGCCCCTCGCTCGGAGACACGCCGTGGAGCTCGGCTCAGTTGCCTATGGCAGGATTATCCGGCAAAATGGAAATTGAGGGGAAGCCCAAGGGTATAAGAACTGCCAGCAAGGGTCCACAATTGAAGCTGAACCATACCGCCATAACGTTTTTCGACTGGCAGTTCAGATATATTGAACCACCTCCAAGATGGCAACAACATTAACCGGTGGAAACCCACACATCATCCAACTGCCCAAGACGCCCTCCGACGTACTATCCGACCCGCAAACCGTCGCTGAGCAATGGATCTCGGCTCTCGAAGTCCAGCTCTCCCGTTCAGAGAACGTGGACATCAAGGGACTGTTCCATGATGACTCCTGGTGGCGCGATATGCTGGCGCTGGACTGGGACATGCGCACCGTACACACAGCCACTGAGATTAAGAACTTCCTCTCCAAGCAACAGAACAAGGCACAACTATCCAAGTTCAAACTCCAGGATACAGGAAAGTTTAAGCCACGTCTAGAGCAGGTCGCCGACGGGTTGACCTGGGTTTCTTCCATGTTCTTCTTCGAAACCGCCGTTGGTACTGGAACAGGCATGTTGCGTCTAACCCAGGCGGAGGATGGAGTTTGGAAGGCTTATGCTATGTATACGGCATTGCAGGAACTCAGCTCGGCTCAAGAGCCCCTTGGGAAACGTCGGGCTTACGGGACGACGGAGTCCATGCCCGGTGGTCTGGCCGGGGGCACATGGATTGAGCGCAGGAATCGCCAAAAGGAATTTTTGGATGAGGAGCCGGCTACATTGGTTGTCGGGGCTGGTAAGGAATCCCTTGGTTAAGATCATTGTCCATGATTTTAATACTAACTGGGCAACAGGTCAAGCTGGATTGAATATGGGTGCGCGTTTACAGAACCTCGGCATATCGTGCTTGATTGTCGACAAGGGCGAGCGTGTTGGAGATAATTGGCGTAACCGGTACCGGGTACGTGACATTGGTGAAACTTGATTTTTTTGCCATGGAGAAAAATGCTGATGTTTCGCGCAGACACTTGTCACGCATGATCCAGCTGAGTACACACACATGGCCTATCTGCCCTTCCCGCAGAACTGGCCACAGTTTACACCAAAAGACAAGCTGGGTGACTGGTTTGAAGCATACGCCAGCATAATGGAGTTGAATATCTGGATGCAGACTTCAGTCGTCTCGGCAGAGTACGATGAATCTGTAGGCCAGTGGACGGTTGTCCTCGCTCGCGGCGATGGGTCTCAACGGACTGTCCGACCCAATCACCTTGTATGGTGTACAGGACACTCAGGCGAGGCGAAAATTCCCTCCTTCCCGGGACAAGATTCTTTCCAGGGCAATCTGTATCATGGCAGCCAGCACCGCGACGCGTCGGAAACCGATGTTCGTGGCAAGAAAGTTGTCGTCGTCGGGACTGGTAACAGCGGTCATGATATCGCGCAGAACTTTTGCGAGAACGGCGCAGATGTCACTCTGCTGCAACGCAGCGGGACATATGTTATAACTGCGGAGAAGGGTGTCTTTATGATGCACAGTGGAATGCATGAGGATGGCGGGTACGTTTTCGAAGTCTTTCCTATCTCTTTCTTATCCTCCCACCCCCTAGTTCACATCATACTAATATCAACCGTGTAGTGCACCAACTGAACAATGTGATATCGTCTCCGAGAGTCTCCCCTGGCCTGTTCAATTCGCTTTGGGTGTACATATGACGAAGAACATTGCCGAGGCCGAAAAGGAGACGCTTGACGGACTCCGTCGGGCTGGCTTCGAACTTGATTTCGGGATAGATGGAGCTGGTATTACCCGTGCATACTTTACCCGCGGTGGGGGTTACTATATCGACGTCGGATGCAGTCAGCTTATCATCGATGGCAAGATCAAAGTCAAACACAACCCAGGCGGTATCAATGGCTTTGGGCATCGTGAGCTGCTTCTGGCAAATGGTGAGTCCCTGCCAGCGGATGTTGTTGTCCTCGCCACCGGATACGATAATATGCGCACGACGGTCAGGAAAGTCTTGGGTGACAAGATTGCAGACCGGTGTTCCGACGTTTGGGATCTGGATGCTGAAGGGGAACTTCAAGCTGTAAGCTACCATTGACTGTGATGATCCTTTTGAAACACATGCTAATTACACTGTTCAGATGTGGCGCCCCAGTGGTCATCCAGGCTTCTGGTATTTTGGTGGAAATCTCGCCTTGTGCCGGGTCTACTCCAAGTTTTTAGCACTTCAGATCAAGGCTGTCGAGGCTGGATTATCAACCGGGGTACGGCAGTAAACGGAATTGGAATTTCGCTCGAACATGCTTTTGCAGTTGCCCCAATTGTAGATGTCCCAATTTATGCGTTGGTTTATGAGATACATTTGTAGTCTTTCGGTTTATCAGCAATCAATAATGAGCGACAATCATTGAATGCATCATGAATGACATCGAAGTCCCGACCGTTACAACGGCCGACTACATAACATCACATTCCCTTTTACTGTGGAAGCCGGAGCGAGGACTTTCGCGTTCGATCTTTTCTTCCCAGCCTTGCCGAAGCACTACCTTTCTCCTATTTCCATATCACCATTGTTGTAGGTGACTTGAGCTCCACCCAGATTTATTCGGATATTGATGGTAGCAGGGTCGTTCCGAGCGATGTGAGCTGGAGTGACTGCACGCGACCGGTGTCTCCTAAATCATGGTCGCTCATAGTGAAGTCCTGTGGGGCGTCTACGCCCTCGTTTTTCTGCCGGACACTTAGGTTTAAGTTGTGGATATTCATGTAGAGTTTATTTGCTGTACATTGAACTTGATGGTTGAAGTATATACTATACGTAGACCATGTTGATCGTAACAGAGTATTTGACGCGTTCATAGGGCCAAGAAACCACTTCGCCCCCTCAGCGACAAAACACCCAAACCCAAAGAAGCAAACATAAAGCAAGAAGCTGCTGCTGACCTTGAGATGAGGCAGCCGCACTAAGATGGGGATTGTATGTGTGCAGACTACAGTAACTTGACTGGACACCCATGTCCGGATTGTCTCTTTCCTGGCAGAGCGAGAAATTACCGTGCAGCCAGCGGCTCGCCTCATTATCCATGACGCCCGGCTCAGGTAGGTTTGTGAAAAATCGATCAGGTATCTCGCACCACATGGCATTTTGGTTTTCCGTTTTGACAGGATTGGGCGAGCAGCATGTTGTCAAGGATTTGGTTTGATTTTTACCGGCGATTCCATCTTCGATATAGTACATGCACAAGTTGGTTGAGGCTTCCGTTGCGCTTGGCAGCGAGGGGAGACTTTGGGCTGACGGTGGACCAGGCATCTTTTCTAATGTATTGTAAGTTATAATCACTACCTGTGCTGTCGGTATTCATCCTACCGTTACTTTTTCAAGGTCACTATGGTATTTTGCTCTTCTGTATGTTGTGGAGTTTTTGAAATTCGTAAAACACTGGGGAATCCCGGGATGTCAGCAAAGGCGACTTGCTCAGGGGTTTTACCTTGGCATGTTTGGGGGCTATGGTGGCAGTGTTCAGCTCTCCCGCTAGCCCCCAATCTCACCCGGCGATAGTAGTCAGTGGAGACACGACAGCTATTTGGGACGCTCAGCTTAACTGACACTTCGTAACCAGTCGCTTTCAGTTGGCAGTATAACGACCACAAATGTGATTATTCTGGTTTTCATGTATTTGTGGATTGAAAATGAATTGATGGTAGCGTATGGATATTAAGAGAAATGACACGTCGTGAATTGAGTAGAGAAAAGTGGAAGAGTGTGAGAAAAGGTGGAATGGGGGAGAACAAAGGGATATGACGTGCGATACACAGCTTCACTAGGGAAGGGAAATCAAAACAAGTCAAATGCACAGGGTTGAGATTATAAATGGGAAGGCAAAACAATGAGAGCAACGAAGTTTGGATGGAGAAAGATGGGATGGATGAAAATAGGAAGGAAAGGAAGATGGGAATAGCCTCAGAGAAGTCGGGCATTAGATTTAGGGCAAACACAGGGTGGGAATTACTTCAAATACCGCGAAGGTACTGGAGAGGAAAATTAAAAACGTAAATGGCGATAGGGGAGGCGCGAGGCAGGTGGGAATAGCTTCAACGATCAGCCATAAGAATTAAGACAGGAACCACCTCAGTAAGGCAATGTATAAATAGCTTCACAAAGCTAAGAGGCACGATCAATTATGGTGGTGCAATGGAGGTAAATACATAGCGTAAACCCCTAGAATAGCTTCAGTACTGACGAGATACGGTGGGGAATGACTTCAAAAGACATCTGGAAAAGGTGGACCTCGGAACTCTGAATAGCTTCATGATCACCTCATTTGGCTGAGCAGGATCTAACCAATCAGATCACTAGAAATAGCAAAAACGCACTGTTATCATAAAGAACAAAGACAGGTCTCATACCCCCAAGCCCCGTTGGCTCAACGGTATTGGCCTGGTACTTTCAACAAGTGCCCCGCTGGTTGGAAGGGCACACCGCGCGTGTAATCTCCTTTGTTCGAGTCAGGGCATTGTCATGTGTTCGGAATTTGTGGCAGCGCTAACAACATCTATGGGCTACCCTTCCAACAGGTCAAGACAGGCGGCCTTCTCCGCAGTCTTAACACAAACGGGGGTCCTTTTTTTCTCCCTTCCAAAAAAACCTCCCCTTAAACATGGTTGATATCCTTTTGCCTCTTGTTAGACTTGCAGAACCTCGAAAAATATTGACCTAAACATAGCATTGATATGGACTGGAAAGTAGTCAACTTTCCACTTTACATGGACCCACTTCCCCAGATTTTGTCTTTCCTGGGGAAAGTTCCCATGTTCTTCCTACGGCTTCGAAGCTTCAATATGAAGGAATTATCCGTATGATAACTATTGGTATAAACGTCACCCATGGATTAGCATTGCAAGCTAATTTCTTCACAGCAATCTTCGATATGCTTTCTACTCTGGCCTCGCTCGAACCTTTGAAAATCGGATAACGCCCTTGTGGACTATGATACTACCTTTGTCTCAGCGCAGCAGGAATCCAGTAAGCCCATTTCTCTCTCCATCCATCGATGTACCAACAATAACGGCCAAATCCTAGCCGTAACCGCATACTCAAAACCAGCTACTCGACCAACCTCGACTGCGCAGGTTTCTACGGCTTCAACGCCGTCAACGTGGTATGTCGTTTCACACACATCCGATCCAGTACTAATCAGTACCCTACAATTTCAATGCGCCAGCCGCCATACTCAACCATATAAAGCCATCGGCGCAGCCAGCATCGCCGGCTACAAGGACATCGCCTGGCTCATCCCCTCCGGCCCCCGTCAGCCATGACTTGTACGCAAGCGATAACGGCAACATCATCCTAGCAAGCACTCGTCCAGTCTCTTAAAGGCGATACCTATGTCTACAATGGCATTGCACATTCCGGCATGAGATCGACTACCTACTACGCTTTCGGAACAATCGAGGCACACAATGTTCTCAGCAAGTCGAAGAGCCGGTCTGTCTATTTCTCCGACTCTCGGCGTCTCGGTTTGGCTGGATTGCTGGACAGTGTACTCATGTTTAGCGCTACGCGACTTACAGGTGCTTTTCTGAATCTTACTAACAAGAATGGATATGGAAGAGCTGTCTTGATTCTCCACGAACATCATTGAGTTCCAGTGGCTGCCATACTAAAAAGCCGACCACAAATATCAGGCAACAGTCTGAACACCAAATACTGGCATCAAGTCTGAAACTATCGAGCAACATTGGGGCAAATGAGGTCAGGTGACCACTTGATAATATTCTCCATGGCAACCTCGCGATCCATCTAGTCCTCCTTCGAGATGATCCGGGGCCAAATATTCTCTTCTCGGCCTTGTCAGAGCTTTTTTTTGTGCTTGAAATGAGGCACATTTTGTGAAAATTTTGAATTTCTTTTCTTCCCAGGTGTTATTGTTGACCTTCCTAAAGGAGAAGAGCTACCCTGGCACGTGACCGGCGCGTTCGGTAACCGGCTAACATATCCCCATCAGGCAGTTGACAGGCATCAGGACCAAGCTACAGCCTACGATCGATACACATCGGCAGATCTTTGCCAACTGGAACCCGTTATTTGCTCCTGTTGCCAAAGGTCTGGGTTCGCTAGCGTTCTGTTGTTGGAATCGCGTGAGGAAGCAGCAATCATGAGCGAAAGAGGGTCGGAAATCGTTTACCGAGCGGAAAATGTCCCGATTCGCTTTTTTAAAGCATGTCGATGGTGCAGAAGACAAAAGATGCGATGTGATGCGCGCAGTCAAGTCCCTTGCTTCCGCTGTCGCTCTACCGGCCGGGACTGCATCTTGGACCCCATCGATGGTGGCCGACGACGAAGTGATCGTCGGCGAAAAACAACAACACCCGCAAGGTGACAATTTGAGATATCGATCTTGCATATGAAAGCAACAAGCTAATATTCTGTCAAAGAAACCATACTGCTTCACCGCTGGATCCTAGAACCGGATATCACACTCCGGCATCGAGAGATCAGGGGTTCTCACCTGCCACCGTGCAAGATGGCGGCTTTGACACTTCAATTGACTCTTTGCCCGGCTCTACTGGATTAAATCGCCTCCAGCGGTCTTATACGTCTGATGCTAATGGACCGGACTCTCAACAGCTCAGCCCTAATGAAATGATCGCGCCCGCGTCAGCGGTACACTCAATGTCTGTGAACTTGCTAGGCACTAATGATGTGAGTCATTGGCAAACCATTTATATAGTTGGCATCTAACAAACCAAGATCTTTATGGAAAACTCAACCAAGGGTGATCCCAGAGGAGATGTGGTCGCCAGAGGAATCGTTAGTGAGGAGCTTGCTCGTGTTATGTATGAAAGGTATGGAACTAACAACCAAATGAAATTGCAATCCATCATAACTAAATATAACTCTCCTACAGGTTTACGGGTGGATCAAAAAACTTTCTTCCTCTTTTTGATCCGATTAGAGACACATTCGACTCTGTCCGTTCAAGATCTTTGTTTTGCTTTACGGTGATTATCTATCTGGCTAGCCGTGCAGTGACAGACCTGCGCGGAGACACGCATATGCAGCGTGTTCTACAAGATGAAGCACAGCGCTTGGCCGAAGACAGCTTCTTCGAGCGACCCACCAAACTGGAAACAGTCCAAGGAATGATTCTCCTGGCCGCCTACTCCGAGAAGACGTGGTTCTCTATTGCTCTAATCCTTCGCACTGCCTTAGACTCGGGATTGGAGAAATCTCTGGACACTCTGTTGTCCCAAGACAATGTACCCCGAAGTTCGCTCTCGGCTTCCATGGCTGAACGCGAATTGGTGTGGCAGACAAGAACCTGGTTAATCAGTTTCACATTGGAGCTAGACGTCGCATCAGGTACGGGACGCAAATCACGCATCGCCGAGGTCGATGTGGTTAAGCTGCGCAAATTCCTTGACTATCCACTCTCCCTGCCTTGCGATATGCGGACTGTGTGCATCATTGAGCTTCATCAACTTCGAGGTAAAGCGAACAAAACTGCAGGTGTGGTTTGCTGTCACATCACTAACATGTAGTAGGTAATTCTCGCATGATTATTGACAACACTTCAACTATTAGCGATATTGTGTCCACAGAGCTACCGGCCATTATGACAAGATTGCAAAACTGGTGGACGACGTGGGACGAAATCCATGAAAGTAGGCTCTCCTTTCTTCCGTTGAATGAACCCACAATCTAGATCAATTCTGACTTGAACAAAATTTCAAGACAACGGTTTCCATATAGGAGCCTTTCAGCGCAGCAGCCTCAAGCTCATGCTTCACTATGCCAGGATTTTTGTTTTCTGCGCATCCCTAGCACGGATTCAAAAATTACAACCAACATACACGGATTCAAGCTCCGAAATTCTTGATCAGAATGTGATGGATCTGTGGCAGTCCCTTGTCACAACCATCATGGACCAATTAAGCTTTTTGATCAACGAGCCGTCCTATCGCTGTCAATTACCGTGGGCGCCAACATATCCAGCTCTCACAATCGCTTTCGTCAGTAAGTTGATCATTTCTTCAATTAGCTACATACACCTTGCTAATACAGATTTAGCAACCTTCGCCCTGCGGATCGCCAGATGGCGTCCAAATCTAATCAATCAAAGTCTCCTACTTGAAAGAGCAGAAAAGATCTGCGACTTTCTCAAACAACCCCCATATCCCGATATCCACCGGACTGTCTCCATCTTCGTGAACTATGCACGCGCCTTGATTGCGAGTCAGCGGCCGCAGAGCAGTCATAGTACAGACATACCTATCATGTCTAACCAAATTGAGGGCCCACCCTTTGAGGGACCTGATAATGCCATGATTAACGGCCCGCCTCCATCGGGGGTGGGTCCCCTCGGCGATCTCCGCTACAGAACCGGCCCGACCATTCAAAGCGATAAAGATTCAAATATGGTCTCAATGCCAAGTAGCGATCCATCTGCAGTGGCTAGAGCGCCCGTATCTCGGCTATCCGGCACGATGGAGGCACCCAACTGGACTGTTTCAAACTCCATTGCAGATTCTTTTGGCCTGTTTGAGGAGGGCCAGAACGATATCTTCGATTTCCTACCTATGATGCCATCGATGCCACAGTAACAATAATATACCCTAATACAGCTTATTGAAGTCAAGATCCCTCTAATCTAACTGTCTAAACCGAGTAAATCTCACAAGAACCAAGCAGCTCTAGCCTCGTAGATCAACGTCGATACTCTAGGAAAAGCAAATTGGGCCGCAACGCGCAAGGCAGTATGTTTTCTTTATTCACATTTGTTTCGTCACAGTCTAGATGCATCTCCACCTAAAGAATGCATTCGTAGCAATCAATTTGTGCCTCGAGGGCAGCCATCCATGTCCGGATCCAGCCCGGCGCCGTGAGTGGGTTGCCCTAATTCCCGGTCCCGTACCGGCCCCGGTTCCGCGTGCAAAAACTTCGAACTATACCAGTCTCTCATTGGCTTTTACCTACTCCAACGTAGTAGATAGAGGCATTGTGCATGGCCAGCAGGTTCTAGCCAGAGTGAGTCAAAGAATCGACCTGATTTTTCTCTCTGGGTCGGCCGGTTGCAATGGGAACGGAAAACTTTTAGTATAGCATATATAGTGCTTTGATCCTCATCTACCGGGTTGAGAATCAGAACTAAAAAAATAAAGCATACTTCCAATCTTCTCTTTGTTCTAGCTTGCCCCACAAATTTGATGGTGCAATATGGCGTCAGAAACGAAACAATCTTTGACGGCTCAGATAACCGCTATCCTTTCTTCAGGTGCGATTAACCTCGACTCTGGTATTCTCCGGATCTGCTCTAACATGTACTAGATAAGGATGAAAGTTCTGACAAGAGGTCCCTTGCGTCGACGGAGAAAAATCAAAAATCAAATGACGATTACCAAATAGTCGAACTGTCACAGGATGAACTACTTGTTGAGTTTCAGCAGAACTCACCAAAAAACCCACCAAACTGGGCCTTTGTACGCATATCTATGTGTCATGAGGAAATAGTCACTAACATTTGGTCTTAAATAGAAGAAAAAGCTGTACAATGCGGTTGTGGCGCTATTTGTTGTCCTCAATAGCGGCATATCAACCGCACTCCCTAGCAATGCAGTCCCCACTATCATGCAGGAGTTCCACGAGTCCGGAGACCAGCAAAAGGTCTTACCCACCGCGGTCTTTCTCGTTGGCTATGTGGTAGGACCTCTGCTATTCAGTCCATTGAGTGAGACTATTGGACGGAAACCTGTCCTCGTCTGGTCATTTGCTGTTTTTGTTCTCGCTACGCTTGGCTGTGCTCTAGCGCCAAATTGGTCCTCTCTTCTCGTCTTTCGGACTATCTGCGGTCTGGTAGGGGCTGCTCCTCAGACGGTTGTTGGTGGTATCTATGCAGACCTGTTTTTTGATATGCGGACTCGTGGTCGTGCTATGGCAATGTATATGTCGGTATGTTGGGATTACACGGATGAAATATTTGGATAGTACTGATACATCTCCCAGGCTTGCAGTTTTGGTCCCATTCTAGGCCCGATTATCTCTGGATGCTCGGTAAAATATGGTTGGCGATGGACTTTTAGAATCGACCTGATTCTAACAGGTGTTACCTGGTTGGCTCTGCTGTTCACATCTGGTATGATTATATCACTTGACCTAATACACCGTGCCATCAGCTAATCTCAAGTCAAAATAGAAACGTTTGGCCCAGCGCTCTTGAAGCAACAAGCTGCCAAATTGAGAAAGGAGTCAGGGTCTGATCGGTACTTCTCGCGTCAGGAGCTTAACCTGGACTCGAGATTCACCCCAATGGAGATTATCACTCGTCCCATCACGATGCTCTTCTGTGAGCCTATCATCACCTCAACATCCATCTATATCTCCCTCGCGTATAGTCTGGTCTTCTTTTATTTCCAGGCCTATCCCATCATCTTCGGAGGTAATGAATCCTCCACCTGGGAGACCCATCTACAATACTAATAAATTGACAGGTGTCTATGGTTTCACCGTCGAGCAAACTTCCTTCACACTCATCCCAAGTACGTCCATCTGTTTTAATATCTCCAACCGCCCACTAACCCATCACAGTTGGTGTTGGCGCCGCCTCTTCCGGCTTCGTCGCTCTCTACTACGACGTAATCTACGAAAAGGCCAAAAAGCTCAACAAAGCCTGGACCTCCAGCCCAGAAGTCCACCGACTCCCCATGTCCTGCATTGCCGGTCCTTGTCTAACTGTCAGCATGTTCTGGCTCGCCTGGTCAGCAAAATCAACCCTACACTGGGCCGCACCCGCGATGTCAGGGTTTGTCTTCGGATTCGGATTCCAAATCATCTTTATTTCGCTTCTTACCTACGTCACCGACGCATACAAAATCTACTCGGCCAGCGCACTGGCAGCTTCCGTTATTGTGCGCAGCATTGCTGGTGCGCTTTTCCCGCTGGCTGCTGAGCCGCTCTATGAATCTTTCGGGGTTGCTTGGGCGACTTCCCTCATTGGGTTTATCAGTCTGGCTTGCATTCCCATTCCTTTTGCTTTGATGCGGTGGGGTCCTTGGATTCGAGAGAGAAGTCCTTTCTGTCAGAGGCTGATCTTGGAGGAGAAACTCAGGGCTAGTGGAGCGAGTACACCTGCACAGGTATAGAAGCACGTTGCTTTTTGCTTGGACTTCGATTTCGGGATACCGGTTTATTGACCAGGAAATAATTTGCGATGAAGTAACGATTTGATAGCCAATTTATAATGAAGTTTATGATTTCGATTTATGGTCAATATATACAAGTGCTGTACAATACTCTGTACTCTCTTGATATTTCCCCCTTTTACAGATTTGTGATCGAAGGATCCAATATATCAACGAATCACAGAACTAAACCGCGTTGAGATCTAGCATCTGATAACCTGCGCTAGATTGAAACTTCACCAACCAGAACGCCCAGTTGCCTAGCGGCTTTTAGAACCATTTTCCACCTTAAAAATGTCTAACGCTTCTTGGTTTCCTTTATTTTATGTTCTTGATCCATTTCATTCGCAATGTACTCACATATTGATTCTCCAGGGACTGCGGTCACTATCGCTCATTTCAAAGCACAAAGCTTGCCAGTTGGTGCGCGATCCCAATTCCCCACATCTAATATTAGTACTAAACAAAGTCCAATCAAGTCGATCGCATTCTTGAGCCTCAAACTATCGCCCATTTCCTTGCATTTGCGTTCGGTGAAGAGCCCCTATCAAATGGCAAACAAACCGACATGGAGCGCCTGTCCGTGGACGAAGCCTCCATCCTCAACCAGGACCAAAATTTCCCTCCGGGCTCCGATGGCGAACCCATAATGACCAGTGTCATGGCCCGGATTGGATCCGACCAAGACTCCAACCGCCTCTGCCTGGTCGGAAAGAATATCCAATTCCTCAAGTCCCGTCTATGGGAGGGTGTCATCCCCCTGAGCGAGCAGTTGTGGCAGGAAAAAGGTCTCGACCGCCCAGAACATTTCGATTTCGCTTGTCAGCATCTAACAGCCGTGATCGCCGTGTTTCAGTATTTGAATGAACCAACTGTGCGATTATATCTTCGCGACACGTTCAATTACATCCACGAGCATTGGACGGCGCTCGACACTGTCCTCAACAGGCTCAGAGAGGAGCAAGGTAAAAAGCGCGTTAGTGTCGCAGGTCTCTGGACATGCTACATGACGGCGCATTTCGAGATGATGACCGAGCGCGCCCATAGATGGGTTACCGTGCATGTAAATACACTGCGCGCTCCATTGATGCGAGCGCTTTTGGAGTATCGACGACCTGTGGAAGAACTGGGTGGTGAACCTGATGCTATGCAGTGGAAGATTACTGATTCGCTGCACACGCTGGCTGAAATAATGGGCCATGCCGATTTTACCATCATGATCCCCATGGACGGTTATAAGGGGTACTTTGGGGATCCCCCGCGGGCAGGCCCAGCGGCACTTCATGCGGCGAATCTGCTGACCAGAAATAAAGCATATAACGAGCGTTTGAGGTTGCTTACTCGGGAAGCGCTCCCCCGTAACGCGGCTGAATTCAGAGGTTTGAATCCCACGTCCGGACAGATGTACTATTCGTCAGCTCGGAGCCAGAATCAAGGACAGAATCAGTTGAGGAAGGAGGTGCGTGGTGCGCCTCTAGAACCTGTTCCGCGTGAGCCTTGGATTGCTGCCACCGCTTCAAATATCGAATCTGGAAAGAAGAAGGGAAAAAAGGAAAAGTACGGGTTGGCTGTTTATCGATTGACTTACGGGCAGACGGAGTCTGAATGGACGGGCTTCGTTCGCAAAGTGGAAGCTCATGTCTCGAATTGGGGTAAAGGCCAAACAGGAAGCATTTTGGTCAAGGAGCATTTAAAGCTTCACTGGCTGGATGGAGAGAAATTGGGTATTTCAGAGGGCGATGTCGATGCAGCAAAGGAGTCGGTGTGCCCTTTTCCTTTGGCCTTTTCAAGCTGACAGAAGCAATCAGACACTTCAAAACCATAAAAGATGACAACGACAACTGGACAAGGCTACAAGATGACGCTTTCCTCGTCATTGACTCCGCCTCCTTCGCCTCATACACCACCAATTCCTACGGTCCCGCGACATCCCAACTCAACCGCGGTGACTTCACCGGCTTCCTCCTCGCCATCGACTCAACCTTCAACCCGGAAGAGGGCATTGAACGACCTGACGAGTCACCAGGCTACAATGGCCAGATGCGAATTCTCGGAAGCCTTGTATGGAGCGATCTATATTCCCTACAAGCAGCGCAGACATTCCTGCTCGAAGACTACTGGCCATTAGCAAGCGAGCACCCTAATATGGTATACGTTGGCCCAACAATCCCATGGCAGCGATTTATCTGGCAGAACCACAGTGAGATGCGTTGGAATCTCATTCGAGCTGGGATAGACCACTTAAAGCGCAATCCGGAAATGCCACCAATGCCACCAGTCCAAGCCCGTGCTACACCTCCAGCTGTGGCTACAACTGCATCTACAGACACGCCACCAACCTCTTCTGTGACCTCGTCGACACCACCCGCAGAACGGGATCCTCTCAACGCCGCAATCCGCACACACATGCTCACTGAATTTCAGCGCTACTTACGCCATGAGGGTCAGCCGCGGCAGGCGGCTATGGTCGATGAATTGCTCCGTCTTCAGCCAGGCGAGGAGCCGGATGGAGGGCGGCTGCGACGGTTGGTGGACGATGAGGATGAGCGGCAGGAGCAGCGGAGGCGAGATGGGTTTAATGAGGATGAGGAGACCTCGGAGGAATATCAGCCAAGTTGTCCGTTGCAGTGATGAGAGTATGAATTGGGCTGGGTTTCTTTAATTGTGAATATTTCTCATAATGGGACGATAGATTAGCTTGCTGGTTTAGTGGGGAAAACACATACTACAGAGACCACTTGTGTCATATGAACGAAATCATTTCCATAAATTGCAGGCTCCCTGGGATCCTGGAGCATCACTAGTGATGACATCAAATCTCAAGGACAGGGACACATCCTAAATCCAATCCGAACCCCCAAGACAAACTCCACTAATTCCATCGAACTTCCTCCGGAATAGCCCGCTTGCTAGGACGCTTCGCAACCTTATGCCAACCAACCTGGCACACCTCCTCAAGCAAGTTCCTTCCACAGCAAGTATAGAAGAACTTTTCCGGCCAAGCCTCACGATACTCCTCACGGTCAACATCGATTCCAGCATCAATCTCGTCCTTGAAAAACTCTTCGTCGACCATGTCGGGGTCTTTCCATAGATTAGTCATGTTCCTGAAGTATGTGCATGTATTGACAGATGTGCTTGGGGATATACGTACCAACATGATATCTGCAACTTATCGCTGAGTTTTTAGTGACATCGAACTTCTCCAGGCAGTAGAGACATCTTTCGAAACGGAATGACATCGGGATATTAGCCGTAGGCTCAGAAATGGGCTCTTTATTGGCGGGCTGGCTGGAAGTGACGGGGACAGTTGGAGATGTGGGGACTCGCTCGGCTTTCACATCGTCCTTTGCTGCTAGGAGCCATTTTGAGGCGATTTCACGACCTTCCGGGCTATTTTTGATGATGTCTCGTAGAAGGTCCGTCAGGCGGAAGATAGATTCCTTGCTTATTGCTTTCAGCAGGAGGGATGTAATATCTGGTTGTTCGTCGGGCGAAGACATGTTGGCGGCTGATGGATGAGGAAGAAAATGAAAGTAATATGTCTGTTCAAAATGTTTTTATGTGTTGGGTGTCTGAGACATCGCGTCGCGTTGGTTATGAAACAAGCACAATCGATTGAACAAGCGGTGGAGGGTACAAGTCCAAATTCTTTGAAATGCCCGCTTGGCAAAGAAATGAAACAGAGCTCACGGTGGCACAATGCACGCTTGATGACAAGTGACGCTCATATCAATCTAAACTAGACCTCGCTAACTTATAAGTTACATTCTAATCTTTGAACGCCCCGAGAAAAAGGTTATATCCACCTAATTCCACAGATCCCTATCTTCATGTCCGGATGTTCAATGTTTATATCCTTAAAGTGTATGTAGGTGCGGGTTCCTAGCGGTTTTGCAGGTGACCAACCTATAAGGGACTAAAGAAGCCATTTGGTAGGGTCGATGTGAATTTAACCTAAGAGCCAATCCTCACAAGAATTGATGGATATCTTTGGACTCGACTTGATCTCCTCAAGTAAGAGAATAGCCCTGAATTACCTGCGGCGTCATCTGAGTGTTGAAGTCTGGACATTTAGGCCAAAGGCTCCGTTGGGGATCAAGCCTTACCTGAGGCTAGCCTCGGAAGGACATATAGCCTGGCCACTGTAGGAATACTCGCCTACCATCACTCGGTCCTAAAGATTGACAGGTTGATGCACGGAAAGTGGAAAGTTCCCTGTAACGCTAGCCGTAACGTCACCAAGTACCCGCGAGGCCATTTGCTGGCGTTGGTCTGGACTTTCCAATAACTCCCAAGACTGAGCCCCACGCCCCGGGCCTGGTGACTGGCTATATTATCCTCTCTAGTAGATGTGATATGCGACGCTAAAAGCTTGTTTGGCTATAGCGGAATTGCACGACTACATGCGCGAGGAAGCGGGCCGTAATCTGGGGATCCCCTTGGACACTTCACGCAGCAGGTTTATCAGGCGCTGGTGGAGGGCAGAGATCAGATTGTAATTGGTAGTATTGTACCAGTAGACACATTTAACAGGATCATAAACAACCGTCGCACTGCCTTCGAGAACCTCGCCAAGATGATGCCTGGTGGGAAGCCCTAGACATGCCGCAGATCTGCCGATCAAGAATGTTGCGTGCTTCGATGACCTAGGGACCGGCTATAGTTGAATGTTATTTGATGTTTTAGAGCTCTGGACCATCAAGTCTTTACGTTTAGCTTCGGTTCATGTACCCTCCTTCGCCGTGTAGTAGAGCGTTCGGAGCCGCGGTGCGACTACTGCAGAATGTATACGTTCGCCCAATTGCGAAACTTCAAAGAATTTAGTAGCCCCTTACAAACGCGAGGGTCTGGGAAAACTGGTACATTTGGTGAGGGTTACCAGGTAACTAGTTTTACTGTAGCTGACTCTGATCGCAGTGACCCCACCATTGAAGTCCAGTATGTTTCAATGTCCCTAGGTTTATGAAAATAGATGTAAGCCAGCGGTTACAACCCTAAATGGTCTCTCCTCGCCCGGTATATACAAATCCTAAAGTATTCTGCATCCACGCAAAAGGTTCTGTGAGAAGTGATGGTAGATATTATTCCTAGTATATACAACACACCGTCAACCGAAGAGAGAAAGACCCTGGGCGAGATTATTCCAATCGCAAAAGTCGACAAAATTCGGATCCAAAATATCAATATCGAAGCTTGCCTCGGGCTTAGAATCCCCAGCTCCAGTCCCATCAGTACAGACAGGACGATTCTCGTGAACGATTTGCTGACTCTGCTCATGTGCCTGACGAGTAAGCCACGCCTTATCCCGCAACTGCACAATCATCGGCCATTTAGGTCCTCGGTCCGGCCAGGAGGGGTTATCAGTCAAAGAGAACTGCCAATCTATAACGCGCCAAGCTCGTTCGACATGTGGGCCGGTGGGATAAACACACAGACTCCAGAGAATGAAGGTAAGGAGATGGTACTGGGTGAAAGTCATCATCAGCCAGCGGAAGCCGCGCAATAACTCGTGACTGTGCAATTCGAGGTCTATTTCCATGCCATGGCAGGCTTGTGCTAGAGTCTCTTGGACAAGGTTGTAGTCGAGTGAGGAGGCCGCCGGTCCCTGTGACTGAAGCTGTTTCTGTCGAATACACACTTCACACTTTGTGAGGAGCAGCCGTCCGAGGAGGAAGCCAAAGCGTTGAATCGGGATATCTGGGTCGCTGTGTTGTAGGTATTTATCCTGTATTTTGCCTTTGAATTCGGCGATGAGACGCTCTGGATCAGCTGCTCCCACCAAGCTTCGAAGTAAAGCCGGCCGGCCCCTGTTTATTTCCATTACAATTAGAGAGAATGTTAACTCGGTCCATCGGCTCTGTGATACGGCTGGAGCGATGGTCGTATTTGATATGTTCTGATCATCAATATTCAGCGGGAGGTCAGTGTCGCCATAGTTGTTTTCCGGGACGCTGAGGCCATGGTCTTCTGCTACTCGGGCATCAGCCGATTGGATATACCACCAAGTTCGTCGGCGTATCTCGCATTCCACTTGTGGGAGTTTGAAGTATTTTCCGTCCCGCTGGAGACCGATAGATTGCGCGGCTCGGATAGTCACCCCGTGTAATATCCAGCCAGATCGGCCGCTATTGCTAAATCGAAAGCATGCCTAGAGAGCAACCATATGTCAGTGATACCAAGCACAGGAAATAGTAAGACGAAACATTCTCTCACTTGATATATCACCATGGCTTGCAACGAAGTAATAGTTGGAGCATCCAAAAACTCAGAGTGATACAAAGACAACTCCAGCCCTTGATGATACCGCCGCAGATCGGCGGACAAGACTTCATTCTGAGAGTCCTCCGCAAGCAAGGTTGTTGTAGCGGCAAAGCAAATCGCATAGAGCAAAGCGCGTACATCCGCACGCACACTCTCAGGTCGATTAATCGCCGCAAAGATTCGTGATTGCGCCGTTGGAACATGAATAACCTTAACCAAGGGATCCACACGGCTAATAAATGTCTCCCAGAGTGAAACTGCCTGCCAACGACTCGGAAATAGCTCCTGTGGGTCAATCTGGCCGAAGAGCGGGTTCAAGAAAAGACCATCTGCCTTCAATGCCGGTGCTCGGCGCGGACTGTTTGTACTAATCGGTGATCCAATTGCAGACTGTATCTCCTGCTCTTTCTCCAGCAACCGCGAGAGAAGAGGCTCATTGATATACCGGCCGTCTTTGCCTAGGAACCCCTGCTCTGCTGCAGCTGGGTTGCTTGAGGGCGTCTTATAGTCCGATCGGTCATTCGGTGCCAGTGATACGGTACTTGAGCCTTGGCTTTGACCGCTCAGATTTGTCGGCCGTTCGTTAATCATCGCCGCGACGGACTGTTCAAGTTTCTCCAACTGTACCGCAAGATCGGTGTTTTTCTTCGGGGGTTGACGTTTGATTCGACTCAGACCTGGATACTGACAGGTTGTATTCTTTCGCATGCATTTACTGCATGGTGAGCCCTTGTCGCACTTGATCTTGTGTGCGTGGCAGCGTAAACATGATCGCTCTACGTTATACCGGCGTTGGTTGTTCATGGTCCTGTCTTGGCGCAGCTGCGAGGAAGCCGGGATAGATCAAGAATGTCTTGGTAATAAGGATCCAGGAGAATTTCTTTATCAGATCGTGGCCACTGCAATGTGGCGACCAGGTCTCGGGCTTGACTCTGACAGACGTTCGGCACTCGGTCATTCGTGAATAGCCGATCCGATGGGGGCGAAACCTTAATTGGTGGGAGCAACCAACTGGCAAGAGTGTCCAGGACTCACTTAAATCAAATCATTATAGTGCGAATAACATAGCCTCCAGATCTTTGTGATCACTTTTCCACCAATAAATAGGCCAAGTATCATGAAAACATATGCTAAATTTAAACGCTAATAAAACAGCCTCTGGACCATCCCCAGAAGCATCAAGAGACGCCAATTTCCCAAAAAGAGAAACAAAAACCAAGCTGTGAGACTATGAAATAAGAAGATCGCGGACACTCATGCCCTTCCTCCTTTGAATCTCAGGTGCAGCTGGCGTCTCTTCCGCGGACATGGTCAGTGCCGTACTCCCAGAGAAATTCTCACTGATCGAATCGGCAGTCCCTCTCCGATCCTGAGTCAACATAAGCAAGGCAGCTGAAGCCTCGTGATCAACACCCTGAAACTCATGCATCTTCTCGCTCGAGGCCCAAATCGGGCCCAGCGCCGGGCTAGGAAGAATAGATGAAGCATCCTGCGGGATCTGGGCTGAGGGTACTTGGGTACGTGGGGAGAAAGACGGGGATGTATCAGGGAATTCTGTGGGAGCAGCTTGCAACTCCGGTGATGCAGAGGTGGAGTATGATGAATAAGTAGAAGAACTATCCCTCCGCATAGGCTCAGCGCCTGTTTCTGTGATGAACTCGGGGGATGTTGGTGAGGGTGGTGCGGCCAGGGTTTGGGATGATCCTCCAGTCTTCATGTCGCGGATACATTTCTCTAGGTAATTGACATAGTCAATGCTTGCCTTGTCGGGAGAGTTAGTATATTTTAAATCCCCGGAAAGAGATGTGACTGGTGTACCTGAAGAATAGCCAGCTTGTGCATTTCCTGTCCAGTGCATGCTGGAATCATATCCTTCAATGTTCCGAATTCCTCGTTCATCTTGGACCGTCGTCGACGCTCAATTAAACTGTGTGCGGTCTTGCGGGCGATCTTGCGCCCTGCAGCGCTAGTTGCCCTGGGTTGTTTTCTCTTGGAAGTCGATGTGGGGTTGGGCACTGGGTCTTCTAAGTTCTGTGAACCCTTGCCATTTTCTCTTGTCTTGTGGGTTTTTGCGGGCGATTTTGGTTTCATCTGGATGATCTTGCGAGTTCTGGTTGGTGGCGGAGGCAAATCAAAGTCCTCGAGTGGGCGTTTGACAGATGCCCGTCCGGTGTTACTCGTACGGCCCGAGAGGTCTGGAGAGGTCGGTGATGGTGGGACATAGGAAGGATCTGATCGGGAAGATCTGCGACTGGCAGTGCTCAATGCAGCGGGAGGTAATGTGAAGGCATCCCCGTCGGGCTTGTCTTTGATAATGAAGCCGCCCGACATGGCTGGAGTTGGAAGTCGTGACATTGTAAAAGGGGGAAGTTATAATCGCTGTAGAGTCCACAGCAAGGGGTCCAGACTATATAACCGTGAACGTCCAGGGCCAGGTTATAGATACTGTCGCGTGCTTGTGCCCACGAGTCATAATGGGCGATTCTGATTGGTCGATTGGAGACTCGTGCTTCAGGGAGCGATGGGCATTTGCTGGACTAACAAGTGGGGCCTGGCGAGCTTATTGGCAGGTATTAGATACTTACGTTGTAGTGGAGACAAGGGGGATAAGGGGGTTACCCCAATGTACTTGGTACATATTACATCAATGAGGTAGCCCAGCACGTGCATCAATTGGACAGTCCTGGAGTCTCCCCGATTATCTTTATACTTTGAACGCATGTGCACTTGTACATTTATATTCCTATTGGTTGGAAAAGTGTTGTATTCTGAACCGGTTTCTGGGAGTCCTTTTTTGAGAGTCGTGTCCAGTGGACCGTTGCTCTCGACTGGCACGTGCCCCCCTTGAAACAAAATTGGAAGATCCCTCAGCTCTCCATTCTATTTCTGTGACAAAGCTCGTCTTGGGGGGGGGGGGGGGGGGGGGGGGGGGGGGGATTTCAGCATGTGATGCTTGGCGGAAATAGTATGCAATTTGATCTGGGAGCAGTTCTTGTCCAACCTTTCCTACTCCGTACCCGACAAGTGTATCCTTGTGATTGAGCTACAATAACTATGTTATACCTAGTTGCTCTAAAACCACTTGCTCCCGAGAAAACTAACCCATTATCATTTCCATTCTTGCTGTTCTAGTTTACATCTACAGGTAGTGCCAATTTGGAAGACAGAACAAGAAACTGCAATAAAGACTCTCAATTCACTTTCCTATAAAACAAAAACAAGATCCTTCATATCACATGGCCCATAGCATTCGGACTCTTTTGTCTATACAATTCCTTATCCAATTCCATTTACTTGAAATTCTCAGGGTCGCACTTCTCCGTACATTGCAAGTAAACAGACCAGCTAACCACATTATATTAGCTCAATTGCAAAAGAGAAAAAGAAAACTATATATCAATAGGGAAGACAGCAAATTTAACCAAAACTTGTTATCGTCCGGTACAACAATCGAGCAAGTCTGAGACTGCAAAGAGCACAGCTCATGGCAGCGGTTGACATTAACGCGATTACCGTGAGCTGTTCCCGTTGATAGGGGAGCATTACCCCGTGCACTCGTTGTAGTGGCATTGTGGGGACTAGTTGCATTGGTAGGGACACGGACAGAGAGGCGGGCACCGTGGTACGCCCCGGAGAAATGGAGCATTGCCGCGGCGGTGCTGGTCAGGGTAGCGATGCAGACGGTGAATAGGGCTGTGAGATGCATGGTGGCGATGTGCGAATTAATATATGAAGAGTGAGAATAAACTTTGAAAGGTGGATGTTGCTTGGGAATTGATCTGATGCTGAGGTTCAAGCTGGGATCAGTTGCTATGAGAGTCTTATCCCTGGACCAACCCGTCTTATGTAGCACCAGCTTGACGGCGTCCATAATCTGGTGGCTGGCTGTCAATTCCAGAGCCGTTTGGGAAAGACCTCCTGGGGGGTTTTATAGGACTATAGGAGTAAGTGCCACGGTCGATCTTCGGGTTACGACATTCCACATTCCTGTGGGGGAGGAGACACCCGTCTTGTCTCACAATTTGATAATTGGCTTCAAGTGTTGAACAAAGTCAAATCCTCTGATGATATAGCTACTGGGGTGTTGTTAATTGCACGGGTGGTGCATAAGGACATATTCTGCGCGGCTTGGTCTAGTTCATATCAACACCTCGCTTATTGCTGTACGTTCCAGTGGAAGACGATATCCGAGTATCAGCCCAATCATACTCCAGGGTGGAAAAAAAAAGAAGCTTGGCGTCACACTTGACTTCGGATAGGGCTTATCTATGGCTTGATATGACAGCCTTGGAGTACAGACCTACCCCCCCCCCCCCCCCCCCCCCCGGATGATATTACTGGGACAGCCTCTATTGAAATCAACAACTATGTGCGTCTATACCCACCAAATGTATTCCATTTATCTATCAAATAAAGATTACTTGAAGACCCTATCAATCATAACCTGACCAAAGTTATCCGCCACAGGTGATCCATCCATCCGCCAGATGCGATTTCCAGCACGACCACTCAGCCAGAGACCATGGTCACTCAAGCTCTCCTCCTCACCGTCGATGCGGTAGCGGTTGCGACGGTCGACAACGCACATACCGCGAGTCCATTGGCCCAAGCTGTCGATCCGGATATCCTCAGGCGAGTTCTTCGAGTAAACCCACTTGGGGTCATCGGACGTCAAAGCATACCAGACACACACCGGGTCGTGCAGACTCAGCAGGGCATCGTCACCAACGTGTCCAGGGTGCAGACGCTCCAAGGTCCTGAAGGTGTGTCCCATGAAGGCATCCACCCACTCGGCGAGCGGGGATCCGGCAGCCAAAAGAGGCGTGATAGCCTCCCGGAACTGGCCGCGTGATAGATTGTGGCGGAGGGTGATGTCGAGCGGGAAAAGACGCAGGGTCAGTTGCCGGCTGAGGGTTTGGGGGTATGGTGGGAGTCTGTCACTCTTTGTGGGTGGGATTGTCGTTTGAGGGTTGGGCGAAGTGAGTGCGAAAATACGCGCGGCTGCCACTGCGTCTGCGTAGGCATTGAACTCGCCCGTTGGTGTCACCTATTAATAACATCAGCCAAATTGTCTCGATATTTTTTAGGTCTGGAAAAGGCCTGGCTCACATTTCCTGGCACGTTGATAGCGCCGCCCATGACGACTACCTCTTTCACGCGGAGGAATGTCTCTGGGTCTTCTGCTGCAGCCAAAGCCAGATTTGTGAGCGGGCCCACTGCTACCAGGGTCACTGAATCTGGCTCGTTATCACGGAGTGCGCGGAGAATCTCCTTGTGTGCTGGAAGCTTGGATGGGGTGAATGCGTGGTCGTCGGGGCCTGTGCAGTTCTCGGCAGGCTCAATTCCACCGTTCTCCATAGTTTTAGCGAAGAGGTGTTCCCATGCCTTATTAGCGGTGAGATGCGGGTGCTGTTTAGAAGTCAGCATGGTTCACTTGTTTGTAGGCCACGAGGTTTCACATACCGTTGTGTGAATATCACCAAGTCCGTCCGTTCCATCTACGGCGATGTCAGTAAGCGGCGTCTATGGTATAATACAGCAAACGTACGAAAGTAGTCCGCAAGCAGTTTCTGGTTTTCGAGAGGTTTCTCTGCTCCGACAGCCAATATAGGACGGAAAGCTCTCAAGCTATCGAAGCCTGCAGGTCGGCCGTTCTCGCGGCGCCATTGCATCTCCCGCTCGAGTATGTGGAACATCGATACTGCATTGCGAAGACAGCTGTATACCAGGTCAGACAGTGGCACTTTTCCAAATAAAATGATCTCTTACCTCTCTATTTCGATATTACCAAATGTCAATGAAATGAGGAGAACCTCTACCTCCTCCGGGGTGGCGGACAGAGCCAGCAAAAGGGCGAGGACATCGTCGATGCCCTATGTTATGGGTCAATTCTGAAGCTAAGACAATGGATGAAAATGCATACCGGATCGGTGTCGATGATAATCTTCTTTCCCATGGTGAATGTTCAAATGTTGAAAGACAGAAGTGGGAGCTTATCAATGTTATCGGCGGGGATTTCGTCTGGCGATAAACCCCTCGTGGGCAAATATTGAACACTTTCAAGGGTATCAAAGGCTCCACGGAAATAATATTTACAATGTTACCGATTCTAAGCGATTGGGGTATGATTATATTCAGAACCAAAAATATAAATACTAGTCCAAGCTTGGGACTACAGTCCCGGTGACCGACGGCCCTCCAACAACCCCGGGGCCAGCCGTTATCAACCGGAGCCTCATGCCCCACTAGATGGCTTCAACTAGAGGCGACATATCCTGCCGTTTCGTATCAGTCCCGAATCCTTTGGTTAAACTCTCCACTACCGGCCTCAGACTGTCGGTGATCTCCGCCAATGCGTTTAATTCGAGCCATCGAGAGATATAACCGACCGCACGGTATGGATACTGATTCCTGCCTTCTCCAAGTATCTTTTGTCAGTTCCTTCCAGCGTAACAGCGTGTGCACCGGAGTGATACCTAGCCGTGGTTTTAAAGTCGTTGCCTCTCGCACTAAAATTTCCATTACTATGGTGCTTGTTACGATGATACCGTATGCGTGTTATAGCGTTTTTGTTATAAGCTGAAGCACTTTAAGATTCTCTTCGAGAATACCTACACCCGCGAGGTCGTCAGAAAACTTGCAGCGACCACACTGTAAGTGCGCTTTACATATACGATCGCATTCCTTAGCCCTACGAGATTATTCGCAGAATGGCCCTCTATATTTTCGCTTAATAGATTTTCGGCTCCTAATTCATATGCTCTTCCTCGTGGCTTATTCGCATTTATAACAGTAGAAGTCTAGTGCTAGCGTCGTTTCCGAAAGGATATAGGTGAATCTTCTAAAGCTCGCTTCCTTTCATTTAGATTAAAATCACTATAATGCCCCCCCGTCGCTTTATCTGGTACGATCGCCTTTAAAGACATCGAAGACTCTCGTCGTATCAGGGCCATCCAAGCCAGTCACGGAGGGAGTATGACTAACTCGGGAGGAAGGATACAGAGCGACTTCTCGGGGTTATGAAGATGATTTCTAGCGGTTAATACTGCATCATTAAGATAAAGATCAGGCGAATTAGCTCGAGGGGGCTCGCCGGGTTCTAAATTTAGAGAGACCGTATCAATTCTAAAGGGTACGGGAGGATGCTTAAAATATGTCTTACCGAGGCTTAATGTACTACGTTCTTCTTATGGCACATTATTCCCCTAGGTGTAGCCTGCTTCATTTATTTCTTCTATGGCGTCTAATTACCTCACTACATCGATAGTGTGGGTTTCTGACCCGGTGGAAGAGCGTCTCACTGGAGCTTTTAGTACTGGCTGCCAAAATCTTTAATGGTTCAGAGTTACCATGGTAGGTAGATTCTAAATGAATGGAAATCGAAGCAGGAGGTAGTAAAGTTCAGACTTGAATAATATTCCAAATAAACGCTGCAAAGGAAGGATAGTTAGGGCTATATATTTGTTACGATTCATCGTTTTAATCAGAGCGGCGAATTGTAGACAGGACCAGCATAGATTCTAGATCTATCGATAAGGCCAGAATATTCGCTGCAGCTAACCGCAGAGCAAGTCAATCGATGGAAAGTTCAAAGAGGACTGCAAGTCACTGCAGCGACGTGGAAATACGTCATCCAGACCTGAACTCTCAGGAACACCAGTAGGCAGTGCGGTTACCATCGGAGCAGGCGAAAGCTGGAAAGCAAGACGAGAGGTGAAGGGGGTCCTTATGTTGTAGCGCGAGCAGGCTTGGAAAGATAGTAGAACGGAGGGTAAACATGAGAACAAAGAAGAATGAGTACAGTATAGCTAATAGGAGGCAAAAGGGTAAGAAACTAGTCGGATATGTCGAAGACATACTCCGTATTCAGATTGCGCTTTCAGGAGTGCATGACCAGCGAACCAATCCCAAGCCCTCCTTTCAAGGTGCTGTTGCATACTGCAGGTCTCGAAGACTGGCCAAGACTCAGTATGCTTCACACGCGTCATTTTCACCTAGATCACCAATTGGACCAGGTTGTCCATTATGAATACATAACTCTTTTCCTCGTGGTGGGCGTGAGGGCCCCCTGTAAGGGGTAAAAGAACCTTGGAAGAGAGATCCCCTGCCGGATCGGCAATCTTCAAGCGTCCCGGGTTGCCGGGAAAATCGATTTATCCAACAAATAACATTTGAAATGCTCAGGCCCTTTTTTTTACCTAGAACGCGCTGGTATAGAAATTTGAACAGAAAGCGGAGAGAAGAGACATAGGCGGAGACGTGGCCTGTTCACTCTGGAAGTTATATGGAACTATTTGGAGATTAGACTGTTCCCCAGGTACGGAGTATATTCAATACAGATATGATGACAGCTTGCAGTCAGTGCTCACTTGGGCTGATCTCCATACCGTATGGTCACATTCTTCGCCGAAGTGCCTAGATGATAGATACATATGTAATTTCAACCTTGAGGATAATATAGAACATAAATAAGACAAAAGAACAAAAGTGCCAAGTCGACAAGGTACAGAATATGGGCAATATATGGGCAATTCCTCTAAAGCCAAGGGCTTGGTAACTTACCATTACGGTCACGGTACAAGTGGATCTGCCACGGTTGCCCTTTCCTCTCTACTCCCTCTCTTCCTCCTTTCTCATCTTTCTGCTCTCACTTCTTCCTCTTGGTTATCCCTGCTCCTTTTGCGCCATTGCGCTATTCCTATTACTCTCCGCGACATCACCACCCTGCGCACTCCGGTCAATTGATTGCCTTGGGATCTCATCTCGAACACCTTGCTGGATACAGCTTCTGTAGCTGAGCGCAATTGTCCCAGCTTTCAGTGCGCGTGCGCGATTGTCCTACCCTGTCATTCGGCAACTTTGATCCGTCCCCTCTCATCCAACGGCCCATCCTCCACCTACATAAGTTTCAATCGGACAGTAAGTTCCAGGATTGCAACCACCTTTGACAACGTTGATGGTACTGACTTATGAGTGCATAGCTCCATGACCATGAACCCTTACATCAGCTGGGCGATCTTACTCGTCGTGGCAGGTGGCCTCGGCTGGTACTACACTAATGGCACAACCCCCAAGGCCAACGTGATTCGAGCTGCCGTGGAGAAAACCGAGGCCACTGTAGCACCCAAGAAGTCAAAGCGCAAGTCTAAGCCTGCTCCCCAGCCGGCTGCCAAGAAGTCCGAGGTTCAGACCGTCGTGTCGCCTCCCACCACCGAAGATGAGAAGCCGGACGAGGAAATCGACCACAAGGAGATGGCCCGCCGCATGGCCGGCCTCAAGACCAACGCTCCTGCTCAACCCGCCCCCGCCAAGCCTGCTCCTACAAAGAGCCAGAAGAAGAACAAGAAGAAGGCTACCCAGCTCGAGACCAGCGATACCCGTGCCTCCTCGACCACTGGCGCCGAGGCCGACGACGATCTGTCTCCCGCCGCGTCTCCCGCGGTGAACGCCACTGTCCCCTCGGCCGGATATGTTTCCGACATGCTGGAGGCCCCCGCCCCCGGTGCATCTGTCCTCCGCGTCACTGGCAATGTTGAGAACCAGCCCAAGAAGCAGAAGGTTCAGTCTTTCAAGGAGGTGGAGACCAAGAAGCAGCGCCAGCAGCGTCTCAAGAACGAGGCCCGCAAGCAGCAAGTTCAGGAGGCTGAAGTTGAACGCAAGAAGCTGCTTGAGAAGCAGTTGCACACCGCTCGCGAGGCTGAACGCCGCGAGGCTGCCCGATCTACCGCGCCTGCTGCCAGCGCTTGGCAGACCAAGGAGACTGCTCCAGTGAAGACCAACGCAGTTAATGGATCCCGCCCCGCTCCCGCCCCTGCCACTTCCTCTCAGGTCCTCCTGGACACCTTTGAGTCCCCTGCTGTCCCTGCTCCTACCAAGTGGGCCCAGAACCTTCCCTCCGAGGAGGAGCAGATGCGTCTCTTGGGAGCTGCCAAGGGTGATGACGAATGGACCACCGTCTCCAAGAAGCAGATCAAGAAGAAGGGCGGCAAGACTGACGAGAGTGTCAGCGAGACCAGTGCCTCGGAGAACCAGTCCACTACCGTCGCTCCTGCCCCTGTTGAGCCGCGTGTGACAGTGACCCCAACCTACCTCCCTGACATCCTGCGCTCTCGTGAGAAGGGCCACCCCTTGGATTCTGACTGGGCTGCGTGAACAATTTCCTCTATGCTGAAGTCTTTTCTCTATCTGATTCTATCCGATGTCTTCATCTTGAACTGTATTTATTACCCTTTTTTGTTTTGTTTTTCGTCTTTGTTTTTTTTTTTTTTTTTTTTTTTTTGGCGTTCTGGGGGTGTCACATCATTCGAGCACTCTCCCTCTCCTTAACTACAATTGGGGCCTGGGAGATTGCCACAACGCATTAGGAGCGGAATTGGTAGATTCCCCTTGCAAGTTGTGCAAGGAGGAAGAACTGCACTGCGGAAACAAAAGCAGAATTGCGGGAATGGATTTGATGCTGTGTTTGTGAAAGTTCTCTTTTTTCTTTGTTCTGGCAAAATCTGTATTGCAATGAAATAACCAATTTAAAACAAAAAATAAATAAGAATGTAGAGCTCTAATTCCCGAGATTATATAGATCATCATGGGTTGAGTCTGTGTCGTCACGATTCCAAAAGCGGTTTAGCGGCCAGTTCCGGTTATCGTGGCCTGAAGTTGCTTTGTATACAACTCCTTGGTATTTGATCCTGTGTGACTTCTTCTTCCCCAACCTGTGACTCCACTCCAACTTACTCTTCTCACTATCTCTTTTTGTTTTATTCTTCCGCCATGGCCCAAATTCGTGGCACTGCGGGCTACAACCTCGGCCACCAGAACCCGTTTGGCGGGCCCGGTAGCGCAGATGCCACCAGCGACCCAAGTCCGCTAGACGCAATCCGCGAGCAGACAAGCAAGATTGAGGACTGGCTAGATACCTTGGCTGATCCAGTGAAGCCGTATGTTTCAGTTCCACTCTTTGTCTTGCTTTCCCTCTTCCTCCACTCGTGTTGAGCTCCGAATCGCGAGAGAGCTCAAAACAAGGGATTCGAAGCATGCACTAACACGCTGTTCTTTCGCTCTCTAGCTACCTTCCCGCCATCGGTCGATTCCTGATTGTAGTGACCTTCATCGAAGACTCGCTGCGCATCCTCACACAATGGAGCGACCAGCTCCTCTACCTCCGTGATTTCCGGAAGAGTAAGATACCCTTGCTCTTGGACCCTGATCTGCAAGATCTAGGGTCGAGGGTTCCACACTACCTCTATATCGTTGTCTAACGAGCTTTTTTTGGTGGTTTTAGTTCCTTGGGGAATCACGCACATGTTCCTCATCGTTAACGTCATCGCTATGGCCGTTTGCTCGACTCTGGTCATCGCCCGTAAACGTACCGAGGTCGCCGTCGCTGGATTGCTTGCCGTCGTCATCACACAGGGTCTTGGATACGGTCTCATCTTCGACTTGAACTTCTTCCTTCGTAATCTGAGTGTTGTGGGTGGTCTACTTATGGTCCTGTCCGATTCGTGGGTGCGCAAGAAGTTCGTTCCTGCCGGTCTGCCCCAGCTTGATGAGAAGGACCGCAAGATGTACGTCCAGTTCGCTGGTCGTGTGTTGCTGATCTTCCTCTTCATCGGGTTCGTGTTCTCCGGCGATTGGACCTTCTGGCGCATTCTCGTCAGCTTGTTCGGTCTTGTCGCTTGTGTCATGGTCATTGTTGGCTTCAAGGCCAAGTGGAGCGCCATTATTCTTGTGGTCCTCCTGAGCTTGTTCAACGTGTTTGTGAACAACTTCTGGACGGTATGTTTACTGGAGAATTCATTGTATCTTTGGTTACTGACAACCCTGTCTAGCTGCATGCCCACCACCCGCAAAAGGACTTCGCCAAGTACGACTTCTTCCAGATTTTGTCGATTGTGTATGTTTCCTCTCCCCAATAGTGAAATATGCTCAACGCTAATAACTTCTACAGTGGTGGTTTGGTCCTACTCGTCAACATGGGCCCCGGCCAATTGAGCATGGATGAGAAGAAGAAGGTCTACTAGAGCAGAAGGAAATCGAAACATGATTCTCCTTCTTTCTATATATCTCCCGGCACCTGCATCCATCTAGCAAACACAATGAAGAGGGACAGAAACTACCAAAGGGCGGCCTAGCTGGTGCTTCGCGGGCTCCGAGCATTTGAATACAGGCCCCTTTGGACCCTTAACTGGTTTACAGAGGCTATGCTTGGCCGGGTTGGGCGTTGTTTTTGCATTTGGGATAATTTTAAAACGCCGAGGAGATCCAACGATCTACTCTTTCTTGCGTCTTTCTTTTTGAGCTAAACTTTTGCGTCCTGGTCTCTTGTTTCATCGAGATCAATAAGACATGTCCTCTGCATATGATGTTTTGGGTATGCATTTAAATTGCATTTATCACGAAGACGAGTTGATCGAAAATTCAACGCTTAATGCGTCACATATCTGCATGGCTTTTTGCATTTCATGCAATAATATCAACCTACAATCCATGGATGGCTTTAACGAGAGATGGCACCTAGAAGTACTAAGCCGAACTCAGGTTTTTACCGTTGCTAACTCCCCCTACGTCTTATGTAACATGTCACTTGAAATATTTTCTAGTATATACCCTGGGCTCTATGTCCTGCTGTATAGGAGGTCTACCAGCCCTGGATCTGTCAATACCCTGGTCATTTTTAACGCATAGTATTTGATATACATTGACCTCACACCACAGTGTGATTGGGAATATGCTCGATATCTTACTATTTGTGATATGTCGCGGCGTATTGTATTGCGTTTTACGACTTGGACGGCATGTGTTTAAATATATATTTTGGAAAACCACAGCCAGATCTAGACGAAGAACAGCAGCTTCTGTAAAGACGTCTGGGGTCAAAGAAGCATTTGATCTATTTCCATTTTACAAGATATACCTAGACTGATCAATATCCAAAAAGAGAAAAACATCCATTGTGGATCGAACGCTATGTACTGGTAACCCAAGTAGAGGGAGGGAGTGATTATGGTACAAGAAAGAGATAATATCTAAGAATTGAAGGAGAACAGAAGAATAGAAAAGAGAAGTCTGGAGGGCCACAAAAATGCTGGAAACAAACAAGAGACAAGGAAAGGGAATGGTAAAATGATAGGAAGGAGTGCTATCATGGTGAGCTCGCCTGTTCTCTTACCGTTGGGTTGAAGCAACGGAGGGACTGTAGGCGATATAAGGCATTTCGCTTTTATATACTGGACCAGCCAGGTACATGCCTATATGGGATCCGAGGTCCCGACGAGGTGTTTGCGTCAAGTATCACATCGGGAAACGCAGAAATAGGGACTCGGAGAACCGAGGAGAAATAAACGATAAAAAGGCAAATGCTGGCTGGTCTTGGTGTTTCAAACGCCGTATAGTCGAAACCTAGGGAAGCTGGATGTAAGATGAGGAGTTTTCGAGAATGAGGGCTGTAGAGTTTTCAAAAGGCTTTTAGATGTCCATGCTCCAACGCCATGGGCGGATGGGCTGGAATTCACCCAGGCCGATCTCATTGTGGTTATCATCGTTGATCTCTAGGTGTAGCATGTGGATCTTCTTGTTGTCCCGGTGCACTGTGGAGAGAGTCTTCGAGATATTTGGGCGGTAGATCTTGTCACCGTCATCTGTGGCTTTTGATTGAGGGCGGGATGCCGGAGTTTCGGGGTATTTCCATGAAAGACTCTGGGAGAGATCCGAGTTGGAGGTGGTGGTGGAGAACATAGAGTCACTTCGAGAGTGTAATTCCGGGTCTGGACCATCGGATTCGATACGAAGTCGAGTCAGCGATGGCCGCCGAGGTCGATGGTTCTGAGTGGTGTCATCGAAAGCGCCGTCATCAGTCTCGCTGATTCTTTCAGGCTCCTCCCGGATCACGTTCTTAGGGGCCCAGGATACGTTGCCAAGTCCGGAGGCCTCAGCACGAGTCGGCGAAGTGACGTCTGCTTTACCAGCCATCACTCGGGCACTCGGTGGGGGCTGGAGCATCCATCTGGTATCGGCACGGCTACATGGTCCACTAACAATAGGCGGGTGGAGGTCGTTCACAGGCGGCACGCGGGGGATGTAGTACTTGGAGGATTCGTTCGGGTCTGCACGACCACGTCCAGAGAATCCAATGGACGATCCACGGACTTCTTGTTGTCCCCAAAGAGGTTCATCTTCCCGTTGGTAGCGCATCGACTTCCACTTCTCGCCGAGCGGATGCATCAGGCCACCACTTTTGTCTTTCTTGAGTTGCGAGCTCTGGTCGGTATTCCAACTGTCCGTTCGTTGAACATTGCGGTGACCACCCCGACGGGCAGGGGGACCAGGGCCTAGGGATATTTCTTCCCGCCACCCTACATTGGTACTGAAAGGGGTTGGTTGTGCGAATGGACGAGGTTGGTCGGTGATGACTTCGTTGTTGCGTCGCTCCTTCTCCTTCTCCCGTTGGACTCGGGCAGCATCCTTTCTACGTTTCCGACGATCGACATTTTCGGCGCAGGGGGTGCAACTGGCATAGTAGAAGACTGCGGACTGCGCGCCCCGATAGAGCCACATGGCTGACGCGGGGGGGGAGCGTGGGGGATATCGGTTGGTTTATTGGGCTGGACTGTTAAGGGTTGTAAACCGTCGTTTTAAGATGGGCTATCAGCCCGGGAAATCTGTTTGAATTGACCCAATATTCGCTTGTTGTGTTGTAGTGATACTATCGGACACATGAAGGGCTGAGCGGATAGGGGAGGGGGGGAAGAGAAACTGCGGAAAGGGGCGGAATAGAGGTAAGATGTAGGAATTGGAGATCGCCCAGCGATCTTTAGACAAAGAGAGGGTAAAAAATAGTTGGAAGAGAGTAGTAAGAAAGGGGAGGTGAGAAGTTGAGATGGCAATTAGGGGAGGTTTGAGGGGGCGTCGGTAGTTTCTGCCTTGGTGTTTCGCCTTTAGTTTTCAATTTGATATTTTTTTACTGTTTGCGGCCTAAACCGGGTACATATATGCAAGATAAATGTAAATGTATTCACCGACTTCTTTGAAATCTTCAACTTATAGCCAGTTGTACACACCTCATGCCACAGTAGCCTCCTAACTTACTGCGCCAAGACCCAACAGGGGCCTAAGAGGCCGGGGATACGGAAGAGTACAATTACATCTGATTGAAGATGTACTCCGTCCTCTGTACATATGTAACATGATTGCCTAGTTTTATCTATATATGGCACTCATTGTCCTGGAATCTTTTTCTTTACGTCGTACCTCGTACATCGTTGTACATATTAGCCTTGGCATTTTCCCGCGTGGAGTCATGAAGGAATGTGGCTGCAAACGGCAGGCTATTACTCCTTTTCAAAAAAGGAATGTAAGAAAATTAGGGTAATTCATGTGTCTTCGAACCATACTGATGTAAGATCACATTCCGCTGGATCGAATAACGTAGGGGGCTCCCAACATCTCATACTTGGGATCTTGGGTCGAATCCAGCCCCTGTAAATCCACTGTCTTTGTGTCCATTGTCTGTGCTCTTGGCCCCCGCAAAGTCATTCGAGGGGCAAGAATGCCGAGTCGATGGCAAACATGTGCAGCCCCGTCCTCTAACTTGCTGTAGCCATTGCATCATTGCACATCAAACATGCCAATCATCCATAGCTCGTGGGAGATCGGTGTAGATTTGCAACGGGAAATAATCAAAACATGGCGGACCAAAACCCAGCGTATCTTCGCATCGTTGTAGGGCCAAGGGCCAAGCCCGCAACGGCGGATTCAATAGTAAAAAGGCCTCGCAACGCTGGCAAATTCCAGCATTCATCGGCTTGCTGGATCGTTTTATTGCATGCAAATGGGTTCGCCAAAACGCCTGAAAAATGACAATGGAAAATAGCACCGTACAAACCCCGCTCATGCATTCTTCGTGTCTCGGATTACCTCGCCTTTCACCTTGGTCCAGTCAATGTCTCCGTCCATTTTTTCGTCTATTTCGCCGCACACCACAACGTTGTCGCCGCGGATCAGGTACAGCCCGTGCTCAATTTCGGTAGAGGGCTCATCGTCGTCTGGCGTGCGGATGATGCGCTCCACGGTATTGGCGAGAACAAGATTGGTCGTTTGGTCGGTGGACAGAAGATCGCCGATGAGTGTGCGGCCGTCGACTGTGAGGATGAGGACTTTTTCTGTTCAAACGAGATGGGTCAGTACTTGGTTTATGTAGGAGATATAGCATGTATAAGTATTTCAGCTAATTGCAAACACTCACTATTGACATAAAAGTGGAGAGACATGTTGGATGGGAGAGCGGTTTAACAAGGTGCAAGGGTATCGCAATTTTGCGGTTGATCGGGTAAAGGTGGGTGCACCGTTGAGTCGGGATGGAGCTGTGTCTCGATCTCGGTGGTCCTAGCACTAGATTTGAAGTAGCTCTCTTGCTTTGCGTGAGCAGGAGAGGGTTCGTGGATCTTCGTTCACTTCCGAGTCCGTCACTTCGCGCAAAAAGTGTTCGTCGAGGTAAAGAGCCGGAGGGGTCGTGGTTGGTCGTAGCGCGGAAATGTTGACTTGCTGAGAATCCTCAAGCTCACCGAGGGAAAATCAATGCTGTAGGAGCTCTGTTCAAAACCGAGGCCAATTCAATGTGAGGTGATGGCGGAGCGGGTTTGTGCTGTTTGTCGAATCTCAAGTGAAGACTGCAAGAACCCTCCTGGATGATATCAATAGAATTATAGAAGAGGCGAGTCGGTGAGCTCGACTAATAGCGAAGATATTGGTGGCAGCGCGTGACTTAATGCTTCATGGCCGTTTTCCACGATGGACGATTGACATCCCCGATTCGATCACGTGCGGGAAGCTCATGAGAGAAGTGGATACCACATCATTTTATACTGTTGTAAGGCAAGGAGATGGACAAGTTTTATAAGTTGGAAAAAGACAGGTTTTGTTGTACAAACTTCGCTACAGTGACAATGATCTAGATAGATGACCCTGGTAAGGACTTGTATAGCAATTCACTATGTGTGCACGATATCGCCCGCAATTTCCCATGCACTCCAATCAGCCTCGCAATGCACTCAGATCCAAAGGAACACTACTGCCCCTTCCAGCACGGTATCGGCGCTCCCCACCGATAAATTGCCGTGGTTTGGGGAGTAGCCCCTCGCTTTGGAATTTGAATCGCACATCTTCTATTCGGACTGGGCCCCGTCCATGTGTTGAAGGGCTTCGTGAGCTTGGCGCAGGCGATCCACCATTGGAAAGTGTATAAGCGCTAGGGTCCAGCGCTGTAAAGGGTTCATGGGACACAGGGTGAGAAGAAATAGGGGATGGTCGGGATGGTCGGGATGGCGGCTCGATTGGCGGAGCTACAGGAAGTGAAGTTGGAGGGGGTGGTGGTGGAGCACCTGGAGCGGCTGATGGGGGTGGCGGGGGAGGTGCTGATGGTAAAGAATGCCCCAGGGCGGAACGGGCAGCTTGTGCAGCAATTGATGGTGGAGCTACTGATGGGGGAGGGGGTGGTGTCGATCTGGAAGCAGCTGGCGGGGGAGGAGGCGCCCGAGTCGCGGGGGCTGATGGAGGAAGTGGCGGGGGTCCGGACGGTTTTCTCGATGAAGGCGGTGGTGGAAGCTTGCCCGGTGCTGGAGGTGGAGGAGGCGCGCGTGGAGGCGGTGCTTCAGGTGCCTTTGTAGCTGGCGCTGGAAGTGTAGAAGAGGATCGTGCAGCAGGTCTCGGGGGAGGCTTCTTCAAGCCGGCAACCAAATGATTGACCGGTGGTGCAGTGGGTGAATCGGTCGACGAAGGACGGGGAGGTGGCCTGGCTCCAGGAGGCCTGGGAGCTGTTGGAGGCTTGGGAGCTGGCGCAGCAGGTGGTCCACGTGCACCTTCGGAATCAGAGATATATGGCGAGTCTCGACTGGCACCTGTATCGACACCTCCACGACTGCGTAACTTGGGAATCCCACCAGCGAATATACCCCCTAATTGAGGTGGCATTGCACTAGCTGCACCATCTGTCCCAGAAACTCCTTCGCTGTTGCTTCGTAATCGATTTGCGGCTGGGCCGGATGGTACAGGCGGTGCAAGCCCGCTTGGGGGCGGTCTCGCGCCAGGAACAGGTGGTGCACCCGCGATAGGAGGAGCTGATGAAACGCCTCCTGAGCCTCCAACTATAGGTGCTGATCGATCATTGGTAACAGCCTTCTTCAACCTGGTGCCTTTATGGATATCAGAGAGAAGTGCGCCCTATCTATGAGTTAGCTAGCGAGTTCTTTGAGCGACAAGCTGCTTGAGTCAATGCAACTTGAGCATCCCATAAACCTACCCGGTCTTTAACTTGTGCTTTAGGGGGTCTGCCTGGGAGGCCACCTGGAGGAGGCGGCGGGGGAGGACCGCCCAAACCTCCCGGCGGCGGCGGCGGGGGAGGAGGTGGTGGTGGCATAGTTGAGGATCAGATAATGATATTATCAGGCAGAAAGCTGCATATAATTCAGAAAATAGTCAGATTGTGAATATGTGTTGTTTGAATGAAAAGAACATGGAGGTGTTAGGCAGAGAAGCAAGAAGACGTCAGGGTACGAGTACGGGGAAGTGGACAGCGCCGGGGCGAAGTCTCCGCCTGGAATCTCCCATCGAAAAAAATACAGCTGCCTTACAACGTCACTCACCACCAAAGCCATGAAAAGAGTTGTTCTCACAGCCAATAAAGGCTCCCGGCCACACGGCTCGATCTGTCAATTATGTCAATTCTCAACTTCGGCACCCCGTCGTGGTCTCCCTATCGCGCGTTTACCCAGCACTCGACCTACGGCCTCCAATCTCCGTTTACAACCCTCAAAGCGAACTGATAGATTGGTATTGGGTTCTCCTTTGCTTATTTCCCACCGATATGCGTCCGCTACAACTACGAAGATAAGCCCGGAAGCTGAAATCAAAGAGATTGCGCGGGATGCGTCTGCCGTGCATCAATCGAACGCGGTGGCCTCCAATGAAGTGGTAGTAGAATTGCTGCAAAGATGCCAGCGGGTCGCCGAATCCCTTGTCTCTCGAGAACGGGATCAAAGCGAGGGACCGTCAAAGGGCGAGAGCAGCGCGATCTCTTCTTTACTGGATCTAGAGGAGAAGCAAACTGGCGCGAAGAACAAAGGCAAATCACAGTCCTCACAACACCCAGACCCACGACTGGCAGATTCAGTCTCAGATATTGCCATTGCACTTTTGAAGGACGAAAAGGTCTTCATTTCGCCTGAAGCCCTGGCCTCCTGTACCGAGACCCTGACTATGCTGCGACGGGCCGAGCACTTCCCCGAGATCTTCCACCTTTTCGCCTACAAGCCTGTCCCAGAGGAAGGCAGCTCTCCAGTGAAGTTGCTGAAGGCCAATCCCAAGAGTATCAACAGCGCCGTTCCGGCGGAGTTGGCTAACAAGGCTCTTGGGGTCGCCATTGCACAGAAGAATCTCTCGCTCGTGCTAGCCATCATCGACAACACTTTCTGCGCCCCCGCTTTCCACCGCGCGAAGATCTTCAAGAAAGCCGGCGTCCCTCTAGTCGGTCTTGCAGCTGCCCCGGCTGCTTGTTATGCTCTCGCATCATGGGCGGCAACATTCCAGAACACAATGGACCCCAACGTAGCGACTGGTGTTGCGTTCGCCGCTACGCTAGCTTATGTCGGCGGTACAGCCTCCATGGGTATCTTGGCTATTACCACTGCTAACGATCAGATGGAGCGTGTGGTCTGGATTCCTGGTATCCCTTTACGGCAACGGTGGTTACGCGAGGAAGAGCGCGCTGCCATGGATAGAGTTGCCTGCGCGTGGGGTTTTAAGGATCCTTATATGAGAGGCGAGGAGGTTGGCGAAGAGTGGGCAAGTCTTCGTGAGTTCATTGGCATGCGGGGCATGATTCTGGATAAGACCGAACTGATGGCAGGCATGGAGTAACTTGATTCCCTGCATGTGTATTATAAGTCTCTTGTTTCACACATAATGAGCAATGTAAAATATACAACTATTCAAGATTTATCTACAGCTACATTGTACCAAAGATAAAATTACGATGTTGAGATAGCAAATTGAGACCGATCATGAGCTTCATATTTTTGTTTTCAGTCGTGAGACTACATAAACCCAGTTCTCAGGCCCAAACTAGAATACACCGGCGCAGTTAAGCGACAGATAATCTAGTAGACACGGTGGGGAGGAGACATGGAAGCCTTGATGACAAGGCTGCCAACGTTCTGCCAGCCCTTCTTGAGGAGGGAGACAAGGTAGTTGATGGCGAGCATGAGGTTGGCAACAAGGGCCTCCTTCTCCATCTCGACGTGACCGATGGCAACACCGAGGCACAGAACCTTCTTGAGCTGGAACTTGATGGTGGACTTGACGTCGGTGACCTTGGCGGCCATGTCCTCAGCGTGGGAAACGGGGGTAGGGAACTTTCCGGCCTTGGAGAGACCGGGACCGAGGAGACGGGGAATCTGCTTGATCAAACCCTCGGAGGCAAGGAAGGCATCGTACTTGCGAGCAAGCTTCTTGATGAGCTTCTTGTTCTTGTTGAGCTTCTTGAGATCGTCAACGGACATGGCATCGATGCTGTGGTGCTTAGCACGGTCAAGATCGTGCTGGTCACCAAGAATACTGTAAATTTCGTCTGTTAGCTTTCATGTTCATCATTTGATATGCAGACATCCTTCGCGGCTGAGCATCGTGGACGGATGTAGAAACTTTGCGCGCGGCGGATTGTCGAGGGGAAACGCACCAGATGGCCATGTTGGGGCGGGGGACGGTAGGCAGCTTGATGGTGCCAGAGAAACGCTTATCACGCTGGGGATCGTAGTTCTTCAGGCCGATCTGAAGCTCAACGGTCTCGTTGAAGTTACGCTTCTTCTCATTGAGAGAGTAGTTGAGAAGGTTCTCGACATTCTGGCGCACTCCGGCTGTGAGAGACAAGAGCAGTTAGTGGTAAGATCATCTAGGTGAGAGTATGAGGTGCAACGAACCGACTGTGATCTTGGACATGATTGCTACAGTCTTCCAAAAGAAGTTGAAATTCTTATGGTATGGCTCTGCGCTGAATGCTTGAGAAAAGAAAATGTCGAGGGCCGTGAATTTCTCCGCTTGTGGGTGTGGACTAGCGCTAGTCTGGATTAGGATTAGCGGTGCCCTAAATTTTTTTTGCCAACTAGATTGTGGCCTGAGGCATCAACGTGAACAATCCTCCCAAGTCTCGGAAAGACGTACGCTGTATGTCGTATGACCGAGGATAATGTTTATCATTGCTATAAGATTATTCTTAACTAAATAAATCTCATTACGGCTGTCAAAAAGAACCTCATAGCGTAACATTTCGCACTGTCGTCTCGTTGACGGTTCAATACGTCCACGGATACTTCACCCTCACTCTAATTCCAGTTGCTCATAGAAAGTATCGCATTAAGCAACCGTCGTTCTCGGCTTGGGTAACGATATCAGTAAACCTGACACTTCTCACTGTCGCTCAACCGCGTCAACATTGCTACTGCTTCAAGTGACGGCCGAACCTTGCCTATTACGCTTTTCCCGTTACTACATTTGGCAAAATGCTTGTCATCACCATCAGAAGGAATGATTTCAATGGATGAAAACGGTGCTTGCGAGCTAATAGAGCATCGATTATGATTGTTTAGACACGCACGAAACGAAAAGTATACGAAGGGATCTGGACGGATACCAAATTGGTGATTTCCCCTAGGAATAGGAATCAAGATGATAAATCATAAGTATATAGACTGCAACGTACTTATATTTCATTGAAAGCTACCTTGATTTGTGTACGTTCATTGCAGGACGTACATAAGAAGCATCGACCAGATCGCCCCGCCACATGGCCGACCCGCTTATATTGTATCGATCATTCATTTGTTATGCATCCTATGTATGTCATTCATGAAAGTAAATTTATCATTTCATAATATTATGGTGGAGAGATGGTCCGAATTTTGATGTCATGTCTCCTTGGGTGCATTGTTTTGCGCACCTGGGCATATCTCCAAGGATCTACTCAGCCACAAGCACGAGTCCGTATAAACCATGTGCATAATAGTCCAGCTGAGCTGAATAAAGTCATTGTCACAGGCTAGGGTACATTGCATTAATTATTGAATCCATATATACTCACGTAGAAAGATCTTCAGGTTATTGTTGTTGACACCTTCTGACTACGACATAATATATATCGAACCGTCCCGATGACCGACAAACATACAAGCTTTTCCTAAGTAGACGGGTATACAGCAGCCCACGAGATGTTCGCATAGGGATCTATTTTAGGACATATTTCGACAGGTGAAACGAACCCGCCATGGTCTGCGGGGGCTGCAGATGATCGCAGCGCTTAAATGTGACTGGCGGCAGTGTCAGCCTCAGATGACTGGTCACCCTCTGCCTGGGGGCTGCCTTGTTCAATTTAATTGAGATCGCACCCCGAGATTAAAATATTTAAACTTGACTTTCTGCTTATTTTCCCATCATATGCTCCGGGTTTACGTTCGGTTATAAGGCTGTTTAGTTGTTTATATGAACCTTGACACCTGATACCCCCTCCTGGCTTGACAGCTGATCATCCGATTATTGGCTATTGATTTACAGAACTTTCCTCCAAACCCAGTGTCTAGCAAAGTGTGCTTTGCTTCATCATGTCTTATACAACAGATTCGCACGAGTCAACTGCGCCACAGGATTACTACTCAAGCCTAGACGACGAGGGCTCACTTGTGGGAAAGTTCGAGAGTATCGACGATGAGGCGCAGTTTCGCACTGCTATGTGCCGCCTAAAGGATCCTCTCACTCAGAATTTTGTGCTTGATTTCGGGAACGAAGAGGCATGGTGTGCATCTGATTTGCGCACTGATGAACTGAAACTATTGCTGAGCAAGCCGGTAAGTTTTGTTTCTATATCATTCAACTAGGTTGATTGTTGCATCTATCCAATATCAAAGGTCTGACATCGTACAGAGGGACAAGTGTTTCGGTACACGGTGGATGTAAGAACCAAGCTCCCAAATTTAGTTGAGTGTATACTGACATCGCATAGTAATATATGGGCACCAGAGGAGCAGAAGGAAAGCATAAGGGTAGGATTTTCAATTTCACTTATATTTGCGCAGTAATGACTGACTATGCATTTCTAGGCAATTACCAAGCACTATGGAGTGTCTGAACGACTGCAGGGGATGATGTGCACGGAGCCAGTGCATCCTACACCAAAACCTACACCATTACCAACCAAAAGGTCTTCGCAAGCGCCCGGTGTTGTGCCATCATTCGTACACGAAGTGGACGACCCGGAGAATGCACTCAAGCATCTCGCCGATCCAGATAAATCCCGGGAGTCGGCGTCATTCCAGAATCTCACCTTTTCACAGGTCACAGATCAAATCTGGCACTTCTCTTCTGTGGATCATGGTCCTCAATGTAAGTATATCATATCAAACTTGAGTCAGCAAAACGTTAAACAATCCATCAGATACATGTATCGGATATAATACGTTGTTTGTAATTCCCACACTATCGCAGCCAAATGAAAAAGATCTCCCAGATGGAAAACGGCTTTGGACCTGGCTGATCCAGTGTCATGACGGTATGAGCTGCATAGCGACACCCCATTTCTCAGGCTTGGAGTGCAGCTGCTGACTTGTTTGCAGGCACAATAATCTCAATCCAAGAGAACCCGTTCCCTAGACGAAATGCAGTGCCGATAGATGAAGCCAAGGCAGTCCTCGACATCGTGCGCAGAAATGTCCGCTTTATTTTCGCTGGTGTCTCCCGACAGCACTTTGCCATGTCTGAGAGCGAGTCGTTAATCACCATCCGGGTGCGACATTTCAGTGACCTCGGACCGGATCAAGCCAATATCAAGCAGGAGGATGGACCGAGTTTGCTCTTCTATTATATCTTCGATGACTGGGTGTCAAGTTATGGACTTATCGCAAAGCGAGAACACAAATATGGTGTTGCGTTGGACAAATTGGTTAGTGTCGTCCTTGTAGCACGTTTTGTTCATCTGTTCTGACGATGGCTAACTCCGCATAGAGAGGCCAAATGCTCGATCGTCCGATAGTGGATTTGGTGAATGAGTTGCACTGGCTGGGCCGACGACTCGCGGTTCTCAAACGATTGTATCAGAGCTATGAGCTTATCATGCGGCGACTCTTGCAACGACAACGGATGCTCCGCGATGAAGCGCGTTCGGCCCAGCCAGCCCCAATCACGTATGGAGCCACATTTGGCGATATGGAGGTTTTGGATATGCGCCAGTCGAGCGTTGTGAGCAATACCACTTATCATAACCCTAATGAGAAATCGGTCGGGGTGCAGCTGAGCTCGACGGCTGTGGCGCGCTTCGAACGGTTGGTTGATCGTATTAATTTGTATTGTTTGAGCGAGATTGAGAACTGTCTCAATGAGAAAGAGTCCTTGACGTTCCTGGTAGGTATTTTCCCGGCCTTTCTTCGGAGAACTTTGCTGACGTGACCTAGAATTTCAACTTGATTGCACTCAAGGACTCGCAGGCTGTTGAGAAGCTCACTCGGATCACTATCCTGCTGGCTAAGGCGACGATTTTGTTCTTGCCGGTTAGCTTGATGAGTGCATACTTCTCGACAGAACTGATTGGCGTGAAGAATGGGTACACAAAGACCGATTATTGGGTCAGTTTCGCAGTTATCTTTGTCGCATCCATCTTGCTTTTGACCGTTTTCGGTTATGCCAGCGATACGATGGAAGGTAAGACAATTTATCGGTCCATGATACGAACGTTCTTCCGGAACTCTCGTGAGAAAATATCGCGACGTCGACAATAAGAGAAATTGCTATGGGGAAATGTGGACCAAAGAGAAAAAGGGTTCCAGAGGGATTACGCACGATAAGTGTCCCAGGTCCTATCAGACACTGTGGGACCTGGGTCTAAGCCTGGGGCGACCTTTGGTATTTCACTTACGGGACCAACACGGTGTCCTCTTCCACCAAATACACAGCTGTATACTTCTTATAGTTCATATAGGCAGAACTATTATAGTCAGACCATATATATGTGAAAGATCTGTAGAATCATAAGTTGTTTCTTTTACAATCTCTCAGCCTCATTTTTATAACGGTGTTGCGTGCTCTTGAGTAAACAGGTGACGAAGACTACGCCCACCGCCAACGGACGTATTTCTGCGTATTCAAAACAAAAACGAAACCAAATTTCCCCTTCTGACTTCTCTCATATTCCCCTGAACTTGCATCTCATTACTTCTTAAACCAACTTATACCTTTTTCTGCCGGTAAGTGGTTGATCCGGTGTCTAACTGGTTGCCCAGACTTGCCCCCCCCTGGATCTCTGACCGACAAGTCCACAACACGTTTTCCAACCCCTCCGCTTTTCCCCTTTCACCATCCCCTCGATATCTCTCTGACCTATCCACCCCTCCCAGGATCCGAGGGTTTTCTCGCTACCGACAATATGGGTATTACTTTCTCGCGGTTGTTTGACCGACTATGGGGCCGCAAGGAGATGCGCATCCTGATGGTCGGTCTTGATGCCGCTGGTAAGACCACCATCCTGTACAAGCTGAAGCTCGGTGAAATCGTCACCACCATTCCCACGATTGGTTAGTCCCGCCTCCCCGAACCCCATCTATTGGCGACACCGTGATGCGCTCTTCGCAATCTCATAAGCCGTGGTGGAAAATGTTGCCTTTCGGAAACTGACTCCTGCAGGATTCAACGTCGAGACGGTCGAATACAAGAACATTCAGTTCACCGTGTGGGATGTCGGTGGTCAGGATAAGATTCGTCCTCTGTGGCGCCACTACTTCCAGAACACCCAGGGTATCATCTTCGTGGTTGACAGCAACGATCGCGATCGTATCGTTGAGGCCCGTGAGGAGTTGCAGCGCATGTTGAACGAGGATGAGCTCCGCGATGCTATGCTCCTGGTGTTCGCCAACAAGCAGGATCTGCCGGTAAGGACTTTTTTTTTTCTGGAATCGAGAATGGTATTTACTAGGAAATGTCATGCTGACCTCCCCCTCTTTTGTCTAGAACGCCATGAGCCCCGCCGAGATCACGCAGCAGCTTGGTCTTCAGAGCCTGACCCGTCGTGCTTGGGTAAGTGACATATCCTTGTATGTGTTTTACAGGTTCACTAACCGATCTAGTTCATCCAATCTACCTGCGCCACCACTGGTGACGGTTTGTACGAAGGTCTGGAGTGGCTCGCCGATGCGCTCCGGAAAACCAACCGCGATTAAGGTCTATAATGCGAATTCGAATCGGACGTGTAGCTGGGTGAAGGAGAATACCGAAATCTACAAATGATGGATTGATGATGACGATGGCGGGGAGTTCTTTGGCCACACATGACATTGATCTCTGCAAGGAAAGGGGTTCTGCAACTGGTTCGCTACTTCTTTTGATGTTCTCTCTTCAAACGGCTCTTTTTCCTCTACGCTATGCTATTAGCCTCATTTGTTTTTCTTCTCTTTGGCATCGCCACTCCCAAAATTGCTTCTCTGCCTTGGAACTCCCAGAGATCTGTATAACTCAATTGTAAAATCTCGGAATCTCAAATTGAAAAAGGAGAGAACGAGAAAGGAACAAATGAGCAGAAATTCGAACTTTCTATCTGTTTTCCGTCTGTTTTCCTCCGCATTAGGAGACCTGTAGGGCTGAGTCGGGTTGAGTAGATTTCAGTCCGGTTGACAATCACGTGATTCTATACAGCATTTTGGCAGCCATTCCGAGGTTGTTTTTATTTAGTTATGCACAGGGTTGAAGCTTATATTTTGCCGCATATCTAACTAAACACTTTGGGATTATGTGTAGGATGATCTACATAATTAGGGCTAATACGGTCTCACATAGAGTGTCCTAGATCTATAGGATGAAACACATATGACAACCACATATTCCCGAGGAGTAGGTCACACCAATTTAACTAACATTATTGATTTGTTCATACAGCTCGCCGATATCTTTATTAACTACATGAACGAACACCATAAACATACACAGCTCGGACTGCCAAAATCATGTTGCCGCGCTGATCGACTATAAACCCTCCGTGTCTGCAGGTTCCTGGTATGGCCAGAGTTTCGTGAATAATTCTCTCCCTTCATAATCTTTGGTCAATCCGATGAAGATCTCTTAGAATTTCCGGCTGTTCTTCTGGGCTGTATCATAGTCTTTGGGCTCGATCATGCCATCCACCGGGAGCAGGGCTTCATCTCGAAACAATGTCAGTAATTTCCGGACACCATTGATATTCTCCTCTTCCATAGAATGCAGCTCAACATCCTCTATGGTGAGCTTTATCGGACATGGTATATCTGGGACAAGCTCTTCCCAGTCGGCGAAGAGCGACATAAGTGATTTGCGGAGAAAAAATAGATCGCGATTTTTCCACACTCCCGTGACGTGGGTTTCGGATGATAGGGATCCTATTATCTTCGAGGGCAAACCAGTAACGAGGCGATTGTTTGTACACCTGGGCCTCGTAGTACTTGTGATTGATCTGACTCTCTAGATCATTGTCAACTTCCTGAAGAGGTCCACGGTGGGTACACATCCTTGGAACATTGGCATGACAGAACAATGGTACAACACATGCCGATTGCTAATCCACGATACATGTGATTTGAAGGGCCCCTCAATCGACGATGATGTTGTCCAGATGAAGATCGGGGCGCATTAGAACGTCGCTGGACTCTGCTTTGTTGGCAGATCGAGGAATAAGACAAGGAGCAACTTTCATATATTTGGTCAAAAGATCAAGACCATCCTGGGGATATTCCTGGGTTTTGAGTGACCGATAATATTTCATTCAAGGAGTTGCATGTGATGTCACAGAAGCAACCTCGTTGCGTCCCAATGAGTGAGTGTAGTCACTAAGATCCTTCTCTGTATTTAGAAAGACAGTTAGAGGCTTTTGTACTAACCTGTCGACTCTCTTGATTTACAGAGACCACGATCCAAATTTATGTACTTCCTTACCCCATTCCATAGTTCGCCGGTAGCGAGAGGTTCCATGGCAAACATATCGGAGATGGGCCCGGCGTTGGGATTTGGGAGCTTTGCCAAAACCTCGCAACCGTTATCCATTGTCAGAATGAATGCCTTGTTATGTAGGCCATCTGCACCTTTTGTGACTTTGCTACCTGCGAATATTATCATAATAATTGCAAGTGCCCCGGGACAGCAGCGTACAAGATTGAGCTTCCTCGCAAACATCGACGGCAACCTGAATCAGTTGCTCTAGGTCAAACTCCATGTAACGCTTAGTGAGTCCTTTTTCGTCGTTAAACCTTGGATTTCGAGTCAAGTCAAAATCATCTTTCGAACTGAAATGAGATGTGTAGCTCACAGCTACCGGTCACTGGTGTATCGGTGCAGATATTCCTCGGAAACCAGTCATCTAGAGAGAAAGACTCAGCTATTTAGCGCACTTGAATGGAATAATGGTGCATTCAGAATAATGAGTACCTTTGCCGTTCTGTGTTTTAGCGTAGAGCTCAGGAGAGCGAGATACACAGTGTCTGCCTTGATGAGACGTCGAGTAGAAGCTCACATTCCGAAGTCGACAGCAAGGAACGTGTATGCTTTTCCAAGTCCACGAGATTCTAGAAAATGGCATCACGTAAAATAAGAGACATTTATGGATGAAAGTCTGATGGAAGTAAAGTCAGAGTCCGTGCTGACATCTACCAGTCCTTTCCTAATAAGGTTATACATGGACAAGATGCTCAGTTTATACCTCTTTTTCCATCCAAGAGAAGAGAGTAAAAGACATACAAAAAGGCATCTAGAAACAATACCTAAGAAGGCTACCAAAAATTCCACCAAAAAGACCACTAAAAAGACACTATTCTTGTCTTTAATACCCTGGAGGGTTAAACTTTGGACTCACAACCTTATTTTGACTGTTTATATACTTCCTTCACTCACCTTCTGTTCATCCCATCACTGAGCTTCTACTCATTCATACTTTCTGTCCATCACTATCATTAAGCTTCTCCAACCAAATCTATTCGTTGCAATCAGCACTTCACTTCCATCAAGGAGCCGTGTTTGCTGCTCTGCGCGGAGTCAAAACCCCCTTTGCCTTCACAGTGGAGGTGGACTCCTATGAGTCCAAAATCAGTCACTACGACTTTGAGCCCGAACCCGTTTTGCACGAGATTGTCACCCTCGCAAATCAGCTGTCCAAGGTATCCAAAACCGAACTCACACTTCACCAAGAAGTCGCACTTGAGAACCATTTTCTTCACTCCCTCGCATGGATGGTGTACGGCTCAAATATGATCGAGAAAGCTGGCAGTAGAGTAGAAATCACCCCGAACTCTGTTTTGCGATCTTCCGTGGCCAAGCGATTCCCGAGAAGATCGAAGAGCAGGACCAAGAATACTTGCTCCTCAAAGAGAGTCTGATCCGCCAAAACCTCCCTACAAACACCTCAGCTATCTTGCACAGTCGACAAGAAGTTGTGCAACATGCCAAAGCTGCAGCATTTATGATCGACCAGTTGTGCACCCGTGGCCAAGACCTCAGCGAATAAATCCTCCTCGAAGCCCACCGAATTCTGACTTGCAAAGTTGACGCCGAAACTACCCCGTGGATGACATACAGTGGCGTCTACCGATCACCAGAAGTTAGTGCGGACCTGCATACATTTCCTTATCCTTCCCTTGTTCCATTCAAAATAAAGTCCATGTTCCACGAGCTCAAGTGCGACCTGAAAAAAGCCACAACAACTGGGATAATTGACCCTTGGCTTCGAAGTATACACATATCCTCGTCAACATCCATCCGTTCGTTGATGGCAACGGCCGAATGTGCCGATTGATTCTCAACTTGATGTGGCTGAAGTTTGGGACATTCGTCGCTTGTATTGGGGTAGATGGAGCTGACCGATCGATGTACGAGGAGATTGCCGTCAACGGAGGAGCTCTGGAAGATATGTATGGAGACGTCGAGGAAGAGGAAAAGCCCAATTTGTACAAAGAATTGGCCATTTATGTCCTGGCTCATGTGAATGAGGGCTTGAGCGGTTTGATCAGTGCCGTGCAGCGAATTTTACATAGGGAATGGATATTTTCCATATTGCAAAAGAGACCAGTATAGACCTATAAAAAGGCCAGACCTAGAAAATAAAATAAAATTAAAACAAACAAGAATCTCCGCTGGGGCTTGGACCAGTCCAGTCCATTTGAGGATGCAACTGCGTAATCCCTTTCTTGGACTGCGCCAACAGTCTTGGCACCAAATACCGGCACTTTGGCCTTGTTTATTCTTTGTTTTGCATGTTATTATTGTCTTTTTAGGCTGTTTTTGATATTCTGACAGTTTTAATATCTGTTTACCTCTTTTTTTTTTACCTCTTTTAAGTGCCACAAGCTCAAGCCCCCCATTGCCTGGCCGACGATCAACACACAGTCGCGTGCCTCTCCCTTCCTGCAACAACCACCCCTGATTTGGGCAATTATTTGGCCAATTTTTCTATTACACTTTATTGAATAGATGTGTGGTTGATTGATTTTGGAAACCCCCAATCATTCAATGTTGATATCTTGTCTGGCATCATGACCGTCCAGGCGAGGAGGCACTCCGCAGCTTACAAGTCCCCGTCACCTTATAATTCACGAGATACAGACGTTGAAAAACAACCTGCCACCGGCCGTCACATATACCACCACCACCAAAGCGATGACCCCGATTCCGATGACGAGTCGCTGGACGATAACAATGTCGCGGAGTCCTACCCGCTACCCCTCGTAGCTGGCGGCAGTCTTCGCCGCCCCCAAGCTAGCGTTGGCTTTCGCGTGCCCCAACGGATCATGCGCTGGCTCTGCTTCGCCCTTTTCGCTACCCTCGTCCTCTTCATCTTCACCCTCTTCCGCTTTACAATCTCCGGCTCCGCTCCAGCAGTCGTAGCCGATCTGCCCAAAGTCGGCGGCACCCCGAAGCCACCACAATGGGAGAGCTTCCCGTTCCTCAATCGCTACGAGGGCGGTATTTCTTCCTTGGTTCCACGCCCTGATAATGTCCCCGAATACCCCGGTGATGGCTCCGAGGACATGGGTATGGGGATGGAACAAAGCGACGAGAAGAAGGAACCGGAGCAGGACGCCAAGAAGGTGTCCAAGAGGGATTTGGCCCCAAACATGTTGAGCAATGTGTTCAATCCTTATCCTGACTATCGGTCGCCGGAATACATTGGGAAACACGGCGAGAAGCGCGAGTGCTTCCTCAATGCCGAAAACACGCTACGGGTTCCATCTATCCAAAGTTACCCCGGAGTCCCCAAGGGCTTCCCGGACCCAGCACTAGGCTCGAATACGATGTTGGGTATTCGGGACGACATGTGCTTCGATCGATTTGGCCGATTAGGCCCATACGGACTGGGATACGGGGCCAAGAAGGGCGGCACAGGCGCGGGCATGGAGGGCCATCGTGATGGTGCCGACCGTGTGTGGGAGGATGTCCCGCCAGTGGATTTCCGACAGGTGGATTGGGCTGCTGCGCAACACCGCTGTCACGCGGCCAACCGCCATCGCTTCAATGAGCTACCGGAGCCGCGTCTCAACCGCTTTGTTTCTATGCCTATTGGTATTCCCAAGGTGGACATCCCGCCGCCTGCGGAAGATACCCGCAAGGAACCGCCCACGATTGGCTCTGAGCGTCTTCCGCGTACTGCAGTTGTTATCCGCACATGGCACGACTTCAACTACACCCCGGAGGACATTATGTATATGCGCTCTGTCATCTCAGAGCTCTCGCTGATGTCCGGCGGCGAGTATACTATTCACTTTTTGGTCCATGTCAAGGATACCAATTTGCAGATCTGGTCCGATGACGAGACATACCAGCGTGTGCTTGATGAGGCGCTGCCAGAGGAGTTCCGCGGCATGGGAACTCTCTGGTCCGAGCCGCAGATGGCCCTGATGTATCCGGGATTGGAGGAGACCATGACTCGCGGTTTGCCAATTCACGGTGTCTACCGAAGCACGTACATGCCCATGCAGTACTTCGCTTTCCAGCATCCTGAGTACGATTACTTCTGGAACTGGGAGATGGATGCGCGTTACACGGGCCACTGGTACCACCTCTTCGACAAGGTCGGCGAATGGGCGAAAAAGCAGCCGCGAAAGGGTCTCTGGGAACGTAACGCTCGCTTCTATGTTCCCTCCGTCCACGGTTCATGGGAAGACTTCCGGCAGATGGTCCGCGTGCAAACCGAGAGCGGTACTAACTCTGCTAACAACATGTGGAGCGCCGTCAACGGTGCGGGAGGCAACGCGCGGAGCTCAATGCACCAACAGGGCGACAAGTCCATCTGGGGCCCCGAGCGCCCCGACGAGCGGGACATCTTCGAGGTCGAGGGTGAGGGTATCCCACCCACAAGCATGGATAAGGACCAGTACCAATGGGGTGTGGGCGAGGACGCTGACCTAGTCGTTTTCAACCCGCTCTACGACCCCGAAGGCACGACCTGGCTGCTGCGCGACGACGTGACAGGCTACAACAGGGAGAAGGGCATGCCACCCCGGCGTACCGCAATCATCACCGCGTCGCGTATCTCCCGCAAACTGCTCACCACTATGCACCGCGAATGCAGTCTCAAGCGTCACAGCATGTTCTCGGAGATGTGGCCCGCGACGACCGCGCTGCACCACGGCTTCAAGGCTGTGTTCGTTCCGCACGCCGTCTACCTCGACCGCCGCTGGCCCACCCGCTACCTGGAATCAGTATTCAACGCTGGTCGCAATGGAGCTTCCGGTGGTGCTCGTACGTCCATCTTCGGCGATCGTGAACATAACTTCCGTGGTACGACCTGGTTCTACTCTGCGGGCTTCTCGCCGAACCTCTGGCGCCGCTGGCTTGGTCTCCGTGTCGATAATGACGGCGGTGAGCAGCGGGAACTGGCTGGCGAGGGCCGCATGTGTCTTCCTCCTATGCTACTACATCCCGTCAAAGAAGTCAATATGGTTATTGACGAGGGAGAGAAAGCAGAGGACCGCTGAAGAGAGAGAGGGATTCTTTACGGCTTCTCTCAGAATTGCTACAACACGCATGCAAGTCCTTTCGGCGTTTCTCCTTACACCTCTCTACCATCTTCAGGATTTCATGTACGCTTTTTGGGCAGATGCTTATTTGTCATTGGTTCTAATTACTGTATAATGCCCCCCTCATTCCCTGGTGGCATAGTGTCCCCACGTTTTGGATTCCTATTTCTTTCGGTGCGAAAAAGGCGTTCCCATGGCCTGCATGGCTTGATGGCCAGGTTTATGGCTCACGATGCATGGATTTTCCCTTCTGGTCTAGTCAAATAGATGTTAGAGTGTGATGGGGGAGAATTTCGTTTTTGGTTTTGACTCGGGACTCGGAGACTTCCAGTCCAAGAGGGCTATTTTGGTTACAAATTGTCCCTTGCACATAATTTATCTTGGTTTGATTGTGAGTTCTATATTGTAGAACAATGAAATATCGCTAGGAATACCAATATGCCATATAAAAATGCAATATAAAGAACCATTCCAACTCAACCATCCGGAAATAAAGCCGCACTCAACTCCAAAGCCCCTTCACTATTCGGCAAAACCCCCATCCCAACTCCCCCGTCCTTTAAAAGGCGAAGTAACCTCGGGGAAATCCTGAATCAACGACAATGGACTCCGCACCACAAATTCCGCAGGTACAGAACAAATACTGCACTCATACTCTCCATCCCCATTAACCGAAAATTCAAGACAAGTCCTACATACCCGATGTCCACACTTTGTAAGCAAAACCTCAACAGTCTCCCCATCCTGTATACAAGTATGACAGAAATGCGTCGGGAATCTGATTAGCGGCTCCTGGACCATGCGACGTTCTATCTCGGAAGCGAGTTCCTTTCCCTTTTCGACGCGCGCACGTAGAAGTCCTGCTTTCGTGCGGAGGGCACTCATTGTGATTTCGTTGAAGGGGTTGTTGTCTGCTTCCTTTGCTGGGTTTGGGTTTGGGGAGGGTTTGTGGAGGGTTGGGACTGGTTCGAAGAATACTAGGGGTCGGAATCGGTCGGATAAGGCGCGGTCTTGCATGCATTTTTGTTCAAGGAGACAGCGGCGTTGGATTTGGTGGTTTAATTGGTGGGTGTAGATCACTGTGAGGGTTTGCCAGACGCGCCATTCGGAGATTGGGTCGAGAGGCATTGCGTTTGGGGGAGAGGGGGAGGTTTTGCTTGGTGACATGGTGGTGATTGTAGGTTTATGAGGGTTTTGGGGGGGGGGGGGTTGATCAATGCATGTGTTTCATGTAGTTGAGGGTGTAAGATGAAGTATATGTGTATTGACTGTATAGGGTTTGGAATTACTGATTTGAAATGTAGCGATTGAGATCTTTATATTGGAAGATAGGTAGTTGAGGATAGGTAGAAGGGAAATAGATATGTTGATTGTGTTTGAATCAGTCGAGAACTGTTCCAGAGATCAACAGAAGATATCCACCCCCAGACCAAACCAAGCCTCCTATTTACATGGAGTGATTGGCTAGATAGCTCTTTGCCTTCTGAGCCGGAGTCCTTTTCTGATTAGGCCTCATTTTTCGCTGAGTATACCATGGATGTGATGTACCCGTATCGGGGACCCCGGAAAATCTCTTAATTGTAGACGGAGCCGCCTTGGTAGAGATTCGATTCTAGACGTCTGGGAGACCGATATCTGCCCATGGCAATATCATTCTGATAGGTGACGATTACATTGGGCCTAGAACTTCACTGTGGATATCCCAATCTTATCTTTGACAGTCTGACTCGAGCTTTTTATCGGTCCATTGCCGCTCGCCCTATAATTTCCCGTGGCTCAAATATCTCACGAGTCTCTTACGTAGGAATAGGAACTTCCTTCGGTTCTTCCCATATCAAAACCTTCAACACATTCCCAGGACAATATGGATACCCCTTTGAAATGAAAGGTGTACAGATATTCGACAGAATCAAAACCCTTGGCGGATATCACATATCCAGTCTCATTCTTTTCTTGACAGAGCGGCGTCAACTCCCAAACCTGGGTAAGCCGACCAGCTGACTTATCCACCCCCAACCAGATCTCAATTCTGGTGGCGTCAAATCCCGCCTCTGCTAAACGCATGGTGTGTTGCTGTTCCCCCGAGCCCACAAATGTTTCCACACAGACATACTCCCTGTCATACATCGGGCTAGTGGGGTACCGCGGGTAGAAAGCTAGAGTCCCGGAGATTTCACGTCCACCTGTTTGCTTGGAAAACTTCCACATCCCATGCAGAGCCCGGAAAATAGCCGACGCGGCGGCCTTTTGTGCTACGTGACCAGGCACAAGAGCATCACGCAAAGCACCCAGTGTCTTCTCCGCCTCAGTATCTGTTGGATCGTAGAGATACCTCGCTGGAACAACAGGTCCAGACCTGGGGTCGCCTAGCAGTGCGGATCGCGTAATATCCAGATCCTTGGAAAATGACTCCATCAGTCCGACATAGTCGGCCATGGGGAACTGACCACGGTCCAGATCCGGGTGTGCGCATCTGAGACTGCGAAGACTTTCCTTCTGGTCGTTCGTTTCGCACGCCTTGTTCTCCCCACTCCATAGTTTCCCAAGGAATCGCGCTTGCATTTCCATCACGCCCCAGTACGGGCCACGGTAGAACCCGACGAATCCGACGTCGGGGATTTCAGAGCGGATGGTGCCTCCCTTGTCGAGAATCAATGGTGAGAAGGGATCCGTCTTGGAGTATTCAAGGGTCGTCAATACTTCATCTGGTAGCAATGACAGGGACTTGTACGGTGTGAACCCTGTGGCCATGACTATCGCTGCCACATTTTCTATCGTCTTGACCCCGTCGGGCCCTTTGTATTGGACTGAAGCTTGTTTAGTATTTGGATCAGAATTTATACAAGTCACTCGGCCTATCGATGGTTGAATCGCTCCGCATCGGACGAACTCGGCGTAATCATTGCCTATGGCGACCCATGGTGGCTGAGCTCTGGATTGTTCGTGATGTGGTGAACCCATGTGCGCATATTTCTCGTAGTCGCTGCCGAGCAAGGAGTGGAAGTAACTGTTCATCTTGACTGCTCGTTCTTCTGGGACCGGGCCCAAGGTGTATTCTATTGGACCCGGTGGTCGGCGACCCAGGTCGTACATGGCCAAATCCAACGGCAAGAACGATGGAATCCCGTCGGAAGCCTCGTGTGGGAGATAGGTTGGTAACGCCCAGAACGGTCTTGAATGTATATGATGTACCTTTGTCTCTTGGGGATGTGGGATTCTGTTTGTGGAAAGTGCAGATGAGGATTGGTGGAGAGCTACAGCAGATGCAGCTTCGACGCCTGACATACTGCCGCCAATGACGACGATCTGACCATTCGCATCTTTTGTTTTGTTAAAAGGCAGCTGCTCTCGCTCAGAATGGAGCAAAGAGCTGTGGATGATTTGACCTTGGAATTGGCTTAGACCTGGTATATTTGGAATATACTGCTGGGCAAAGTATCCAGAGGCGATGACAAGCAGGTCAAAATCTTCCGAAGACACTCCATCGTCCAGTGATCCCGGATGAGTTTCCTCCGCACTGTATATGGCTGTGAGTCAGCATCCAGATCGAGTACAGCAGCGATACCCGGAGTAAGTACCAACATACCTCTCCTCGATCCACTGAATGTTCCACTTCACATCACCATCCTCAACCCTCCGTATAGTTCTTACTACTCTACTCCCTAGCCTAAGCACATGGGCTGGAACATACCGCTCTGCATAATAGGCTAGGTACTCTCCAACCTGTGTCGCCTGAGGAAAAACCGGAACATCCGTGTCGGAAATCACAGACTCCCAGGCAAGATCCGAAAAAGCAACGGTGAAGCGGCTGAGGTTGGTCCGCATTCGAGGGTCTAGTGTAACCGGGGGGCCATTGACCCGATTGGGAGAACAATGACTTGACCACAGACCCCCGACTTTGTTTTGGCCCTCGAAGATGATTGGAGAGAATGTCCCGCGCGGGAAATTATGAAGAAGAGTTTTGGCTGTGACTAGGCCTGAGGGGCCGGCGCCTGTGGGTTGTGTTAATGTAACTCGGATAGACCTGGATACCTGTGCCTGCGGGTAGACTCACCGATTATTGCTACTTTCTTGGACATCTTAAGGTAATGTAGAGCCTATGGCGTCTCTTGTCTGCCGTGCAATATAAAACTAGACAGATTAGTGTCGCTAGACTTACCCCGCTTATATCCACTTGGCAGACAGCTCGGATCTCTTTCTATTTTGATATTTACATGGAAATGGATCTTGTTGAAAATGTACGTTGTATAACAGTTACAAGTTAGGAACATTATAAAGGAAAAAATATGGACCCGCGACCATGCTGTACCACCGGGCTAAATACCTTTGGAACAAATTACACATTATACATCAATGTACTTCGTATGTACATTCCAGATTCCAGTAAAAGAAAGGCGCCCTCGGCATACACACCAGCAAATCATGACATTAGCGCCACGTATAACCCCCAACCAGGGCGTGAATTTCCCCCATGGAGCAATCACGGCCGATCAATCTCTGGCCCCCCGGAAAAAGTTCACTTAAGTGGGAGCATTGACTTTCTCCGTATTGGCCGGGCGCTCTGATGTGCGGGGGAGAGCAGTCAAGAAAAGTTCGAGAAAAGACGTAGCAGAACTCTGTCGCATTGACATTCACCTCGTTCTCGTGCTTCCCATATGGGTTTGTGCAAGAGGTACTTTCACCCCGAGACTTGTCGTAGCCATTCAGTGACTTGGATTTCGGGCGAATTTATATTAGGCTTGTAGGCCTCGTTGCATTCTTGTTCTGTGACCAAGTTGTCGACGTTTCTCTGCGTCAGGGGGGTTTTGTACTGGTTCTTTTTTCGGAGGAGTTCCTTCTCCGCGAAGGCGGATGGTGAGAGTTTGGATAGTGTGTTTTGAATTCGTTTGATCCCACCGGGGATAGAGCGAGGAATTTGAGGTGGACCGAATGGGTTGTCGGATCTCCATGGATCTTGAGAGGTCTCGGGTTGGAGATGCTTCCGTGGAGACAGTGTTCGCGACATTGTGGGTTGGATATTCGTAGCATCAGATTCGAAATGGAAGATGTGGAGAGGGACCGCCTTTTGGATTAAATATAAACTATGTAGAGGGTAAGTAATTGGCTGGACATATCTTCTTGTAACTAATTCCGTCGACCCACGGGGGTCGTGCCCTGTTATAATATCATTGGATCCCGTCTAGTTTAACACGTCGCTATACTTCCCCCAACTTCCCGTGGGTGATGTTCAATTGGTGGATACATAGAACTGAGGCGATCTGGGGCTCACCGGTAGGAGTTTGAGGATTTTTCACCACAGAGTGGCCGACGGTGGAAGATTCCAAAGACTACGTCATACCGAAGAGATGTCGATCAAGGTATCCGGGTCTTGGCCGCGACTGGCCAATAAATATCACTTTGCCAAAGACTGTTCTTTTGGACGAATGAGAAAGCAAGTAAAAAAAAAAGATAAGCCATTCTAGGCCATAAGGCGAAAGTATGAACTCTCAGAGCATGTGACAGTTAATCTTGCATCTATATTTGTATACTCATTCGGAATGCAGGTTCAATTCTCATATTTAATAAGTAAACCGGAAACTGGGATGATCATCCCCTGCATTCTCCAGCTCCTCTTTAGGCCAATGGTACCGATGATCCCTTTTACCTTGCTCACGCAGCCGATTTTCACGGTATACATATGCAAAGAACACCATACACGCCACACCACCAATCCAAACCATCCCTAGACTAACACCGAAGCCTGTCGGGTAGGTTGGCGCTTCCGAGTCAAAGAAAACATTGCTAGCAACCAGACCGCCACAATTACCAAAGCCGATCTGCATGGCTGAGGCGATAGATTGCTTATAGTGCCCAGCCATGTTGTTACTTACCCAACCCAACAAGATCGGCTGCGCCATAAATCCCCCACCTGTGATCGCGTATAGGGCGAAGTATCGGGCACCGACTGGCACCGACTCCTGACAGATGAGAATAACGTACCCAATGGTGGCGACGACACAGCCTGCCATTGCGAAGCCGAATCGATGGCGTAGTCGGTCGCTGGCGAAGGCTGTAGCTAGTGCGATTACTGTTGCGACGATATAGATTGGGATGCTCATCACTTGGGCTCGGACGGATGTCCAGCCGAGCTGTCGGAGGATGGTCGGAGTGAAGAAGGAGGTTGCATAGCCTGTATTCACAATTCCAAAATACATAATCGCGCTAAATGTGACTCATTGTCAGTGGAAACCTTTCGTGGAGTAAAAGGCACAAAAGCTTACCCAAGATAGATTTTGGTATCTGAGAAGGTGCGCTTGATTGCCGGCTTGTCAAAGCGATCCATTTGCGCTTCACCGCGGTCTTCCGATAGACGTCGAAGTAGCAAAGTACGCTCTTCATCATTCAGGAACGTAGACGTTTCGGGCCAATCGACGACGAGAAATTTGGCAGCAATCCCAGTGAACACTGTAAGTAGACCTTCGATGATGAAAATCCAGCGCCAGCCGCTGTATCCTCCGACACCATCCAGCTGCGCTATTCCATAGGCAAGAAGCTAGGAATATTTTTTAGTATGGAATCAATCTCAACCCATCACGGCAATACATACTCCGCTGACTGCACCAGCCAGAATACTCGCGCTGAAGAAAACATTGAATCGCCATTGCAACTCGTGGCGCTTATAGTACATCGCAATCAAGTAGATGCAGCCTGCTAACATTAGCATTTGTGCTTCTTAGGGGTCAAGGCTATCAAACCTGGCATCAATCCAGCCTCAAACAAACCCAGCAAGAATCGACATGCAACGAGGGCCCCAAAGCTCTGTACCACACCTTGGCATGTTGTGACAATACCTAATATCAAAGTCAGTCCCAGTGCCTTCACCTATATCGGTTGAAACATACCCCAACAGAACATAATCCCGCCCAACCACCAAGACGGCGATACCTTTTTCAAAAAGAGATTGCTAGGAACCTCGAAAAGGATATAGGGGATGAAGAAGATAAATAAGGCGATATTGTAGTCATGTCCCGTCATACCCAAGTCCTTTTCAAGACCCTGAAGTCGCGCGTTACCGATATTGATACGATCAAGGAAGGCGAGGAGGAACAAGAACATGAGAATGGGAACGACATGGAGGTCGACTTTCCTTAGAAGTCGTTTCTCCGCTGCCGGATCTATGTCTGGCATAGAAACCGTAGACTTGAGATCCTCGACCATCTCATGGTGTACTTTTTCCGAGTCCATTGGGGAAATTTCAAGTAGGCCTCGAATCGATACAAGCCGGCATCAGAATTATTCAACGACCTCATGGCGAACATGGCCTTTTTAAATGTATTCAGTGATCAGTCGCCATCGTTTAGTCGTTTCAAGCTGGGGAAAATCCGGGGCCCCGCACTATGGCATTGTGTTCATTCCGCATTTTTTGATCGCTGTTGGTATGGTATTCCGCCCCCAGGGATGCCAAGAATGCACGGCTTGGTGCCTAGATTGGTGTCTATCTTGGTATCTAGGCATGGCTTGGGCTATACCGGGCGGTTGGGAGAAGTGGTGAGGGTTATGCGCTTGCGAACCTATGAGGTTAAAGGGTTCTAGATCGAGGTCTTCATATGTATGCAACGGCCTTACTCCGAGAGTGGGGACTGTTTTGTTGAAATGTTAATTTTGGCTAGTGAAGCCGATCCTATCTGTGACGGAACAGTACCCCGGAATGATACCGCATATTGCCGCGTAGGATACTCCTCCGAATACCTATAGCTCGATACTTGGAATAACCGATATATGTATAGCCGAATATTGAATTTAAATGCTCACAGTTAACTAGAACATGGCCTTGTGTTATTATACTGTGTTGAACATCTCACGCTCCCACATTCTTGCGAATAGCCGGATCCAATGGGAACGTCTGCTTATTCTCTGGAAGATCGTCGTAGACTATATCCCAGCGGTCCTGAAGTTTCTCGGGTGTTTCCCATGCATTTTCAGGGTCTCGCAGCCAGAGTCTCAACAAATGACGCCTAACAGAACCGCCCCGTTAGCATCTTCATAAAGCAGAAGCACACCCGATAGAAAAGGCACATACTCTTTCCCAGGCTCGTCTCTGAACCAGTTCCGCGCATGGAAAATGCTAAGGTTATTCACATATTGCACATCGCCTTTCTGGAAATCCAGAGCGGCCCTGTGCTCTTCTGCCAAGAAGTGCAAAGCGTCGAGAGCCTCGGCTTGCGCTTCCGTGATAGGGGGAATGTCCTTCGATCGGGGCTGGGCCCCAAATCCAGTGAAGTATCGTCTTGCGTACTGAATTATGACCCTGTCAGGGGTAGTAGCCGTGGCTGGTTGGTGGTATAGAAGTGGGCGGAGACTGTAGGGTCTGACTGGGTTATCGAAGCTGAACAATGTCAGTCTCCTAATACGCCTCCTTGTCGCTTGATTCTTACCCATCCATTGGCCAATCCTGAGACAAAGTGTGAATAAGATCGGGTCTTTCCCTGGCCAGGATGTTATACACATGCCAACTGCTAGAAAGATAGCTTTCTCCTGCCTCTGCCGCTCGGTTCAAGCAGAGAAGTGAGATGATATCACCAGCGTCAGTATGAAAAACCTGCTTATCAGCCGTGTTCGAAGGCGCAGTGATAAGACCATTGTCGACCTTGTTGGTGAGGTCTGTGATATGGGATAACACGGGCGAAGAGCCATCGGCCAGTCGAACTTCTTGCTGCCGTCCTCGAATATTACCGATGTGGGAAGATACACCGGCGTAGATAATGACATTATCTTCCCGGGAGTAATCATCAATGCGCAACCCGCGGAGAACGACAAATCCTCGACCGGTGTGGATCTCCTTTGAAATATCCCGAAGAGCAGGCCGCAGGGTAGGTAGAGGGAACGTCGACTGATTGATATGCCCCAAGGGAAGATTGAGAGCTGTTAGGTCAGCAGTGTGACCTTACTCCCGCGGTCATAACCACCCACCTTTGAAGCTCTTCAAAGCAGCATCGAGTTCATCCAGCTGATCATCGTTCAACTGATAAATCCAGTCATCCCGCTTCTCAACCTCTTTTCCTTCCCAGACCAGTGGTGATACCAACTTCTCCGGGAAGCCTGCAGGAACAGTAGACTGCAGAGTCTCAGTCTCCCTTCGACGACGACCACGCTCCTTGTACTTTTCATATTCAGGATGATACTGAATATCGGGCTGGGTGGGCACCGTGATAGTCTGAACAGCGGACATATTGGCTATACAGAAGTGGTGAAATAGCAGTCGGCTGTGAACCGTTTAAATAGCGCAGATTGATCAGCTTTGCGTGGCCCAAGCCTGGGATCGCGCCATGTCCTACTCAAAATGTCACGACATCAACCCCGCAAAGTGCGACACTTGAACACAGAGTGTGGTACTTCTGCAGTTTGCTGATAGCTTGAATCGCATCATCAGTCTTACATCGGCGCAATAGTCTGGGAGTGTCCAATCCTAGGCTCTTATTTAATCTGTCAATATATGTCGACTGGATGAAACAACATGGAGATTCAGGAGCCTAGTGCTTACATGACCTAACAGATAATACTTGCTGGCTAGACATGGAATATTCTCCCCACCATCTATTTGCAAGATACGCGGCAGCTTTGGAATGGCCCCATCATCAATATGCAGAGCAATGGTAATGTTCGGATTCAATGCTATCATTCATAGATCTGAGAGAACGGAAGACTACCTCGAACGATTCTCACCTGAACTGGTTGTGACTTGGATCTATCTTTCCTACTGTATTTTACAAGACTTGGAAATTACAGTCGCAAAGTTCACGGTGGGTATACAGGGGATTGTGGGACATGAGTACAGTCTCTTTATACTTCTATTCATTGTATGCACTGAATGCGCAGTGTTGGGAGATCATCTCAATATCAGGATCAATCCAAGTGAAATTCATTATCTATGATTCTACTACGATCCAAAATGTGACGCCGTAACCTTACATAACTCCTAAATGGGCATGCGCACGATAAAATAAAGCAAACGAGGAAGCCTAAGCAGTGGCTTCGACGTGGCGGCTCTTTGCTGCCACATCGGCAGCCAGAGCAGCGAGGGAAGCGCTCTGCAGGATATTGAAGATGGAGACATCGGCGGCGGCCTGTAGGACCAGCATGTTGCGTAACTCGACGGCGATGAGCGAGTCAACGCCGTAGCTAGCTGGCGTCTTGCTAATATCAATCTCGGCCACGTCGATCATGAAAATATCAGCCAACTTCGCGGCGATGGCAGTGCTAATGAGCCGGGCAGCGTCATCACGCGAGCCAACATCAGCCAGCTGCGCAGAGAGTGAAACTCCGGCACCGGATTCTCCTTCACCTGCCGGTGCCGCACGCGACACCTTAGATTGGCGCTTTAGGTGCACATAGCGAGCATCGCGACCGAGCTGTGAGCCACCGTGAGAGTCCCACTGTGGTCCTGCCGCTGTGTTGAGGCCGATAATGATCTGGCGGCGGCCACCGAGGGGACGAGCCACAGCGGCGCCGAGCGCACGCAGAACGGTGGCCTCGTCTAGCATGACGTAGTCGCCAGACCTACGTAGACGCTCAGACACCTTTGCGGTTTCAGCAACGTAGCCAACATCGGAAATAGGGCCCAGGTCGATAGAGACGCCTGGCAGTCCCTTGGACTGGCGCCAGTGCGCCATGGCATCTTCATAGGTTCCTCCAGCGGCGTAGTTAGTTTGTGAGGCAATGCCCAACACGCCCGAGACGGATGACAACATGACGAAGAAGTCCAGCGAGCCCGGTGCCGCAAATTCGGTGTGTAGGTTCCAGGTTCCGTCGACCTTGGGCCGCAGACCACTATGCCAGTCAGATAGCGTCATCTGCTCGAAGATGGCATCGCGTAGCAGCATGGCACCCTGAACAACGCCGCGCACAGGCGGGAATCCGTCGTCAGCACAGGCGCGCAGTGCTTTCACTAGCTCGCTAGCCAGAGAAATGTCACAGCTGACAGGTTTAACGCGGCAGCCAGCAGACTCGCGTAGCTCGCGCACGAACAGAGCGCCGTCGGTCTTTTCGCTTTCTGGCAAATCGATATTGCCAGCACTACGCGACAGCAGAATCAAGTTCTTGGCGCCGTGGGCTACCAGCCAGTGCGCGATGGAGCGGCCGATACCGCCGACACCGCCGACGATGAGGTATGAGGCATCGGGACTGAGTCGGACGCGGGCAGCGGCTGCGACGTGATTTGATCGCGGGACCACTGGAGCTTGCTCATCTGGCCCTGCTGAGAGGACAACTTTACCGGTATGTGCGCCGGTTTGTATAAACTTAAACGCAGCCTGGACATTTTGCAGAGGGTGGACCGTGATGGGCTGGACCAGGTTGAGGGCCTGCTGTTCGATAAGCTTGGCGACTTCGGTGAGCACACGGTGGACATCGGCGCCTCGCCGTTGTACAAGCATTGGAATGTCTAGCGATGTCATCGAAATACCGCGAGAGAAAGATGCCATTGCAAGCAGGCCGTTGGCTTCGATATCACGCTTGCCGACCTCAACCAAATGACCGAGAGGCGCGAGAGCGTCGAGACTGGCCTGCAACAGCGGACCGGGCAGCGAGTTAAGCACGGCATCGACACCGCGTCCGCCTGTGGCAGCTAGGACGGCGGGGCCAAACGAGGTATCGCGGCTGCTGAAAATACGGTGACTAGGGATATCGTACTTGCTGCTGATGAGGCCGCGCTTCTCCGGAGACCCAGCAGTGGCGAAGATCTCTGTCACCCCAAGATATTTCGCCAACATGATGGCGGATTGCCCGATAGCTCCAGCTGCAGCATGAATGAGCACAGACTGTCCTGGTGCCAGACGGGTAGCATCAACGAGGCCGGCGTAGGCAATGGTGAAAGCTAGTGGCAGGGATGCGGCATCTTCAAAGCTGGTGATGTTGCTGGGTACTTTGGCGATGCTACCATTCCAGGCGACGGTAATAGTGCTACGGATAGAAGCGCTGCCATCTCCAGGCAGGAGGGCCATGACACGATCGCCGACATTGTAGCCGCCCTTTGACTGAGCCTCACTGCCAACACGGGAGACAACGCCAGCACACTCGAGACCCATGGCACGGTCTTTGAGCTGGCCTAAGCCAACCATGACATCGCGCGAACTAAGGCCAAAGGCCCGCGGCGTGATTTCAACGCTGTCAGGTGCCAGACTCTTATCTGTGCTTTCCTCGTCGTCATCCACGAAGGCCAGAGTGTCCAGGTGCCCCGGGATACCGACCTCCAGCCGCAGTGCCCGGTTCCTTTGGAATAGGCGTTCCAAGGGGATGCCAGCTGCGGCATCAACGTCACCCCAGATTGCTGTGAGCGGGCCGGTGACCATATCATTGTGCTCCTCATCCTTATAGATACGTGGGACAAGTAGAACGCCGTTTCGCTGGGCATACTCGAACTCGGCCGGGCCGGTCTCGGTGGTCAGGATGTCATCTACATGGCCGAAGCCTTCTTGGAGAACTTGCGTAATGGCCGAGACGACGTCCTCAGTGGTTTGCTCGGCGCGTGGGTCCAGGTCCAAGTAGAGGTAGCGCCTGCCAACGTACTCGTTGCGGAGGACGCGTAGGAATCCCTGGGCAAGCGCATGTTCTGGCTGCTCGCTGTCGACGGCGCCGCCGGTAGTGATCCAGAGAAGGCCGCCACACTGCGTGATCATGGCGCGGAGGCCTTCAATACGCCCGGCGTCAAGACTGGTCAGTATGGTCGGCTCGTCGATTTCGCTGACAAAAATGCAGACCTTGGCTGCATACGCGTCGAGGCTGCTTTCTTCTAGCACGAGATGTTCGACAGCAGTTTTAGTCAAATCCTGGATGCGCTGAGACAGCAGATCGACCAGACCAGCCGGTGAGGGTGTCTTGTTACTAGTCACCACGGCAAAGCCGCCAGGATTGCTGGCGCGGCTCAGGTCCGGCTTCTGGTGATCGACGAGTGGCAGAGTGGATAAGATGGTGGTTGTGGTGTCGCCGATGGCAAGGTCAGCTCCACTAAAACCGGCTTCGCGAAGCACGCCATCCCAGGAAGACGCCAAAAGAGACGGTGTTTCGGTAGGCAGCAAGCCAAATATAAACGAGACATCGTCTTGACTTTGATGCTGGGTCGTCTCTGCTAGCAGTAGCGTGCCGCCGGGCTTTAGAAGGCTGCGCACATGGGACAGGGTGCCAGATACATCATTGGCTGTGCGTAGAGACTGGTAGAACACGATGATGTCGTAGCTCTCAGTTGTAAACTTCTGCCTGGATGGGTCGCTGTCAACGTCGAACTGGCTGAACTCAAGCAGGTCGGCCCAATCAGCTAGTTCAGCTTGGGCATCTTCCAAGACATCTGCCGAAGGCTCGGTGATGTGCCAGCTGGCTACTAGAGGGACCTTAGGCGTACCAAGCGCTTCAAGAATACGCCGAGTGGCAGCAGCACCAGTGCCGGCGCCGACTTGCAGAACGCGCGCAGCCGGATTCTTGTGGGCCACTTTACGCACCAGCATCGACAGCTGTGTGAGCGACGGTGCCAGACGCACAGAGTGGGCATAGTACTTGTGCAGCAACCCATCCTCAATCATGGCAACTAACGGATTGCTCTCACCGCGAAGGATAGACCCAATGAGGGGGCCAAGACGGCTGATCAGCTCGCCGTCGACACTCTGCGACGCTACGGCGGCTAGGTGCTTTTGGCGTTCTTCCGGGCCGTCTAGCGCCCATTCCTGGCTGTCGCCCTGGGTGACTAGTTGCGTGAGCCATGTATAGTACTTGACGAGGTGCGGCTGGCCGTCTTCCACATCGTCGGGGGTGAGCGACTTCAGCGCCTCCTGGGCGAAGTAGAACACCGCGCGGGAAAGATTGGCGATGGCGGCCTCGGGAACCCCAACAGTCAGCTCCAGCTCCTTCTTGATCTGTGCTAGTGCCAGAGGCTGCTGTAGTGACAGGTCAGGTCCCCACTCAACCTTGCTGCATACCTCTTCCTCTCCCCTTGTTAGCCGCGTCCTGACGCGCTGAGGCGCCGCTGCCGCGCCCCAGGAAGACACTGGCAAGTCCTTGGAGCTCGAGAACCTTCGTGCCCGTCTGGCTATCAACAACGGTGACATCGGCTTTACCACTCTGGGTGTCGTCGTGTGAGATTAATGTATCACAGCGTAAAGTGTGGCCGACTTCGCGGCTGATATCGCTCGAGACCCACATAGCCTGAATCGACCGGGGCAGCTTGGGGTCCTCAGCCATCCCGCCGACGGCAGGCAGTGCCGAGAAAAACGACACCACCACAGCATCTAGTGTGATAGGGTGCAACACGCTATTCTGTGCGGCAGCCACCGGGTCTGTGTCGGTTGCTGACTCGTAACGGATCGTGACGTCGCATACTGACCGCGGCTCCCGGCCATCCTGCACGATCTTAGTTGTGTTCTGGAATAGCGGGCCATGATACACGCCGCGTGCCCGTAGATTGGCAAACATGTCGCGCGGGTCCTTGTGGCGCGTGTAGGCAGACAGAGGACGGAGGCCGGTCTGGATGTTCTTTGGCTGTGTCTGCGTTGGGACTTTCTCTCCATCCAATTTCTCCTCCACGTCAACAGTGATCAGACCCCAGGCGTGCAGCGTCCACCGGTTCTCGGGCGTGACTGTCGATACCTCAAATCTCCGCCACCCACGCAAGCCCAGCTCCCGCTCAGGCACGGGCCGGAGCGTGGTGCGGATCTCAACGCCCTCGGCGGTGTCAGGGATCACGAGTGCCGCCATAAATTCGACGTCGCGCAGGCGGAAGCCTGAGATATTGCTCTGATTGTCTTCAGCCTTCGCCAGCTGGTTGGCGGCCTCGATGGCTAGGCACACATAACCGGAGCCAGGGTACACAATGCTGCCCTGCACCATATGGTCGCGTATCCAGGGCACCTCGGTGACGCGCAGATTGCGACGCCAGGTGGCCGTGGCCGGATCGTTCCCGGCAACCGGCATTCCTAGCAGGTCATGAGGCGGCTGGCTGCGCTCCCGGATGGCGCGGTTGACGCGTGACTCTTGCCAGTGCCTCATCGAATGGTTCCAGGGGTAGGTGGGTAGGTCAGTTAGCACGCGAGGCAGGTCGTCCTCGTAAAGATACAAGTGCTCGGATAATGCTTTCGGAAAGTTGATCTCGCTCATCGCGAGCGGCACACCCTCGCGCAGCAGATTTATGGCTGCAGCGCGCATAGTATTGCCAGCGTGCTCGTTACGCACTAGACATCCCCAATAGGGTAGCTCGATACCGTCGAACTCGACCAGCGACATGATCTCGCGGATAGGCCCTCCCAGCGCCGTGTGTGGGCCAACCTCGAGCACCACGTCGATGTTACGACCGCTCGCATCGTCTGTTTCGCCAATCACCATCTCCGTGAAGGCATCCACGAACAGCACCGGCTGCACTAGACTACCCACCCAGTGGTCAGGATCGGCGATCACCTTGGCGTCAGTAATCCGACCGCCGGTGACGGCTGACGAAAAGATGACCTTGAGCTCCTCTTCTTCCTCTTCCACATTCGACTGTTTTGTGACCGTCCTCGCCATCTCCTTGCGTAGGAGCTCACGGTATGCGTCTGCCAGCGGGTCCATATGGTGCGAGTGGTACGCCTGCTCGATCTTAAGCTTGCGCGCGAACACGCCATCCTCCTTGCACATCGCCTCGACGGCTACAACAGCATCGGCATCACCTGAGACAGTGACGCTTTCCGGGCTATTAACGCACGCGATAACGACTTGGCCCACGTCGGCCACTCTGTCAAGGTACTCCTGCGCCTCCTCTGCACCTAGACCCACGGCCGCCATGCCGCCCTTAGGCGCTCCGGTCACCCGCAGCGAGTCGTCGGCCGCCAGCACGGCGCGGTAGTAAGCTGTTGCCATAGCCTGGCGGAAGGTTAGCGCGCCGACGGCGTAGGCCGCTGCGATCTCGCCCGACGAGTGACTAGTGACAGCTGCCGGCGTGATGTTCCATGATTTGAGCAGGCGCACTAGCGCGATTTGCACCCCCACGCAGACGGGTATACTAATCGATGTCGAGTGCACTTTCGTAGTCTTAGGGTCGCGCTGTAGCTCCTCCAGCAGCGACCAGGTGGCGCCAATATCGCGTAGGTGCGTATCGGCCTCGTCGATAGACTGCCAGAAGACTGGGTATTCTGCCAGCAGCTCACGGCCCATGGCGTTCCACTGCGCACCCTGACCCGTGAAGACCATGCCGATGCGCGGTTGGTTGGTGGGAACGCGGCTGGGTTTAAAGCGCGGCGAGTCGAACGCCTCAATGACTGTTTCGAGAGGATGGTCTGCACCTGCTTCGAGATGCACTTGGTGGGCTGCCACCCACGGAAAGATCGTGCGGCGCTCGGTCAGCGTGTAGGTGAGATCGCGCAGCAGCGCATCGGCAGCCTCAAAATCGAGAGACTTGTGCTTCTCTAAATAACTCTTCATGTCCTCCACCATATTCTGGCAGCCGCGCTCGTCGCGAGCGCTGAGAATCAACACTTTGCTGTCAGATGTTTTGTGAGGGCCGCTGCCGTTACTGCTCCCGTTTCCATTTACATGGCCATTGCCATTCGCATGTCCGTTGCTAGTGCCATTTCCATTACTGGTGCTATGACCTTTGAGCGGGAAAGCCATGGTCGGCGTGGAAATCCACGGTTCGGCGCTCTCCATAATGACATGCGCGTTGCTGCCGCCATAGCCAAAGTTGTTGACCGACAGACGGTTCGGGCCGTCAACGAGGCTCTCGGGCCACGGCTCTAGTGCCGTTGCAACCTTGAGGCGCCACTCGTCTAGCTTGACCTTTGGGTTGGGCGTCTCATAGTTGACGCTGGCGGGGATCAGACCTTTTTCCAAGCACAAAACACCCTTGATTATGGCCGCTAAACCAGAAGCCGCCTCGGTGTGACCCACGTTAGTCTTGACCGAGCCGATACGCAGGTAATGCGCCTCGTCACGGCCACCGTCGCCGTTTTCGTCGACGCCGCTGAACACATTAGCCATGGCTCGTGCCTCAATGGGATCACCGGCCTGTGTGCCTGTGCCGTGCGCCTCAAAATACTGTGTGCCGCGCGGATCAAGACCGGCACGCCGGTAACATTCGCGCATAAGCTCTTCCTGGGCGGAGCCTGACGGCGTCGTAATGGTCTCTGTTTTGCCGTCTTGGTTCAGCGCCGTCTCACGGATGATGGCGCGGATGGGGTCGTTAGCGGCCAGCGCATCCGACAGTCGCTTAATCACAACGGTGGCGACGCCTTCGCCACGGCCGTAGCCATTGGCGCGATTATCGAATGCGAATGATCTGCCGTCCGGCGACAGCATGCCGAGTGAGCCGATGGTCTTAAACGGGTCCGGGCCTATCATTAAGTTGACGCCGGTCACCACGGACATGTCGGCCTCACGGTTACGCAGGGTCTGCACGGCTTGATGCAGTGCCACCAGCGTGGTTGAGCAGCCAGTCTCCAGCGTCATGCTGGCACCGCGCAAGTCGAAGACGTGCGAGATGCGGTTCGACGACATTGGGTTCCACGTGCCTATTGGCATGAACCGCGGCGGCTGGTCCTCATCGCGCGACAGACCCTCGTGGTATTCGTGCGTGAACACGCCAGCAAAAACGGATGTCTGTGATCCGGCCACCTGCTGCAGCGTAAGGCCGGCTTAGTCGAGCTTCGAGTTAGAGAGGGCGCAAATGAATTGGAGAAGAGTAAGTAGTAGTTACTCACCATTTTCTAACGCCTCGAATGTCGACTCGAGTTGCATCCGGAATTGTGGATCTAGCGCCTGTGCTGTTTCTCCCGAGTAGTTGAAGAACGCCGCATCGAAACATGCTATATCGCCGTCAAGAAAGTGGCCCCCCTTGACGTGTGTCTGGCCAAATGTTAGGACTGAGATGTGCTTGCTGTTGGTATATCTTAGGGTGAGCTTACCGTGCTGACCCTCTCATTGTTAGGGTGGTAGATTCCTTTTAGATTGAACCGGTCTTCTGGTATCTCGCTCCAACCAGTCTGTCCCGAAACTAACAGATCCCAGAGCTTGTCTGGGTTACTGGCACCACCGGAGAACTTGCAGCTCATGCCAATGATGGCAATGGGCTCACTGGCCCACTCGCTGTCGTCCATTTTTGTCTAAATAAGTTCAGATGACTTGGACTTGGTCACTGATAATGCAAAGGCTCAGTTACTCTTGAACAGAGCTAATGGTCGCATCAAGTTTGCGAGCTGCAATATATGAGGATTGTGAAAGCTATATGGCTCCGAGTTCTATACCCAATTCGCTTTTATTTGACCACCAGTTGTATTGCACAGTGTCTTATTTCTAATGAGGTTTATTTATTCTGCATTGAAGACAACAATCTAGCAATACGGACTTCGACTGATAGGTGAAGCTCCATTCCCAAATGATCAATTCCCCGAAACAGCCTCGGAAGAGGTTACTTCCAGAGAAATTGGTGATACGGGGTATAAAAAGTCCGCCGGGGAATTAACAACGTTGCTATCCTAAAATAGCATAGTCTGTAGACCTGGCTCGGACCCTTCAGATCATGAACCCATGAGGGGGATTGGAGCCAGGCCATTGGCTGGACTTGGTTGCAATCATGCACGGAGGATCTCTACCTGGGCGGACAATTAACAGACCGATTTAGGCAGTCAGATAGGCAGATAATTATTTTACACAGATCTATAACTGCATAGATTACTATATAATCACACAAGCTTCAAACAGTAGGCCTTCAATTTTACAAGCACCTAGATCACACACCGTAATAGGATAGATAGGGTTGGTCAAATCAATTGGTCCACAGATTATAGCAAACTATGTACTCTAAATTCTGGAAATCCTTGGCTTATCCAACGTATCGTACGTATTGCTTCCATACTGGGTCCTTCTTTAGCCCATTAATATCTTCCTCGGGCATGCACAGCGTCAGAGGGATAAACGCGCCCTCAGCGTCGTTCATAATCAAACAGCCAGGGATCGGCGCCGCAGTCGGGCGGCGGAAAAAGCATGATCGACCCAACAGGGGGCCCCAAGACGCTGGCAGTGGCGTCGCCTGTCCAGTTGCAGTCACCATGAGATCTGCTCGGGCATCGTGGGGGCCACCATACAGCAGGGTGGAGGTGTCGGGCTCGCGAGCCATGAATGTGGCAAAACTGCGAACGGACCACGGCGTGTTAGCCTGGATGAGCTCCCGGCGCAGCACCTGCGCAATCTGTGCCAGTGGCAGATTAGCCACTTGATCCAATGGCAGCCGCACCAGGGCGTGGCACACCATGTGGCCCATGTAGGTCAGTGGTACGCCCAGCGGCATGCGCCCGTCAATAGCACGGCCGAGCTTGGACGAGCGCTCCGGCGGTTGTCCATTAGCCACGCGCACGGCGCAGAGGCGCTGCCATGCAAAGGCAGAGAATATATCGTTATCGGAGACCCTCAGCGAGCCTGGTTTGTTGCTAGATGGATCGTCCTTGACTGACTTGACGAGTCGGGCCAGAGCGTTGACCGGCATCTTGAAGTAACACCACATTGGAGGGCTCGAAGGTGGTGCCCAGGTGTAGCCGGGCGGGCGACGCAGGTGGGTGTAGCTCTTGACGGGCTCGCTTCGCGGAATGAGCGGGATCACCCGGCTGCGGTCACGGTTGGCTTGCTCGAGGTCGGCGGCCGGAATCCGCTTGCCGTTCATGACAAGGGCCAGCAGGTTCACGAACTGGTAGAGCCCAGTACCATCGATGATGGTGTGGTGAGAGCTGAGGTTGAGGAGCAGTCCACCGCGCACAAAGTTGGCCTGCATGGCAACGACAGGGTCGGGGCTCTCAAGGCCTCGGGGTTGCGGCAGTGACGGCCAGGGTGTCAGGACTGATCCATCCAGCATGTGGATTGGCACACCAGCTGAGATGATCTTGGCCATAGGTGCGATAAGATCGTCACAGTTTTTGACGCGGATTCGCTCCTCGGGCATGTCCGTAGGCCACGGCATCGCCTTCAAGATGGCACCGGGACCTGACTCCCGGGCCACCTGCCACCCCAGCCAGGGGATGTCTGCCTTGAGCTTGTCAAAGCCGTCCTGTAGGGATGTGACGATGGCATCGCGGTCCACGTCGGCCGGCAGCTTGAACCCAAATAACACCTGCGTATAAGCATTAAGAAGCGGGAACTGGGAGATAATGTCACGGTGGAGCTCCGAGTCGGTTTCGGCGGTATCGTCCTTCATAAGGTGGGTTTCCACTGCGACAGACATGGTGAAGAACTTCGTTTGTAGTCGTTGTGAGCCGGAAAAGGTTCACCTGCAGGAGTAACCCATAAATTCCCCTTCTATCTTTTGGTCTCTAGTTCTGAATGTTATACAATCTGTATACATCTTAGCTTTTCAAGTGGATACCGTTCCACTCGGACTTTCGGACTTTCTTGTTAGCACAATGTCTTTTCTCACCTTCTCTGCATGTTGGATCGTAACCCCTGCATTTTGGTCCATGCTAAAAGCTGTCAGATAGTGTCACATCAGTACTTGCATTCCTTCTGTCATATTCCAGCCTATATGTATGGCGTGTTCCTAACATTAATCCGCTGTGCTATCAGCAAAAGACTAGAATTCCGACATAACTCAGAACAGCGCATGCTATGTAACCTGGTCCGTCACATCCTAGCGAAAATTCGAGGATGAGATGTCTGTTGCTGTAGTAGTGTGTGTATTACTTGCTAGATAGATACTTTTTAAGTGCCAGTTCTTTGTCAAAGAGTGCAGTCAATTTAAAATGGCTAGAATCTCAAGAGAACCTTGGAAAGAAGGAAAGAAGTGGGGAGATGACCCGTGGTACACTACAGTAAGCCCCACTCCTGCAAATCATGCAAACCTGACAAAGCACCTAAACCCCGGTTAATGCCGTCAACTTGAACCCAACGAGATAAAGCAAATAAAGCCCATAAACTAGTGCGTGATTAAATTACGTTGTTACGGTGAATTTTCCCGTAATAATCTGTACTTTTCGTAAAAGCGTGTATCTATTGGCTCAAATGTTTACCCTGAAGTGGATATATACATTGCTTCCAAGCTTTGAACATCAAGAATTTAAGTAATTATTGATCGACAATAATCGGATTTGGTAACGGCTTTGGGAAATACAGTGGAGAATAAAAGTGGGCTGTTTTGATCCTGTACAAGGTACCGTTGACATCCTTTGTCTGACACCAGGGCTGGATGCGTATCTTACATCTATCTTTTACTCTGGACATTCTCAACCCCTATCCTCTGTCGCCGTATAGAGCTGCATCACTCTCACTGATTCCAAGGAATGGCCGTAGAGAGAATGGCTGGTCGATCAGCGCCCTATGGGCAAGCGTGTTTAAGCTGCTTCAAAACAAAATGCAAGTGTATTCCTCGTTCCGATGGCAATGGATGTGAAAGGTCAGTCTGCGCTGCGCTTTGGTGGCTATTTTGTGCTTGCGAGCCCTAACCTCTGGACACTCACCGATACCTTATATAGGTGTCACCGTCTCAAGCGCCCATGCCACCCCGCTGATGCGCTACGTCGTCGCAGCGATAAAAAGCAAAACTCATCGGACGCCCGTATCGCCAAACTCGAGGGCACAATCGGCCAGCTAGTTTCTATGCTCCAGACGGACAGTGTCCAGGGCGACAGAGTGGATGTATGGTCGCAGCAGCAGCAGCAGCAATCACCGCCGCAACAACACCAACAGCAACAACAGCCACCCCCTCCCATCGTTCCATACCCAGACATGGTCGCAGAACGGACCGAACGGACCGAAGGGAGCAATGTGGGAGACTCACGCTCTGCTTTTGACGACAATACCGATACCGACGCTGTCGGTGGCTCTGCTTCTTGGTGGGGGATGGACAATGCGAACGGGCCTGGCGCCAGCGACATCCATGTTCACACCCCTCCGTCCTCGACCGTGTCGGGTGTGTTTATGTCGCCCGCTGTATCTCCATCCTCTGTACCTCCATCCTCTGGATCGATGTCTCTTGACATCTTCTGCTCGCGTATGCTACATCACTTCCCGTTTGTTCATTTGCCTGCCTGCTCCACAGCCGAGAAATTGAGGCTAGACCGGCCGTTCCTGTTTCGCGCCATTACTTGCGTGACATCGGTATCGGTTAAGGATAAGATGGCAAGCTCCCTCGAGCTGAAACGTGTGCTCTACGAGACGGCGTTTCTTCAACGGTTCCCGCAGCAGAACCAGGAACAACCACAGCAGCAAACAGTCGATCTGCTGCTAGGCCTCCTCGTCTACATTGCGTGGGGCTGGGAGCACCTGCACAGTCGTAACAGTATGTCTCGACTTATGGCGATGGCCATATCGTTGGCCGGGGAATTGCGTTTCCTGGATGAAGCCGTACCAGGAATATCGCGCACAATAAATCACCTCGAACCAAAAGGCGGTTTTGACAATGTCTATCGCAACACATCAGCAACGAGGGCAATAAAAACACCGACAACGGAGGGTGCTGGGATGACTAATACCCAGCTCTACCTCGAGCGCCAGCGAGCCATTCTAGGCTGCTTTGTGCTTGGGTCGGCCGTCTCAGCCTACTTCTCCCATGTTGATGCGCCGCGATGGATACCCCACATGGACGAGGGCCTTGCTGCCATTACCGTCAGCGGCCATAGTGTTAGCGCAGAATGTCCGTCTGAATGTCCGTCTGATGCTGCCTTGGCTATTCAGGTCCGCCTACAGCTGCTCGCCACGAAAGCCGCCCAGGTTCGGGAGCGAGCCCAACTCCCCGACCATCCCCCACAGGATACTCTTCCACCTCCAACTCTCTCGTACATCAAGGAGCTGATGGGGCAGCTACAAGAGCTGAGGGCGGTTGTCCCTCCGGCATTCCAACATAACTTTGGTAGGTGTCTGGCTCAACCCAGGTTTTCATTGAGAACAGTACTAGGTAGTGATTGCTAACTAATATATAGTGTTACTAGCCCAGACATACTACACAGAGATGTGCATTATCGATGCCATCCACATCCAGGACTCTACTCGCCCGCCGCCGCCAATATGTGGACCTACTCGCACCTCCTGCTTTTGGCAGTCAGCACTGGCGATCAAGTCGTGCACATCAACATTTTTGACCCTCTCGCCGTCTGGACTCCTTGGTATTTCTTTCATCCAGTGGGCCCAGCTGGTACGGTCTCTGGCCAAGCTGCACCAACTTAGCACGCTCCGGGAGCCTGGCTGGGATCCAGACACTGTGCGAAAGCTCGTCGACCTACCCGCCCTGCTATCATGCACAGCAGACAAGCTGGGGCTTGCTGCTGCTGCTGAATCTAGTCGGCAGCCAGCGTTAGCCGAGGGTGTATTCATGCAATTAGCCCGCGGCCTACGCATGTTCCAGTCGTCATATCACGGTAGAGGACTCCTGAACCAACAAGAAGAGGCATATAGAGCAAAAGAAGCAGCAGACAGAGCACCGATCAGAGCGAATAATATGGATAGGGGTACAGTTGCGACTACTCAAGTAGATGCAGATGCCCTGGCACGTAGCCAACAGGCAGGATACTTGATGAGTCCCACGTTATGGCTAGAGGAGTTTTTTGTTGACTATGAAGATCAGACGATATCTACTATATAGAAGATTGACATACTTGTGATGCTAATACAGGTATATACTCCTCACGAACCACTATTACACGTATACAATGAAATACATTACATTTTATGGCCTCCGCAATATCATGAGATAGTCATATGCAGTCTTGAATATAACACAATATTATCGTTAATGGACGATTGTATGCGCATAACTCATATTTCAGATTTACTATAAAATTGAGCTTTCCAACAATTAACAGATAATTACCGTTCTGAGCTAAAATTGCCTGTAAAACCTTTGAGCTGTTACGAAGCATGCAGCTAGTTAAGTAACCAAGTACTGTAATCTTCCAATTCCATTGATCATAAATATGATATGCTCCAGTTTAAGCCGGACATAGCATTATAGTCCGTCGACAGGGGCAGGATTATGGACCGGATTTCATATTCCGGTTCCAGCTTGCAGCTACTAGCCCTAAATGGCTTCACTCACAAGGACAGAAAGATTCCGGTCCCTGTCCTAAGCTCTTGATCCACTTTTACCATAATTTGATCAATTGTGCTATATAACTTATATAACTTACGACTGCACGCTAAGCTAATCGTCTTTCCTCCCATTAACAAAATTGTTGGCAGAGAGAGCAAGAGTCAGCTCCATTGCCATAACCATGACCATGACTGATTCCGACAAACCAGTTTCCACGGAAATGGTACTATCGGACGAGACTGGTGATGTTGAGAAGTATGGCTCCGATAGCGTCCCCTCCAAGGATGAGGACGCAGAAGATGAGAGCCACTTCCCTAGCGGCATAGCCTTATGGTCTATCCTAGGTCCTGTTACAATCGCTTACTTTCTCGTCTTCCTCGATATGTGTGTCGTTTCGACTGCAACACCCGCTATCACACAGCGATTCAACTCTCTGGTCGACGTTGGTTGGTATGGTGGCGCATATCAGCTCGGAAGCTCTGCCCTCCAGCCACTCACTGGCAAGATCTATACCCACTTTAACGTCAAGGTTCGCATTCTGTGGTCTCCTATGTTGAAGAGCACATTCTAAATTGGAAACAGTGGTCGTTTCTCGTGTTCTTCTTCATCTTCGAGCTTGGATCCGTCATCTGTGGAGCCGCCGTCTCGTCGCCCATGTTCATTGTTGGCAGAGCTATTGCCGGTGCTGGCTCGTCGGGAATTGGAAACGGCGCCATGACAATCATCTCTGTTATACTGCCGCGCAGAAAACAAGCCCAGTTCCTGGGCATGAACATGGGCATCGGCCAGCTCGGTATTGCCCTGGGTCCCATCCTTGGCGGTGCATTTACCCAGAATGTTACATGGCGTTGGTGTAAGTGGTCTCCTCACTGAGCTCCCTAATCGTCATTTGCTAATGCTTTTCTTGTTCTAATAGGCTTTTACATCAACCTTCCCATTGGCGGCGCTCTCGCCATTCTGCTGTTCCTATTCAAGATCCCCGAGCCAACCCCCAAGCTCCCCCCCAGACAAGTCCTCAAAACAGCCGTCAAGTCTCTGGATCTTCCAGGCTTCATGCTCATCAGCCCCGCTGCCGTAATGTTCTTGCTTGCTTTGCAATACGGTGGTACCGTACACCCGTGGGGTAGCTCCGTTGTTATCGGCCTTTTGGTTGGTGCCGGTGTCACCTTCATCCTCTTCCTTTTCTGGGAATACCGCCAAGGAGACGGTGCGATGTTACCGTTTGCCATGATTAAAAAGCGCATTGTGTGGTCTGCTGCGGGTAACTTGTTCTTCCTTCTCGGTGCCATTTTGGTGGCCGAGTACTACCTCGCTATTTACTTCCAAACTGTGCTCCACAACAGTCCTATCATGAGTGGTGTGCATATGCTGCCAGCGACTCTATGCTTGGTCTTTTTCACTATGCTATCGGGAATGATGAGTTCGTTACCACCCTGTCTATTTTGCAAACCGTCAAACTAACGTTTCGCAGCCGAGATCTTGGGATATTACCTACCCTGGAACCTGGGAGGAAGCTCCATGACCGCCATTGGCTATGGTCTGATGTCTCTCATTAAGCCCACGACTGCGTCCTCAAAATGGCTTGGATACCAGGTCCTATATGGTGTTGGTAGTGGTGCAATGACCTCGGCGGTGAGCTTACTTCTCAATATCCTATCTCCTCTACCTTCGTGATTGGACTTTGCTAACTTTGGTTTTATCTGAAGCCCTACATTGCCATCCAAAATCTTGTCCCCCCTCCACAAATCCCCGTTGCCACGGCTATCATCATCTTCTGTCAAAACATGGGCGGTGCCGTCTTCCTCATTGTTGCCAATTCCATCTTCACCAATGGCCTACGCGCAGAGCTCCAGAAGCACATCACTGAGATTGGCGTCAACCCAGACGTCCTCATCAGTACCGGACTCAATTCAATCCGAAACCTTGTTTCGGGCGATAAGCTCGCGCTTGCGCTCGAGTGCTATACCAAGGCAATAAACCATGTCATGTATCTCGGTATCGGAGTCAGCATAGCCACATTTGCCTTTGGATGGGGCTTGGGCTGGGTTGATATCCGGAAGGTGAAGAAACTGCAGGCCATTCAGGAAGATGCTCTGACCGCATCGAAGACCGAAGATGTAGACTCCACCGAGACGCCAATCACGGCCTAAGATGGAATATGGAACATGGATGAAGGTTTCATTAATTGTGTGGGCAGGTCATATAGCTCTTTTGCATTGGCTAGTTAGTGGATGATTCGGTATTTTTCTTTTGTTGTTTTGATTGCTTAGTTTAGCCTTGATATCGTGAGGATGGCTAGATCTCTAGATTATGCTTTTGGTAGACGTTGGTGGTAGAATGTTACCTAGAGGAGTGCTATTGTTGTGCATGTGGTGACAAAAATCGCCAACAAGGTCGCGAGTTTCAGCACCATTTTCTTAGGAGTTTTTAATTTTAATATATTCAAAGACAGATACAAAAATCATACAAGGTCCTTTGTTAGAATTCTTTCCATTGACCTTTCAATCCTCAAAGTCTGGATAATTACATTTTATTCTGGGCAGCAGAACGGTGGCGAAGTTTCGGGTGCCTTTCTCTAATTAAGTAACCTTCAATAATTACGAGAGAGACATGCTACAAAGAAGAATGTAAAGAATATATAGTCCACAGTTATAAGTTAAATTAGGTTGTCAAATAGATTTAGTGAGAGATTACAAGTTGAACATCGGACTGTGGCGGATTCAACTAGATCATGAGAGTGCGCAGATCAAAAACTAAAATATGGGTAGATAGCTAGGTCTATAACCGCTAGCCTGAACTAGGCTGAGCAGGCTGGCCGCCAAACATACATAAATCTCTAGTTTTTATAGTGACACAACAATCTTCTTTGCCGAAACACCCTGCATGTGAGCCCCAAAGGCCACCTGGATCTTTTCCAGTCCCTTGCCCACCACAATCGCCTCGGGGGATGGCACAAACTGCCCATTGGCGAGTGCCTCCGGGAGGTAGTTCTTGTATACTTCGCCTGTAACAGAGTCGGGGCCGGCCGCGTCCGGGCCGAGCAGGATGAACTTGACCGCGACACTCGGGTCAAGGCTGCTACCACCGGGCTGGCCGCCAGCGAGAGCAATGACTTTCTTGGTAGAGGGGCCTTCGTGCTTCACCAAGACGGCAGCCAGCAGGTCGATGGAGCCATCGCCAATGGAGTAACCGCCGGCAAGGGGGAGTCCCTTGACAACAGCACTGATGTCGTCGACCACAGTCTCACTCTTGTAGTCAAACACGTGGGTTGCACCGAGCTTCTTGACATAGTCGAAGTTCTTAGGCGAAGCTGTCGTCACAACCTCGTAGCCGGCGGACACGGCCAGCTGGATTGCAGTGCTGCCAACAGCGGATGAGCCACCGGTGATAATGACAGCGCCCTTCTCACTGCTGGATTGGAGGGCGGGCACGGTGGGCAAGTCAAGGCCCAGGTATTCCGTGTCAAACAGGCCATGAGAGGCGGTGAAGATGGCCAGGGGGATCACGCTGGCCTGCTCAAAGGTGATGCTATCTGGCAGCGGTGCGGCCAGCCAGTCACGGACGACGGTGTACAGCTGGAAACCACCCTCGAGGGGGGAGTTGAGGGAAATAGCTGCAGCTGCAGCCACAACGCGGTCACCGACACTAAAGCGCTCTACGCCCTCGCCCACCTCCACAACGGTGCCGGCCACATCCTCGCCCAGAATGAAAGGATAGCTGATATGGCCCAGCAAGCCTTCGCCGAGCAGCTGCTTGGCCCAATCGACCTGATTGATGCCTACTGCACTATTCTTCACGACGATCTGATGAGGCCCAGGTGCTGTGTATGGCGCCGGACCGATCTCAAGAGGCGTGACTTTGGAACCGGAGAGCCATGCGGCCTTGTTCTCTGGAGTCTGGGTCATTGTTGAAGTTTGTATAGATGGTGACTGCGTGGAGTATGAGCAAAAGGGATAGCAATTGGGGTTTATTATAAAACGAACAAGGAAGTCGTGTAGCTTGACTTTGACCAATTTAGAATTGCAGATGCTGGCGATACATGTTCCTTTTCCCACATAGCATTGGTTATATGTATATGCGGGAATTATTAAACGCCTTGGCGCCGGAGCACCATGCGTTGCAGACGGAGTTAGGATAGTCAATCATTTAGGACTCCTTGATGGCACAACGGTGAAATCACGGAATTAATGGCTTTAGTTCCAGATAACACCGTGAAAAATATTGACAACAATCGGCGCAGGGATATGAATACCGGTTGATTCCCTCGTTGAGTCTATTCAGACGAGGATCGGACCGGATTCTGAGAATCCGGTCGTGTTTTCCCCTCTAAGGGAGCTATCTAGGTAAAATGTCAGCTTACTTGTGGAGATTTGGAAATTTTAAGCTAATCTTTTTTTTTATCTATTTCGGTCGATGTTTTGTTCAACACAGGTTGACCACAGTCACGTCTTCAGACCCGGGCGATTGTCACCCGAGGCATACAGTCTTACGAAGAAATCTAACGTTCAAGTTCGATGCCTTCAGTATAATCTGCAGTTCGTAAAGACATGATTAAGAGATAGGAATCGACCCAATGAGATGGCAAAGCGAACAGTTGCAAGCGGTTACGGCTGCGGATGTGACCCGAGAGGTGTTTGGTGGCTGCTGATTTTCTTCTAACTTTTGAAGCAAAACAGATTGCGTTCCGTGCGCTTTGACATAACCTGGCCAGAACATCGGTTTGTACTCGCGCTTTCCTCGGAGATGACAGAAACAGACTATTCTTTTCAGCCACACTAGCATTGATACGATTGTTGAGGTCGGAACTAGCCGCAGCCGGCATAAAGGAATGTTACATCTCGACCTTGTGGACTCAGAAAGGACGTCTCGGAGAATTTGAGACGAAATGGTGTGATGCAGCCAAGTGCCAAGAACGCTTCGCATTTCGAAGGATGCGACTACTATACAGTGCAGGTAAAACTACTATACAGTGCAGGTAAAGGCTTCCTAGCTTCGTCGTTGGGTTGAGACAGATTCTCAGAACTGGCGATGGAGCGCATACACTGGCTGGCTTGCGAGTGAGTTACTCGCTCTGTCTTCCAATTCATTGGGGTATGCACTTACCGCGACTTACCCATGTGGCGAAACCACTTGAGTTTGACAAGTTCAGCTGAGGATCTGGTGCAGCTTCTGTATTTACGATCGCTTGTTCTGTACCTAGATAGCTTTTGGCCCCCGAAAGAGCAGTAATTATTCTGCAACCCCTGTCGAAAGTTGCATGCCATTGCCTTTGCAATTGATTGGATATGAAATACCTTGCAGATATAAGCACTAATAAGTGCTGCAGCAATGCATAGTAGGTAGAAAAGGCAACAAATACCCCAAACAATCTCGTTTATCTAACCAATTCTGCACAGAAAAGCAAAGGAAACGTCGGATTTCTCTTTGACAATCAGATTTAGATCCAGATCCTAATCCAGATCCAGATCCAGATTCAGGCTATTGGTGCTGCGGTAATTGGCAGCCGACGGTTAAAAAGCTTATATATGCCGATCACACCCACTTCGTATCTGTTTTGAATCGATCTGTCATGAATTCGAGAGGCTTCCGGCAACAAGCCGGGTTTGCGTGCGAAACCTGTCGGAAACGAAAAGCGAGATGTAACCGCGTCCGCCCACAATGCGGTCTTTGTGCAGAATTGGGAGTCGCATGTGTGGTAATTGACCAAAGACCACAGAGGGGTCCCAAAAAGGGTCAGCTCGATGAAATGCGAGTACGAATTGGTGAGTTGCCTGTATTTCCCTCTTTCCCGGTTTAGCTCATAGTAAACACCGGCAGACTGATATCATAAGATACTAATACAAGTTGGTTTTAGCGGAACTCGAATGGCAATTGGGCAAGCAATTGGGGGGCAACGACCCCAGTGTTGTGTCGAAGGCTGCATCAATGGCAGAAGGTCATAGGAGTGGTAGTACTACTGGTAGTACCACTCCAAGCATCCCTGTTCCGCTCGACGATCACATTAACTCCCACTCATTGAACGAATCAACGCTTCAAACCATAACACCTGCGAGGTCGGCAGCATCATCAATCATTTTTCCTATCTCCAAGTCGAACGATGCACCAATGACTGTAGACGCAACTTCAATTGCAACAATGCCCACATTTCTGGTTGCGGAACAAAATACCGACCTTTCTGCTTTAATGGACTGGCAAGGTATTGAATTAGATGGCGGGATGCTGGCAGACATGGGAAATATGTTACAGTTCGATCTCGAGCCCGCCAGTGCTGACCGGGTCCTCGGCGGCTTCAAAATGACGAATCTCGTCTTAGCTGACTTGTCCGTAAATCCTTACATCCCTTTTACTTTTCCTTTAAACATATCTCCCGTGTACTCGCATGTCATTGGGGCTTCGTGTTATCGCGTGACAAGAATGAAGAATGAGTTCTGGCTGACCTTTTTCGGTTATCTTCAGAAATCAACTATATTTTGACCGTCTCCATGACGTCCTACCCATGATACATCGCCGACGGTACTTTAGCTGGGCAGGTCAGGAGAAGCCATCTCTTGCTCGAAGCTGTCTCCGGTCCGCCATGCATACTGTGGCAGCAGCAATGTCGACACAATATCACAGCCTTGGTGGCGCCCTTTACCAAGAGACGTGCCAATTACTAGAATTCCAGTGCATGCGAACGTTAGCTACAAGTGGTAGTTCTGACATGTCGTGGCTTACATCAACCAACAACCCCTGTCCTACACCCTGTAGTGTCAATGACAAGATTCCCATCGAGATTATTCAAGCCTGGCTTCTCCTGGCACACTATGACCTTTTACGCGTTGATGAGCACCAAGCCATGGTTACGGCGGGACGTGCATTCCGACTCGTGCAGCTAGCACGCCTCTACGATGTCGATGAGGGCAGCAACGTTGAAGATATGTCCAATAATCCCGCTGGCCCTGACGATGACCAGACCGAGGAAAATCTTGCATATGCGGTAGCTGAAGAGAAGAGACGAACTTTCTGGCTCGCCTTTAGCTTTGATCGCTTTCTCTGCTCACGCAACGAGTGGCCCTTGACACTGCAGGAGGACGCAGTCCGCACGCGTCTCCCCTCCTCGGAGGCAAGCTTTCAGAATAACGAGCCCACCCAGGTGTGCTTCCTATCCGAAGCGCTGGCCATGAGTGGCAGCACCAATTTTCATGCGTCCACACTGATTCCTCTTTCTCCATTTGCAGAATGTGTTGTGCTGGCGGCACTGCATGGTCGGTGCATGACACATCGACGAATGTCGATGCTAAGCACAGGGACAGCAGCACAAGAATTTTGGGCGAGGCACGACCAATTAACATTGGCTGTAGAGAAACGTGCTCAGATTCTCGCGCAAAGCCCATCTCTTAAGACAATTAATCGCAACCCCATGGTGCTCTTCACTCACATGCTGGCCCAGAAGTCGGTCATCTATCTTAGCAGCACTCTCGAAACTGCGCTCTTGCAGCACCAGCAACAACAAGCTGATGACCGCCAGCTTTTCGCTAGCTCATACAAGTGGCGAGCTGAGCGGGCAGCGATCGAAATAATGCGCCTTGCCGAGTCAGCTAGGTCACTGGGTTGCTTCAGCGTGCACCCGTTTATAGCCGACCCGCTTGCTTCTGCTACTGAGTTCTTTATCCGACGTGCACAGTCTACCAATATTGCCAGGGGCTCGGGAAATTCAAGGAGCAGCAGTATGAGCGGCAATGACGGAGAGGTGGAGAGCTTGCTTTTCGTGCTTCGACATTTAGGCTGCGTGAACAACCTAGCACAAGACCATCTCAGCACGCTCGAGGCTGAATATAGTACATGGTGTACCGGCGACAGGAGTATCAACACAATGAGCATGATATGACTTGGCCTCTGAATGGTTCCTGGTTCCAACTTTTAGTGCCAGGGTCAGGATCCGGACTGTGACGAGCTTTTTTACCTTTAATATAGTGATGTCTTTTGTGATACATTGTCTTTATCTCTGATGTTTGATTTCTCAATTTCAAGTCATGCATAACTAGATATAGAATGAACTGGGAGATCGTTATGCTTAGCCTGGGTTATCAGTCCTCTTTGTATAAGTAGAACCATCCATACCACCTTCCATGGGGATACCAAAAGTATATAATTGCTAGGAGTTACTCTATTTAGATATTTTTATAACACCTACTTATTTACCATGTAGATGAAGAAACTCGAACTGATCCCGCAATAGACTGCTCGGCCATAATCAAGCTGACATCTTTCACAGGGTTAGACTCGCATTGGCCTGTGGATGGAGTAGCAAGATTTTGCCTACATCCTAGATTTCATACCTTTTAAACTGAAATTTGCTATTTTCTTCATGAAATTATGTGTAAACATATATAGACTACATATTCTTATAGAGCGTCTATGTAGACGAACTAACTTTTAATTTTACCACAAAATTTATTATTATTAGTATCTAGCTTCTAGGGAGTACCTTTACCATTTGTTTCCTACAATAAATGTTCAAATTAGAATTTGTAATTTTCTTTTGGAGTGAAACTAGGGGTCTAAAGTGGTCAACTATGGCCATTTTGGCCGCGGACACGGGGAGTGTAGACAAACTCTTGCTACCCCATGCTCGTGGGATTTACCGGACTGTATATTTCCCGCGGACATTCTGCGCGAGAAACATTCCATTGAATGTCCGCATTTCTCGATTTCGCCTGAGCTGCCAAGAAGTTCATCACCGGACCATTATACCAGGCTACAATATCGACGCTTGAATATATAAGTAGAGCGCCGATATTCGACAACTCATGCACACACCTTTATTCACACCATTTCCCAGTCTACCCAATATACAATCTTCATAGCCAGCCATGCCCGCTACTCGACTACCTGTTAACCTCGCTGGTCCCCCTTTGACCGATCGTGAGGCCATCGCTGATGCCTGCTACCGCACCACGGCCTCTATTGACCACGCCGACGAAGAGCTCTTCTGGTCAGCCGTGACTGACGACATATATGCCGAAGTTGCTGGTACAACTGTTACCAACGCACAAGATTTGAAGACCAAAGTTTGGGACAATATCATCAAGGTCGACACTATCCACTACCTCAGCAACATGCGCATCAGCATTGACACACCAACAACGGCTCGAGTGACTTTCACGTCTCTTGCCCAGCACTGTCGGCGCGGAAAAGGGTTTGAGCCAGGCCCTAACAAGTTCACCACTGGTGCCATCTTCAACTGCGACGCCGTCAAAGTGGGTGATCTCTGGAGGTTCAAGACATGGAAGGCGAACCATGTCTGGGGTGATGGTGACCCATCTGTCATGGCGGTTTAGAGGGACTATTAGACTTCTGGGAGGTACGGAGAACTGCAAAAGTGAACATTGCAACATCGGCTGTTCTATGATATTCTCTGTCTTTTATATGAACCGTCTACTCTACATATTCTATATAAGAGTTTTCTCCAACCTTTTTGCGAAAGGAACACGACAAACTATATAGCCAGTTGGTTAACTCATAAAATCGAGTTAACCTACTCATTTGAATACTGTAGTTAAAAACAAGTTTCTGGCAAGTTTAATTGAAGTAAAGTATGAGTGTACGGTGAAAGATACTTAACTAGATGGATCCTGCAGCGCCACCCTTCTCAGGGTCGTGGAGATATGGAGCTGTGTGGAAATATCAAATGGGAATAGTGTCCACTGACTTAGACAGTTAATTATCCAGCAATGCGCAGTTATGACCTTGTCACGGCCCCGTTCCCAATACCTAGGTCACGTATCTTCTCATTCAGCATTTCCCCATTTTCCAGATTCATAGGACGATATGCACGTCGGCTAGGGCTCATCAGGTACGTTACACTCCGGCGGTGTTTCAATGATGCGCTTTCGCCAATAGCGTTACAGACCTAGCAACTCGTAGACTAGCTCCACAGCCACGGCTCACTTGTGCCTTGCATAATTCATGATCCCATCCAAGTGGCTTTTGCATGTTGAATCATCCGGAGTTATGTTTTAATGCCGGGATGACCTGAGCAGAATCAGCAGGATGGCAGCCCTACTATCAAACTTACATTCAATTTCTCCGGAGATTGGTGCCGGGGTGGCCATTAACTAATATAAGGGTCATATCAAGCTTTTATGCTGCTCGATCTTGGTTGCATCCTTATCTGCACAGAGCTCTGTACCTCTACCTCTATCCCTCCTCGTCCTCGTCCAATTATGTTGATACATCTCTTGGCCTTGGCTAGTGTGGCTCCTAGCATGGTAGCCTATGGCCACTTCGTTAGACATGATGCTTATACGCTCGAAGAGCTGTATGGACCATGGGTTTCGCCCGCCACCGAAATCGCTTCTTCAACAGATGCCAATTTTTCCACCGTAGTTGGGCCACGGTGGTCGGCTTGGGAAGCTCCCCAATGGTCTGGGGCAATCAAGCCTGCGACAGAAAAAGATCTCCAGAAAGTGGTGAGTATTGCTTCCTTGTGTTTCATGGCTGGCTGGTGTATCAGAAAAGCTTATGGAAACAACAGGTCCAAATCTCAGTGGCAAACAATATCCCATTCATTGCAACAAATGGCGGTCATGGCCCCAAATTCGGCCAAGGCCAGTTCACCGGCATCAATGTGAACCTCGCCAGCTTTAATACTGTCACTATCGATACCACCAACAATTTGGTCACCCTTGGAGCTGGCGTCAAGCTGTGGGATATCGAAAAGGGATTGTACGATGTTGGAAAAGAAATCCGTACGTGCTGTCTATTTTATGATATTCGCCAAAGCCCAATGTGCGAGAAAATAACAGAGTGACTGACCTGCGATTGTCTAGAAACCGGCAATGCCGCCTGCCCAGGTGCTATCGGCGTGACCCTCGGTGCCGGCATTGGCATGATGACGGGCATGCACGGGCTATTGATCGACACGCTTAAATCTGTCCGTGTGGTAACCTCAAAGGGTCAGCTGGTGAAGGCTTCGGCGACAGAAAACAAGGACCTCTTCTGGGCAATTCGCGGAGCCGGCATCAACTTTGGCATCGTCACAGAAGCAACCTACGGAATCCATGACCAAACCAACAATGGTAACGTGACGGAAGCTACATTTGTTTACGCGGCGCCATCTAATCGTTCGCTCTGGGAGACCATGAAGACGTTTGATGGCAACCAGCCGGCCAAGCTGTCGTTCCAAGCCGTCGTCAGGTTTGACCGGACTTCCAACTCGGCGAATATAATTCTGCAGCTCTGGTACTTTGGCCCTGTAGAGGAAGCGCAGCCATACATTGACCGGTTTGCCGCCGTGGGCCCGGTCGTCAAATCCGTGGCATATCTATCCCAACCCGACGTGTACTACCAGTCTCAGACGGCTGGAGTGTGCGACAGGGGGAAAATCGTCAGTGCGCACACATTAGGCTTCAACCACACTGATGTCGCAAGCTACGAGACTCACTTTGCGGATCTAATGGCCTTTTACAAGGCAAATCCTGCCTTCGAGGGAGAATCCATATTTCAGTATTACAGCAACAAGGTTACTCTCCAGACACCGGCGTCTGAAACTGCCTTCCCCTGGCGTGATGTCCAAGTGTGGTGGTAAGTGTTTCTGACTCCGCAGAGTTTCGCAGAGTTTCTTTGCTGTGTATTTTATCTTGTACTAATTCCACTAACCATTCTCTCTCTCTACAGGTTCACGCAAGAAGAATACACTGACGCCTCGATCAGGCCTCAGGTTGATCAGTTTATGAGTGGACAACGCACGAACATGCAGACTACCAGCGGTTTCTCTACGCCTCATGTCTATTTGAACTACGCCTATGGAGACGAAGGCGCGGCCGCGTGGTATTCTGCAGCCAACTTGCCCAAGCTTCGAAAACTCAAATCTATCTGGGATCCCGCTCGTGTATTTGGAAATGGGGCGTCTCTTTACTAAAGAGACATTCATACACCGTACAAGTTATATCGTTGCTATGACAAAAGTATTTTAACTCTTTGGATTAATACTTTGTCTGGAAATGGAACTATCTGTCATTGACATCGTTTTGGCAAAAAGTAAAACGTGAACGGTAGTTATATCATTGCTGGTTTACTTTGTAGTTTACAAATAAATTAGGGTCCCAAGTCTTTTCACAGCGCTGATTTCAGATACACGCTCTAGTCTTACATGAGTTGTCTCTGTACTTGAATGTTGTGATATTAGATCTATATTCTCGCCCAGAACAGAATGCACATTAAGCAGCCGCAGCTTTGATCTCTGTTACCATCTTCTCAACATCATAGTCCCATATAATTCGGGAGGCTCGCTCAAGCTTCAATTTACTCCTCTCAGCATCCCGCCCTGTCGGACCATATCGCCACTGGTACATTTGGCCCATCTCACGCGAGCTGCGCACAACCCACTTTCCACGCTCCATTCTTGCTTGGCTATAAGCCTGCAGTGCGTGTACAATGGCTTCTCTCTGGTCATTACCGCCACTACTTCTGGGCTGCACCGTAGCCAAAGCCTCGCAAAGCACAAGGGCGTCTTCGACACCGATGCAGGCACCGACACCCTGGAACGGACTGCTGGCATGAGCAGCGTCACCGGCAAGACAGACGCGGCTGCGAGCATACGTTGGCGCCGGGTTTTTGTCCATGTCAAAGATCCCCCATTTGACCATGTTTTCTGGGAAGCACTTCGCAATGTCAACAAAGTGCGGGCCCCAGCCAACCACGAGACGCTCGAGCTCGTCGCGTGTGGCCGGAGCCGTCATTTTCTCGGGGTCGGGGAACTCTGAGGACTCGTGGGCAAAGAAGGCGACATTCAGGAGCGTTGCGTTCATTACCTGTTGCAGATGTTAGCTGGCATGACTTTATATGGCTGGAAATCAATTCGTTATACTGACGGGGTAGGACATCATGTTGGCGTTGGGACCACAGTGCATACAGCCACTCATTGCCTTGGCCTTACCGAGGGCAGCGATGCCGGCGTCGATGGGCAGCATCGTTCGGTAGGCAACCGTATGGGTGTAGCTGGGATGGGTGGCCGGGTGATTGGCACCGAGAAGCACTTCTCGGGTAGTCGAGTGGATGCCGTCGCATCCAAGCACAGCGTGTGCCTCCGCCGTGCTGCCGTCAGCAAAACGGAGGACGACTGTAACATTCGCGTCGTCATCGTCGTAGCTCACAAGTTGCTTCCCGAACTTGGCCACGCCATCAGGTAGCAGGGCGGCCATGCCTAGCAGGAAGTGGGAGCGCACACAGCCCCAGAATGCGAGCTTGTTGCCCGGCATTTGGAAGAGCAGTGATGTCGATTCATCCTCGGCCTCCTGCTTTGTCTGCGGGTGATAGGCATCCCAGTAGCTCGTGCTTGCGTTGTCGGGGTCCGATTTCTGGCTGATGCGGCTCAGCACGTCGTGTATGCCAGGGTCTAGGCGCCGCATACACTCTTGGGCTACGCCAGTGAAAGAGAACCCAGCGCCGATCTCGTGCCAGTTGGAGGCGCGCTCGTAAATGGTCACTTTGATGCCTCGGTTTATCAGGCCAAGAGCTGTCATGACACCGATGATGCCACCACCTACAATGGCTACCTCAAGAGAGGACGTAGTGCTGTTGTTGCTTGCCATGATGTTGGTCACGCCAATTGGATATGATAAAATATAATTTATGTGACCAATTCTAGAAAAGAATAGCACCTTGATACATGTGTAGATGTAAATATGGTGGCTAGCGTATAGTTACGTATTTTCGTGCACAGTCCTGCCTATTGCACCATTAGCCTTTTCGAAACATGGCACCCAAAAATACTGTATGTCAATAATAAAAACGACAATGAAGATTGTACAGCTTATTGCTGACTGTGTCTGGAGGACCATTGCATCCAAGGCGGAGTTTCTATTCTCCTACAGGGCTTACTCGTGGATCTACAAAGTGCCTAGCCCTGTACTATTTCTAATACAACCCTAATAGATTGTTTCAGAACTACAATGCGGACTTTCGGATAAAAGATAAAAACGGGCTTCTATTCAGCTATGAAGCGCCTGAATTGAAGCCTATCTCTAAGTGGAAGGTAAGTCCGCAGGCAAAGTTGCCTATCTCCGATAGCAAACGAATTTAGGGCTATTGTATAACGTACAAGGATGTATGAGTCCAAATGTAATATCTCGAGTATAGAATCATACAAGTGATTCATAAGAACTCGGGTTGACCTGAATTTATTTTCAGTGGTTGAGTACCTAGTCAGCTACACACCTTACCTACACTACAATGACTACATCTTCTATCCCCTCTTCTGTGGGGGATGCGCAAAAGGCTACGACCTTCGTGTTCGGGGGTCACATCGGCACACAGAGCAAAAAGTCACTGGAAAAGCCAATAAAGCAACTTCTCAGTGGGCCCAACGCCAAATGGATACTAGAGGCCGTGGCCGGACTGCCACAATACTGGGCAGCCGTGGTGGAAAAGATCCCCGAGGCTGGCACAGTACCGGGTGCGGAGCAGCTAAGCGACTTCGACTCATGGCTGCGAAACGGTATCTCAGAGGGCGACCTGATCGCGCCTGAGACAGAGCTGCCCAGCGTAGCAGTCGGGCCTCTGATGGTGGCCATCCAACTGGACCAGTACTGGCGGTATCTGGAGTTTCGGTTGGGTGAGGTTGCTGTCGAAGACCTCCAAGCAGAACTTGTTCGACAACAACAACAACAACAAAGCACCACTCCAGTGGAAACCCTGGGCTTCTGCGCCGGCCTGATTGCCGCGGTAGCGGTGGCGAGCTCACACAACATGGATGAGTTCCAAAAATACGGCGCGGTGGCGGTGCGCATCGGCCTGCTGATGGCCGCGGTGGTGGACGCGCGGGAGGCTCGCGACGAGGCCAAAGGCAAGGGCGGGTCGGTGTCGTTTGCGACAGCGTGGCGCAGCGGCAGCAAGCAAGGCGACGACATGGCGAGAATCGTGTCATCTCTAACACCAGACGCTTATATATCGGTGTTGTTTGACGAGGCACGAGCAACAGTGACGACATCAGAGCGCCTGGCGCCGACGCTAGCGCGGAAACTGCGGGCCGCCGGCGTGAAGGCCGTTCCGCTGACGATCAAGGGTCATCTGCACGCTCCCGGGGTGGAGCGGAAGCGGGACGCGGATGCGCTAATCGAGCTATGCCACTCGTATGGTGGCCAGCTTCAGTTTGCGGCGACAGCAGCCCAGTTAGCCTTGCCCACATACAGCAACTCGGCTGATGGGGCCCATGTCTCAGCCGATGAGACAGATCTCACCGCAATGTTGCTACGAGCGATCTTGACACAGCAATTTAACTGGGCCGGGACAGTGTCGAAGCTGCTATCAGTGTCAGCATCGACTCAGAAGGAGGTATCGCTAGTGGCTTTTGGACTAGATCGGTGCATTCCGCCGACAATTACGCGGCGGTTTGGGCCGAAACAAGCCGTTTTCGAGGAGCTGGAGAGCTATATTGAGAGCCGGAAGGTTCAAAAGGCCTCACTTACTGCAACCACGGCTACAGTTACGGCCAACGGCACTACTACCGGCGTTTCAGCAACCATCTCAGCCGACAAAGCTTTACCTACATCAGTAGAACGAGAAAGGGACACCGAGGAGGCCATTGCCATTGTAGGCATGTCCATCAACGTGTCTGGCGCCGAGGATTTGGAGGAGTTCGCAGCGATGCTGAAGACAGGCAAATCGCAGCATGAGGTGATCACACGGAAGCGGATGATGCACGACATGCTGTTCCGGGATGCGGCAGACGCAGATGGGAAAAAGTACTATGGTAACTTCCTGCGTGACGCAGATGCCTTCGACCACAAGTTCTTCAAGCGCAGCCCACGCGAGTCGCAGGCCATGGACCCTCAGTGCCGGCTATCGCTGCAGGCGGCGTACCAGGCAGTCGAGCAGTCGGGATATTTCACGGAGCCCAAAACGGAGAAAGAGGACCACATCGGGTGCTACCTGGGCGTGTGTGGCGTCGACTACGAGCAAAACATAGCCTCCCATGCGCCGAGCGCATTCACAGCGACGGGCGGCCTGCGTAGTTTCATTACCGGCCGGATCGCGCACTTTTTCGGGTGGACAGGTCCGGCAATGACGTTTGATACAGCTTGCTCATCGTCGACGGTAGCGATGCACACTGCCTGCCGTAATATTTTATCCGGTGAAGCGACTGCCGCGCTAGTCGGTGGTGTCAACGTCATGACCAACCTGCAATGGATACAGAACCTAAGTGCAGGCAGCTTCTTGAGCCCGACGGGACAGTGCAAGCCGTTTGACGCCGATGCCGACGGCTACTGCCGAGCGGAGGGCGTCGCTTTCGTCTTCCTCAAGAAGCTATCAGACGCCGAGGCTGCCGGCAACACAATCCTGGGAACGATCCGGGCAACAGCGGTGTATCAGAACCTCAATATCACGCCGTTGTTCGTACCCAACGTGCCGTCACTGTCGACCCTGTTCAAGGACGTGATTCGCAAGGCTGGCGTCGACCCGGCCGAGATTTCCGTCGTCGAGGCCCACGGCACCGGCACGCCAGTCGGCGACCCGGCCGAGTATGAAAGTGTTAAGCTGGCGGTCAGCAGCCCTCTACGCGACACCACCGTAGTCATCGGCTCCGTGAAAGGCCATGTGGGCCACACAGAGGGAGCGTCCGGGGTGATCGCCCTAGTGAAATTGCTCATGATGATGCGCGACAACTTTATCCCGCCACAGGCCAGCTTCACGCGCATGAACCCGCACATCCATGCATCGCCGGCCGACATGATAGAGGTGGTGACGGCGTTACGGCCATGGCCAGCTGAGCGCAAGGTCGCGCTGCTCAACAACTACGGCGCCTGTGGGTCTAACGCCAGTCTCCTCTTGGCCTACTCAGCGCATAACCCAACCTCGGGCAACCGCTTGCTAGCTGATGTAACAGCCCGCCAGCCCTTCTGGATCACTGGATTCGACGCTCGCAGCATCGCCGTCTACAGCAAAGCACTAGCGCCGTACCTACGTTCCCACACCGGAGGCCAACAAGCAACACTGGCCGATGTCGCGTTCAACATGGCCCGGCAGTCGAACCCCGGCCTACCGCAGGGGGTAGTCTTCAGCTGCCGGTCGCTAGAGGAGCTGCAGGACAAGCTTACTCTAGCGGCCGCGGCTACCAAAGAAACAGCCACCGCGAGCGGCATCACAGTTTCCAAGGCGGAACGGCCGGTCGTGCTGTGCTTCGGCGGCCAAAATTCGACGTTTGTCGGGCTAGACCGCGCACTATACGATGGCGTCGCCGTTTTGCGACAGCATCTGGACGCTTGTGATGCGGCTGTCACGGCGATTGGCTTGTCCAGTATTTTCCCTGCCATCTTCTCGCGGGAACCCATCCGCGACATCGTCCAGCTACAGACGGCGCTTTTCGCCGTGCAGTATGCCAGCGCCCGGGCGTGGATGGACTGCGGGTTGGCCTCTAAGATCGTGTCAGTTGTGGGCCACAGCTTCGGTGAGATCACAGCGCTCTGTGTGGCTGGCGTGCTGAGCGTCAGCGACACGGTCCGCCTGGTCGCTGGCCGAGCAAAGCTGGTGCGCGACGCCTGGGGGCCGGACTCGGGAGCCATGATGGCAGTCGAGGCAGACGAGGCACTTGTGCATGACCTGCTTAAGGCGGCTAACACTACCAGCGACGGCTCCGCCAGCATCGCCTGTTATAATGGTCCTCGCAGCTTCACGCTAGCCGGGACAACGCAGTCCATCGACGCCGTGGCTGCCACTCTCGCTGGCAATAGCAAGTTTTCCGGAGCCGGTATAAAGAGCAAGCGACTCAATGTGACTAACGCCTTCCATTCGGTCCTAGTAGAGCAACTAGTTGGGGAACTCGGAAACGTCGCCCGGGACATGACCTTCCACGACGCCGTGATCCCGGTCGAACGGGCTACTGAGCATGATTCAACAGACCCGCTAGACTGGACCTTCGTGGCATCGCACATGCGCCAGCCTGTTTTCTTCAATCACGCCGTGCAGCGGCTGGCTAAGAAACACCCGCAGGCCATCTTCTTAGAAGCTGGCTCTAACTCGACGATCACAGTGATGGCGAGCCGTGCATTGGCCCAAGTTACTTCCGCCAGCCCCGACACGCTCGCTTTCCAGGCTGTATCCATCACCAACACCGAAAAGGGCCTCGACGGACTCGCAGATGCCACAGTCGCGCTATGGAAGCAGGGCCTGCGCGTGTCCTTCTGGCTGCACCACCCTTCCCAGGCACGCGAGTACATGCAGCTGCTGCTGCCACCGTACCAGTTCGAGAAGTCGCGTCACTGGCTGGATGTGAAGTCGCCGACGGAGGTTGTCACCAAGGCAGCCCAGGCCATGATTGAAGCAGGGGGTTATACCATAGGAGCTGCCTCTACCACTCAAGTAGAAGACGCCCGGACGCTCCCCATCTGGACATTCATCGGCTACCCGGAGCCCAAAAAGAATAAGAAACTGGCCCGCTTCCGCATTAATACAGCCTCAGATCCGTACCAACGCCTATTTTCATCCCATGTCATCGCCCAGACTGCACCCATCTGCCCGGCGACGCTCGAGATCGACATGGCCATCGAAGCTCTCTTCAGCCTTAATCTAGACTGGCGACCAGCTGGTTATTCGCCCACGGTGCACGATCTCATCAGCCACGCACCGGTGTGTGCCGACTCGACGCGTGTTTTCTACATGGACCTGTCGCCGCTGGACAAAGCCGAGATGAAATGGCAGTTGAGCCTACACAGTGTGGCCAGCAACGGCGATTCCCAGGTCCACGCCGAGGCCGTGATACGCATGCGCGCGCCAACCGACACCTCATATCTACAACAGTTTGGCCATTACGAGCGTCTGGTCAGCCACGCGCAGTGTCAGTCCCTACTTAAGCTCAATCTCGACGACGAAGGTGTCGAGATGCTACACGGCCGCAACGTCTATCGCGCCTTCAGCGACATTGTCGACTTCGGGCCGGTCTACCGCGGCGTGAAGTACATCGTCGGCCGCCCTGGCGAGAGCGCTGGTGTTATTCACAAACGCCACGAGGGCCACACCTGGCTTGACGTGCCCATGGGCGACTCGTTCGGCCAGGTCGCGGGGATTTATGTTAATCTGTTGACCGACGACCTGCCACCGGGCGAGATGTTCATCGCCACCAGCTGTGAGCTCCTAATGCGATCGCCAAAGGCTCTCTCGGAGATTTCCGGTAAAGAGAACGGTCCCGGCGTCTGGCACGTCCTTGCGCGCCATACGCGCCAGTCCGACAAGGCCTGCATAAGCGACATCTTTGTCTTTGACGCAGCCACCGGCGCGCTGAGCGACGTCATGCTGGGCCTGCAGTACGCACGCGTACCCAAGGCGTCTATGAGTAAGATCCTCTCACGCTTTACGATGGATCAAAAGTTCCTTCGAAAGCAGGCAGTGGTAGCGTCTGTTCCGGCTGCTAGTTCTACTGCTGCTCCCCCAATTGCAGTTGCTGCTGCCCTCGAAGCCGTCAAGACTGCTGTCAAGGTTAAGAAAGCAAAGAAAAAGACTCGCGACATCACCGAGGATGTGTGTAACCTGGTCGCCAATGTCTCCGGTGTCGACCCCAGCGAAATGACCCTCGACAGCGAGATGGCCGACCTAGGCATCGACTCGCTGATGGGCATGGAGCTGGCCCGCGAGGTCGAGAACACATTCAAATTTACCCTCGATCACGGCGAGATGATGGAAGCCACCAGTCTGGGCCAGTTTGTCGCCTGCGTTGCAAATGGGTTGAGCAAGATCGGGGGAGACACCGGGGAAGACGCTGTTGAGCAAGAGTCAGATGACACTGACAGCGACTCCGCGGCAGAACTCATCACGCCATCGGATGAGAACGACGACACGGCCTCTGACATCACCACACCAGACCCAGAAGAGGCGTCTTCTTTCGTTAAGCCCGCCTCGCTACCAGTCGGTCCAGCCACCAGTAACCTAACCCTCTCCCGCTCCGACATCCTCGAGTGCTTCGGCCAGGTCAAGCTGACGACTGATGATAAGATCCGCGAGTTTGGCCTTGACAGCATTGTCCGCGTCAGCCTGGCCGGCAGTAGCAAACTCTGCACAGCCCTGATCGTCGAGGCCTTTGACCAGCTCGGGTCGCCGCTGCGGACGGCCGCCCCGGGGCAGTTGCTGGACCGCGTTGCGTTCTTGCCACAGCACGGCCGCATGATGGAGTTTGTTTATGGCTTCCTTGAGCGTGATGCACACCTGATCGATATCGACACAGTGACGGGCCAGATCACGCGCACACACATAGCTGTGCCGCGCAAGACCAGCGCCGCCCTGCTCGAGGAGATGGTCGCCGCGCACTCAGAGTCCGCTATCCCCGATCGCCTAGCCTACTACGCCGGTAAGAACCTAGCCGGTGTGCTCAGTGGCACCACGGACGGCATTCGCGTTATCTTCGGCAGCGCCGAGGGCCGTCAGCTAGTCCAGGCCATGTATTGTGACTACGGCTTCAACCGCATGCACTACCAGCAGATGGCAGAGGTTATCACCCAATTATCTAGGCGTGTGCCCCAGCCCGGCGAGACCCTGAAAGTTCTCGAAATGGGTGGCGGTACTGGTGGTACAACGAATGTGATGGCTCCAGTTCTGGCGTCCCTAGGGATTCCTGTTGAGTATACCTTCACTGACTTGTCACCGTCCATGGTGGCCAATGCGCGCCGTAAGTTCGCCAAGCAGTACCCATTTATGCGCTTTGCCGTGCATGATATCGAGAAGCCACCAGCTGCGGAGCTCCTGGGACAGCATCTAGTTCTGGCCAGCAATGCCATTCACGCCACCCACGACTTGGTTGTGTCAACTCAAAACGTGCACCTGGCCCTCCGTCCTGATGGCTTCCTTATGATTCTCGAGATGACTGAGTGTGTGCCGGGTATGGATATTGTGTTCGGCCTGCTCGAGGGCTGGTGGCTCTTCGACGATGGCCGCACCCACGCCGTCGTGCCCACTGAACACTGGGAGCGCGCTTTACATGCCGCCGGCTTCGGTCACGTCGACTGGACCGACGGCAACCGGCCCGAGAACGCCTTCCAGAAGGTCATCATTGCCTTGGCCTCTGGAGAGCCGAAGGCTCGTCTCCCAGCATCTGTGGCATCCGTGGAGGAAATCAAGGTGGTTGATAGAGGCGACGTAGCAGCCCGTGAGGCCGATGCCGAACGACTTGTGGCCTCCTACACAGCCGGCTGGGCGATACCGGCTCTCGAATCCGCAGTCATCGACGTCTCTACCACTTCTACTCCCGCTGTGGTTATCGTCACCGGCGCCACCGGCAGCCTCGGCGCCCACCTTGTACAGACCCTTGCTAAGCGCCCTGACGTCGCCACTGTCGTCTGCGTAAACCGTCACTCCAGCGTCCCGGCCCATCAGCGCCAAGCCGAGGCCTTTTCGTCACGGGGCATTACCCTGTCACCCACCGAGCAGAAAAAGCTGCGCGTCTACGAGACTGACACGGCCAAGCCGCAACTCGGCCTACCCACTGAAGAATACGCCTGGCTGGCCGCGCATGTCACCCACATTGTGCATAACGCCTGGCCCATGAGCGGTACACGGCCCCTAAAGGGCTTCGAACCGCAGCTGCAGGCCATGCGCAACCTGTTAGACCTAGCTCGGGAGATAGCTCTAGGAAAGCCAAAGACACGCGTCGGCTTCCAGTTTGTGTCCTCGATCGGCGTGGTCGGTTACGCGGATACATCCACCGGACCACATATCACCGAAGACCGCGTGTCCATGGCCGCCGTCATGCCCGGCGGCTACCCAGAGGGCAAGTGGGTGCACGAGCGCATGCTCGACGAGACACTGCACCGCCACCCGCAGCTGTTCCGCGCGACCGTCACGCGCCCAGGCCAGATCGCCGGCTCCAGCAGCAGCGGCTTCTGGAACCCAGTTGAGCACTTTGCCTTCTTGGTTAAGAGTGCGCAGGCTTTACGCGCGTGGCCCGACCTGCATGGTACCCTGCAGTGGCTGCCCGTCGACCGCAGCGCCAGCGTCATGGTGGACTTGTTGAAATTGGAAAATGACAGCGATGCAGCTTACCCCATCTATCATATTGACAACCCGGTTGGCCAGCCGTGGGAGGACATGTCCCTGGTGCTGGCTGCAGCCCTTAACATCCCTCCTCAAAACATCATCCCCTACGCTGACTGGATCACCCGCGTTCGCCGCTCGCCACTGTCCGCCGACGAGAACCCAGCTGCCCGCCTCGTCGACTTCCTCGACGGCCACTTTGAGCGCATGTCTTGCGGTGGCATAATCCTCGACACCGAAAAAGCGAAAGAGCACTCGGCCACCATGGCTGCCGAAGGGCCCGTGAATGCTGACATCGCGCGGGCCTATGTGGCATCCTGGAAGGCCATGGGGTATCTGAAATAAACGATCATATGAGCGATCCGGAGGGATTTTTGTTTTCTTTGTTCTTTTTTTTTTTTTTTTTTTCTTGCTTGATTGATTTGGCGTTTGGACTGGCTGGAGTATGGAAAAACCGCCCAGATTGTTGTTCTTAAAAGTAGTATAATATATGGAAATCATGAATTTGGATATACCAGTGAATAGTAGCAGAAAAATAGGTCCACTTCATTCGTCGAGATCTTTGAGTTGATATGGCTTTCTAGATGAGATTCATGCGTCTTGACCGTGACGTTGGTTCCAGAGAGATGCCATGCGGTCACGTGTTAGATTTTGTGTCTGAGGGATCGGGCCAAAAGCTGTTGTCAAATGTCAGATATGGCGCCTCTAGGCCCCATAACTATAATTACTTTAGTTTTTATGTGGTGTCAAATACCGGAGCCATATACCCCGGTCGGTTACAGTACTAAAACCCCCGGATCGGATACAAGGTAATTTTACCTTGGATCTCCACAAACGTCGGTCCCAAATAACCCGACCAAAGTGCATTATGGGGGGATCGCTGCCCTAAGATTCGTGAAGCTTATGTATCGTGTTTTGAGAGTCTTGAGAGTCTCAATTAACTCTTCACTGGTTGGAAATTGGTTCCGTGAGATTGTTTGGAAGCTGGTCATAGCCGCCTTTAAAGCGCTATGCCTCTCTACTTTCATATGCTTCTTGATCTCCTCCATGAGTTCATCGGCAAAATCCGCCGGATTTCCTCGACTATTGATCTCTTGCATAAGCTTGTTATCTAGACTGCCAGACAACCAACTTTGTACACGTTTCGAAAGGGTTTTCTACTAGCCATTCGTGATTCGTCTCATCGGCCATGGGCTATTCTTGTTGATCAAATGGTGTAAGTTGTGGCATTGCAAGATCCTCTCGATTTTGTCAATCCACATGTGCAAGTCCTCTCTTTCTTTCAGAGGTGGTGTAATCTTGAGGTTGAAGCTTCTAATCCTGGGAGTCCGACTGATTGGTCGATAACGACATATTCTTCTCCATGCCAGTTGCTGTTGTCCAGCTGTTGGGTCTGCGGCACTGCCATAGTAATGCAAATGATCTAGTTCTCTCTTGATAAATAATTTAAAAAGGGGGGTTCGGCTTTTGAAAAAGGGCACTCTGACGGTGTTGCAATAGATAAACTTCGATCTCGATGAATTGTCGATGGATTTTGATGACTCCTATCGAAGGCATAGAAATTTGAAGTGCTACTGTTGATGGAATTAGGGATAAGAAAAGGGCCACATGACCTGTTGTAGCTACCGGCTGGAGAGAGAAGAAGTCTTTGTTCATCACGCTATGAAAAAAAAAAAAAAGAGTACTTATATCCTAGATCTAGCAAACAATCCCTCGGTCTACTAGCAAGCAATGGGGAATGAGATTATCCAACAACATAATAAGCAGAAAACTAACAAGTAAACGGACTTCATAAAGCGCGCTCAGCGCGCTTGCATTAAAGACTTCTTGCTAAATACAAGTCTGTATGGCTTATAACATTTTCAGGCACAAACATCGCAATTAGTATACCAAAATCATAGCATGTAAACACAGATTACCTAGCTTCGAGCATGCTCCACAGTGACAGTGTCAGCCTTCTCGTTTTCTTCATCCCTCACACGAGCTCCCTTCTGCTGTGCCATCACCTCCTCTCCCTGGGTAACATGGTTGGCACCACCAAACAGGATATCGATCTCCTCAAGAGGAACCATCTTGGTCTCCGGAATAAGGAACCAAACAAAGACAGCAAGCAGGAAGTTGATAGCGGCAAACATGTAAAAGGCGAAGAAGCCCTCGTTTTCGAGGAAAAGCGGGAAGAATTGTTGAACAATAGCGTTGGCGACATTCTGCGTCTGCGATGCCATGCCCACGGCCTGGGCACGGACGTTCATTGAGAAAATCTCGGATGTCCAGATCCATACTGTTGCGCCCCAAGATGGTTTGTCTGGAAGATGTTGTTAGTAGAGTTCCTTTTGTAGGGAGTGTAGTGAATAGAGAAAACCTACAGAAGAAGATGAACAAGAACATGAGGAACACAATCGATATACCGACAGGTGTCGATTTGGATCCGTCGGCGAGTTCTGGTGTTTGCGTTTCCACAGTAGAGACAATAATCATGCAAAGACCCATACCGATACCTCCGACAATCAGAAGGAATTTTCTTCCGAAACGATCAATAATCCAGACGGCGTTCAGGGTGAAGAAAATTCCAAAGGTGGCATTCAGAGCGTTGATCAGAGCAATCTGACTGTCGCTGGTAAACACCTTCTGGTAGATCTTGGTAGAGTATGAGTTGAGCGAGCCTTGTCCGGTGACCTGTTGGCCGGCGTTGAGGACCAGAGCTAGACCCATGCGCTTTCGGAGAGACTTATCCTTCCAGAGAGCAGAGTAATTGCTAGAGATCGCTTCCCTCTCGTATTCGATGGCCTCACGGATCTCCATCAGCTCTTGCTCGACTTCCTCCTCAGTATCACGAACTCTTTGCAGAGCTTCGCGAGCCTTCTCGATGTTGTTACCTCTCTGAACATACCTATTGATGGTCAGGATTACTCGGAATTGATGGGAAATGCCAACGGGGACTTACCAACGAGGGCTGCCGGGAATAGTGGGCAGGAGGACAAGGATGATAACAGGAACTAAAAGCTGGAAAATAACAACCAATCTCCAGTCCCACTCGCCCAACTTGTCAACATTCTTGGTGCAGGCAAAGTTAACCCAGAAGCAGATGAACGATCCAACAGAGTAGAACATCTGCCAGAAGGTCATGATCTTGCCACGGATCTCTGCAGGGGCCAATTCACCAATGTAGATAGGGCCAGCAGCTGCAAGTAATTCTGTCAGTTCACGCATTTGAAGCTACGCAATTAACAAGACTTACTCAATGCAATACCCTGGCCAATACCAATGATGCATCTACCTGCAAGGAAGATAGCAAGATTATGGCGAGGGGCGAATGTTTGCATAAAGGTGGACATAATGACCAAAATACAGCCAATGGCCATTCCAAGCTTGCGGCCCAGGAAGTCTGCACATGGTCCTCCCAGGAAGAAACCACCAAAGATAGCGCCGACCGTGTATGCTGTATTAATTGAGCCGATTGTATTGGCATTGGGGTTGTTCATCCAAGCCAGCCAGTTCTTGGAACCCTGGACGGAGTTAAACACAGATGCATCGTAGCCGTAGAGCACCATGCATGATGCTGCAACACAAGAGATGTACCTAGACCGTCGGATTAGAGTATATTCTTCGGGGTAGATCACTGTGTACTAACCAATTGTACGCTCTCTTGCGGCTCATTGAAAGACCCATTCTGATGATGATGGTGGGACTATTTAACAATGAGGTTCAAGCTCCACCAATATGTTTTTAAAAAAGAGATGGGCAGAGGATCAACTGTAGCCCTTGAATAATGTGGGAGAACAGTTAAAGATGAGTACACTCCAGGGGTACACATGAGTGGGTGGGGATCGCAACTATATAACAAGTCAAGATTAGGGTATATTCCGGGGGCGAAACTAAAACCTAGCCCATGTGAGCGAAGAGACCACATGTGGATCAGACCATCCCCAGAATCAACAACCCCGGATACGCTAAGATTATTTTGGCATTTGGATAACGGGCAGCCTTGGTCTCCAAGATCGCTGAGTGGTGGGGTATCTGAAGTCAATGGCACATGGGCAAAGCGTATCTCTCGCCTATTCGATTTCCATTGGCTTGAAGCTTTCGCAAATGCGTGTGCCGGACCTGGGGTAATAGTGATCTGGGGTTCGAGGATATTTTTCAAGCTTTTGTTCCGGCGATATGAAGTTTACAAGTTTCCACGAATCGGCGGGCTGAATGACAGTGGCTTGGGAGAAAGTCAACTCCACCAATAGGGGAAATGGTGAAGGAATACGGTAGAAATAAGATCTTGGAGAAGCATATGGCGCTAAACTAAAACAAATAGGAGATATTAAGCGACTGGACTTCCGTGATTCTTTCAGGCCGTACGGAGTAGATAGGGCTGAGTTTATCCGTATAACCCCTGGAGAGATGTAGATCAAGTTACGAGAACATCATTTTATTACTTATATCCTGTTGATATTACCCTTTTTCTTGGCATCTGTCTATTCAGCTATGTGTACTCCGTACTTGCCCCAATATGTTTTCTTATAGATACAAGGGGAGAAGCGGAAGACAATAATGCATGCTGGTCTTCAACCTAAGAAATAGACCTAAAACAGGGGATAGATGATATGTCTTCAAATTTATTCTTTGTCAAAGACAGGCTCAAAAACGACAGTCTGGTAAAGGAAACATGATTTGGATAGAAACATCCATTGACTGTTGCACCTATAAAGAAGAGGTATTCCGGAAATATGTAGAGCTTTATATATGTGGGCATAGTCTGAGTAATCTTTGCAATTGATAGAAGACATAGTGGTTTCTTCTTATAGGAACTATTCAAAAGATATTGGAACTTCCGCAAGATAGCTGCATGTAGACTTATGTTTCCTTTGAATGAAATTTTCAGAGTAACATCCATATATTCAAAGATATTTGTGATCAATTACCCCATTCACTGTACACTACTAGAGCGAAGTATCAGAACATTTGCAGTTACCATATGCTACTCTTATTTTCGTCTCACCCTTTTTACTAAAAGCCCACCCTCTTGCAAATATCTCTTTATGCCAAGCATATATCCCACAGATATTTCTTCATCCAAAGCTCTCAAGGCGATTTGATATTATAAGTATATAGGTCACGTGCTCTCGTGGCTCTCTCAACGCGATCCGCGACAGCGAAGGTCCCACTCTGACGTGACAAACTCAAGCTTCATTCTTCTTTGAACATATTTGTTTGATTCTGCTATGACCTATCTGAATATATGAACCCAATATTCTGCCTTCTGATCCAGCCTCTTCTGTTATTCTGACCCTCAGTCGCAATGCCACCCCGCAAATCGAAGAAAAAGCAGACGCGACTTGCTTTTGCTCCTACAA